TCAGTCGGGTTGCACAACTTACGTAAACAACGTTTTACTGGACAAGCGGGAAACTGGGGAAATGAAGGAACACAACAGGGCAAGCAGTTGGTTAATTTGGGCAACATGTCAGGGATCCTTACATGATACACCTAAACATTGCCTTGTAAATGGTGGTGTCCCTTTATTTTGGTGGAAAAGGCCATGTTTCAAATGGGCAAAATGTATCTTTTAAGGAGCCCTGCATGTGTTTAAATCATATTAACGGCCAGGCCCGATTCGGTACCCTTTGAAAATGAAACCAAGAGGAAGTTGTTGAAGCAAAAGCAGCGTGAACAAGTGTTTGAATCGCCGTAAGCCTGGCTGAAGCGAGAGGTGCTCAAAGGAAGAAAGGAACTGGCCCCCTCGGACGGCTCCAAAGGAACCATATTAGACGCTTAGTAGGCGAAAAGACTAGGGTCGGGTTGGGTGCCATACTCTTTTCGCTTTGCGACTGCTTCTAAAATGGACCTTCTTTCCGGCAGTGGGTATCTTGGGCTTTTGCCCGCAACATGACCACCATGTGTCCATGACACAGGGTTCGCCCCGGTGTCATTTTTGGCTTGAAGGCCAACAACGGTAAGCTTCCAGGCTTTCAGGAGGCGGATTTTGGAAGCGCCCTCCAATCCGAACAAACCTTTGGTACTTGGAGGGTTGCTGGAGAAAGGACGTGTCCTCTAGCTTGTTTCATGCTAGGATGTTTCTGGTAGTGCTAGCCTTGCTTCCCCCAAATCGTGGCTTGATTTGCTTCCTTGGATGTTGGGGGGTATCTTCCCAAGAATCAGGAGTTCAAATCCAATCCAAACCACCAATTGAGGGAACGCGTGGGTAGGTGCTGGCAGTTGGCATGCGGCACAACCAGTTCCTCAGGGTCAACACTAAGACATCCGCTTGGGGAACTGACCTGATCAACAGGGACCCCGTATACAACAGGACAGTCTATGAATCGGTAATCGACAAGAGCTTCCCTCAAAACCGCTGTCAAATAATGATGTTGAGTGCACCCCTTGGCACGTCTCTTTGCATGTCCCTTTGCTTGCCAGGAATCACCTGCATTCCTTACAACCATCCATGTACGATTGGAAGCGGGGAATTCCCACATGGGTGTGACTTTTGTTTGGGGAGCCTTTGGTGTAAATGCCTTACCTGGCGACATATGTCAACCAGCCACTCTGGTGTCCGGAAAGAAACACCTGTTCGGCAGCATGTACTTGTTCAACCCCAAACTGGCCAACAAAGGGACATCGTTGCCAGTCTCCGCAAGACTCCATACTGTTCAAACAAACTGCCCCAGGAAAGGACAGCTCGGTCAGAAGCAAATTGCAACCTTGATCAAATTGAGTTTCGACCACACCCCCAAACAGAAAAAGGACCCCGGTCCTCCTCAATGGGCGCCGCCGTCAACGCGGACGGCCGAGGGAAGAAGATCCTACCACCGTTCTCCATGACGTAGGCGTCGGCCGCCGGCAAGTAGGGCAGGCGCTCCAGGAAGGTGCTGCTCCTGCACCGGAAAAAGGTGGTTGTGCTTTGTTCAGGGATTTGCTTTCGAGTGAGTCAAGCCAAAGGAAAGGGAACATTGAGCGGTTCAGCATGTTCAACGCGAGAATGCTCAGAGTAGAAGCCCCATGTCCTTGCTGCCACTGATTTTGGCGGTTGCTCGCGTCAACTGTTGCGGAAGGGGGGCTTGCACATGCTTCTTTGTGGCCTTCTGAACCACCCATGCATGAACCACGCGTTTGTTGGACTTTGCGGCGCAACTGGTTCCATTGCGCCGTAAACCTCACCCCACTCGCGTCTCGCCATCCCAGAGAGGAGGACTCTCTTTTAGGTGAAGTTGAAGTGGAAACCAAAACGAAATTGTTTCATCGATGACAAACGTTGGGTCATTCGCAACCTCGAAAGCTTGAAGATTGTCCTTTTGGCTTCCTTCCGAACACTCTCTGCTGTTGCTAATCCTTATTTCAGTTGAAACACCCGGAAACATTCAATTGGGGAACCCTCTTCTAGATGTTGTCAAAAGGGAATCAAGGGGGAATCAAAGAGAGATCAAAGGGAAATCAAAGAGGAAACTGGTTTCCCTTCAACATTACCCAAAAAAAGGCACCAACTCCAAACAAGGCACAAATCCGTGTTGCCACATCCCTGCTCGCTAGACTTGGGTGCTAATCAGAGGCCAACTACAAAGGGCAGCACGGCCATCCATTCAGCCTGTATCCCTGCTTCCAAGCTATCCGAGAAATCCAAGAGCCCTTCGATCACATGAGCCACAGTCGAGTCGTTTTCTCTGAAGCACGTGGGAAAACCAGTGTTTCCTGGTTGTTGTGGGAGATTTAGATGCCTCTCCTAAATGGACCATAGACTACTGGAGCCTAAAAATGGAACCCTGAAGGGGGCCTCGCGCCGCTGATCAGCACGAAGAGGTGGCCCTCCTTCCGCAGTTCCGCCACCAACTCCAAGGTGCGCTCGCTGATAAAGGCCTCGCCAAAAGAGCGAACAGCATGCGAAAGGCCAACCGGGTTCCTTGAAGGAATCCAACCACCACATGATTCACAAGGCTCCTCTAAACCAACTCGCAGAAGTGTCTTTAAGGATGTCAGGGCCCCTGCTATCCTAGGGACCCTGGCTAAGCAAAGACCACCCCAAACTGGGAAGGAAGACGAATAAAAGTCCCCATAGCTACCCACGCTCCAAACATGGAAGCTTGCTGGAGCTTGGAAGGCCAAATTCCTCCCAATGGACCTGCTGTCAACTTTGTTGGTGGGTTGGCGGCCCCTCATGCTCAGCGGGGGGGGGGGGGGTCCAGTTTCCAATGCCAGTCAAAGCACATAATTCGCCTCCAATTCCCGCCACAAGCTTGGGTCCCGTCAGCGCACCACAAAACCAAAACACTTCGGGCTTCCATCTTTTGATTGCCCCAACATGGACTTGAACCCAGGATAGTGGATTCTCCCAAAAGACACCCCCACTCCACCCCGTCTCCACCCAGCCACCCACCGTTCGTTTTCCTTAGCAGTCCACGAAACCGATGCGACCCTTCCTGCGTGCCCGTGGAGGACGCCGGCAGCGCCCTCACTGCGATGGACACCTTCTTCGATCCCTCGCCTTCCAGAGATGCAGGCGGCATGGGCCCCTTGCGTAAAAACCAGGGTTGACACCTCTATTGCTAAAAACAAGTTTTTCTTGGATTTGCCTTTGAAAAAGAACTTGGGTCTTGTTCCAGCACCTCTTGTTTCAATTGACCTCCTTTCGGTTTGCCTCTAAAATATGCCAGGGGTTGGTTGCTTCAAGAAATGGGCATGCTGGCGCTCCTAAAGTGGTTGGTTTTTGCTGTAAACCGGGGTGAAAACAGGGCACCATCCAAATACGCCCCAACTCCTCGAAAGCTGCTCCAAACGACCCCGGAGCTTATTTAGGTCTAGGGGACCCCAAAAAATGAACCTTTTTTTTCAATCTTCTGGCAAAAGGGGAAAGAACAATTCACCCATTCGGGCCTATCGCCCATTCGCCCCCGAAGCTTTCTGCCACTGTTGCACCCCCTGCCTTCGTCGGGCACCCGCGCCTCGAAGGAGCGGCCGTCCTCGGAGACCGTGCCCCAGCGCTGCAAATCCTCGACGGGGGTGGGCCAAAGGGTGAAAAGCCGCAGGAAATGGGATTGATCACCTGGCGTTGGCTTTCGCTATTGGTCCTTTAGAGGTAGCTTGGAGGTTTTTCGGGAGATAGCCTCGTCAATCGGGCGCGGGGTTCTGTTCGTTGAGCTCCCCTAGGTAGACTTCAACGCAGCGGTTTATTTCCCCCAAAAGGGCAGCTTGGAAAGGAGTCAACCCTGCATTGCTGACTCAAAACGTGCACCCCCGGCAGTTTCAAACAGGCGCACCTACCCTTCTCCTCGTCGGCAATGTGGACCAGGGTGCCGTCCACGTCGCTAAAGATTAACTTCTTCCCCATCTCTGCCGACTGCGCTTGACGCGCTCGAGCGCATAAGCCAGTGGGGTGCCAGCAATGTCTTTGTCGTTTGCTGCTGCATTATCGGACATCTGCTGTCTGGCCAAGGAATGTGTCTTCATGCTGAGGCAGAACAAGTGGAAAGAGCCGAGCAAACAGACATGTGTATGGGTCTTAGTTGACTTGCATGAGCTCCAAGAAGCCGTTTTGCCAGGAAGAAACAACCTTTAAGCCAAAGCTGAGGTGAGGCACAGCGCGGCCCAGGATCAGAGGAACACGTGGGGTCCCCAACCCCAGCAACTGCAATTCATCTGCCCCAGGGTTTCATCAGATGAAAATGTTGTATCTCGGCATGGTCGTTGAAAACACCAGGTGATGTTTGGAATTGGACCCTGTTTGTTGACCCCCACCCTATTCTCGGCTCCAGAGACCAAACTGTTTGGCTCCCTAACACAAAGGCGAACCATCCAGCCCTGAACTTTCCTGACCCTTGTGATGGTTTGCAAGTTGAGACAAGAAGGAAGCAAGAGTGGAAGACCGGTTTTAAACACTGTGGGGGTGCTGGAAGGTGACCGGTTTCGATCCAACCATGAATGGTTGATCTCACTTCAAAGGTCATGACCCTAATGTTGACACCCATGGAGGTCTGGGTGTAAACTGACACCTGATCTATCCCCACTATGGCTGCCTTGAGAGGATTCGTGTAAAACAAAGGAGCTTGTCTCCAAATTGGGGTAAGCTCGAAATGGATGGCGTCCCATAGAAGCACCCGAAAACAAATAGGAAATCCTTACAAAAACAATATGTGAGTTGGGCAACCCACCCTTTTACTCGGGTATAGTCTTCTACCCTGGGAATCGAGGTGCAACCTTCAAGTATCGAACCCTCGCCGCGTGCCAAGACTTCTGCCTGTTGGTGAGTGGCAAAACACCAAGTCAAGCTTGAAGTACAAACAGCAGCCAAGGAACAGGGGACTCTAACCAATTCGCCAAGTCTTCCGGCGTGTTTCGCACTTACGACCCTCTCGCTGAGAGCTTGGCCACACCCCCGGCGTCCGCGCAGTTGCAGCGCTCCTGGAGCTGTGCAGAGCTTAGAGCCCCCAACTCCATCCAAGAACGGAAGCAATTGGCTTGGGGCAAGGGTTAGTGAGCAAATAGGACACAACAGTGGGCTCAATGATTCTGCTTTTAGCGAAAACGGTTGCAGAACCCCTCTTTGGGGGTTGATCAACACTTCCATGTCTATAACGCGTTGGCTGATTGAAGGTAGTCTTGAAGGACTTGTGTGTTGCTCGATACTCGACTTTCATGTATTTGTGTAGATCCTAGATGGTGGTTGCCATGCACGATTACAGGGTGGCAACTGGGGGGAGTTTCTGAGCGTCATCACTTGGCTAACGACCAGGCTAATCAGCTTCCGATGAATAACCGTCGGATTTGTCAGGGCTGGGTCCCCTTGTTGTCAGCCTTTTAATACTCCCATTAAGAGCTGAATAACAATGCCTAAGGGTGGACCTACATCAGAGACAAATGTTTGTTGGAATGTTCTGTTGGGCCTCCAAATCGTAACTTGGTAGATGTGTATCCTAATACTCAGAAGGTTTCGTGCATCCCAACAGTCCCTGTGTAGGCTGTCGCCCATCCACTGCATTGATCTGTGCCTTCCACATGCGCATGAATTTCAATTTGGGACACTTTAAAACTTGGTGGACATGATTTGGGGATTCATGTCCACCAAGGTGGTTCCTGACAATTCAGGGCCATATGCCTGCAAATTCTACATCTGAAAGGGAAACCCAGGTAAGCCATAGGCCCGGAGCTACATTCACCTCTGAACCCAATCCTCAGAAGCCACGCCACAACTCCCACAAGCCGGCTGCCTCCCCGGTGACCACGGAGCTTCGGGGGAGGAAGACCCGCAGCCGCGGCTGCACCGCCGCTGCCAGGGCCTGCGGCGATCCGCAAAATGGCTCCAGCTCCCGAAACCTGGGGCGAAGCGGCGATTCAACGTCCATGGCATGGGACGGGCTTTGTTGGTGGGCATCGGCTACACTGACTCTTGGGATTATATGGTTATGAAGGTTATAGGAGGCAGAACGGTGGGGTGGTGCAGGGATGGGGGTATGGTGGACACTTGGGGTCTATTTCGCCGCTATTGGAGTCGGCAAAATGCTTGAAGGTACCCTTTTTGAAAGTTGTTTCAAAGGGAAACCAACAGGGAATTTCTGTGTAAGTTATTTTCCGGGGTACCTCCTGAAACGCGGCGTTTTGTGGAGCTGGCACCTTTGGTTGCTTGAAAGGAGAACCAAAGAAAACCGCGTTCCAGTATCCACTAGGGTCATTTGCCCCAATCTACCTTGAGGTAGAGAATAGGGGGTGGAAACCATTTTGGAGATATGGCGCTTGAAACATGCATGCATCACATGTGCCATGGTCAAGATTCAGCGGACAAGCCCCAGCGAAGAACGAATAAAAGAGACAAACAGCCTGAAACCTTCCCGGAGCCTGGCCAGAACCCTCCAGGAAACCTGCCCTCATCAAGCCTATTGGTGGAGACACCGTAGCCGCTCTTTGCCAATCAAAAGGGCCTGGAGGGGCGGTGGCTTTTGGAGACTCTCGGGGATGTCGCGCACGTAGGCGATCTTGCCTGGCCAAGGGGGGGGAGGACTGTGTTCCTGGGCGTCCTGGTGCCCAGATGAAAAGAACCTGCCACACAAAGGATACATACATATGTATATATATTTATATCTATTGAACAAGCCACTTAATGAACAAGGATCCAAGTTGTTTTTTATGACGAGGTGCAGGAAGTGGTGCGTAGCGTGGTGCGAAATTCGGGCTCTGAAACCAGTTGCCAGGAGGAAGCTTGAAAGCGATGCGCGACACGCGCAACACACTGGGCTGGGACCACGACTTGCCTAAAGAAGCAATAATTAAAAGTAGTTCAACTTGGGCAACACATGCCAACATGGGTGCGCAAGCTGTCTTGAAGGCACTTTGGCTCACAACTTAGTTCAGCTCAGCCATTGACCTCTTCAAACATCAGAGCAGCGTGTGGGAAGGGATCACTCTGTTCTACACACGCGCCAGGCCCGCAAGATTTTCGGACAAAAACCGGACTCAAGGGAAATCACTTCAGCCAAAATGCCACCCCGAGAAACACAATCCGAGTCCATCAACAAAGGCAAACAGTACTTGGCCCTATGACATCTCAGTTTCACCATACAAGTGTTGATTGGCCAGCAGCGCTCATCCGCCCCGCAGGGAACTCATTTGTGCTCAGGCGAGACAAACTGCATGAGCGCCCGACGCATGTTTTGCTGACCTAGGAAGGTCTGGAGATTTCCGCATTGGTTGCGGAGCTGGGTCGTTGGGACCTGGCACGCGGGTTTCGGTGGAGCCCCGCAACAGTGCGGATGAACTCCTCAGAATCTGGGGGTTCTGGAGGTTTGAAGTACTTCAGCGGAGGGTCCGAGGATTTCAAGGAGTACCAGTGCTGGAAGACATGGGTGCTGAATAGAATCATGACCTTACACAAGCTCCAACCAAGGCTCACGGCCCGTTCCTGTACACACTGCTGAGTTGTCGTGCCTTGGAATGCGTGGAGCACCTTGACCCCTGCGACTATCAGATTGACGGACGCTCGCTTTCCCAAGAAAGACCAGGGCGAGGCCGTCGGCGAGATTTTCTCTTTGAGGGCCAAAGATGGAGAATCCATTCCATCAAGACCTGGATCAGCCGTGCCACTGAGCTGGTTGATCGAAAGACCGGAGTCACCTTTCCGGAGGAGGCCAAGGGATGGATGCTACTCAACTGGGCTGGCCTCTCCGAAGAGCAGCGAGGTGGTTCGTGCCAGAGTTCAGGGGGCCCTGAAACGCGAGACGCATCGCTCAGAGCATGCGGTCGCGCTACCCCGACCTGGCGATCTCCAAGCGCAAAGCCAACGCTGCGGCTTTTGTAGATGAAGAGCCAGATGTGCCGGACTTTGCCGAGTCTTCCATGGATAAAACTACCCCTTGGTGGGTCACCACACCGACTTCCAGGATGTCGAGCAGTTTCTTGCGGAACCATGGTCTCGACAAATTTGAGGAGTCAGATGTGGCGGAAATTCTTGCTGCTACGTGGAAGGAAAAGCGGGCAGAGCTGTCGAAGTTGCAGAAGGCCGGACAGTTCCGCCAACATGGAGAGGCTTGCAGAAGCTACGAAGTGCAATCGCTGCTGCCGGGTAGGCCACTGGGCCCGTGAATGCCCGATGTCGCGAGATTCCGGCAAGGGCTCTGGAAAGGGGTCCGGGAAGAAGGGCTCAAAAAAAGCTCGAGCATTTTGTGGCCACCGTTGCTCTTCACCAGACCCTGGTGGAGAAGCTGCGAGAGCACTTGGAGGTCAGGCGAAACATCGAGCCCGCCTGGCCATCAAGCATTCGGTGGGACTAGTGTCTTCTCCAGGATACGGAGTCCTGGATTCCGGTTGTGGCAAGACGATCATGGCACCCCGCAGTAGAAAGGGAGGCCCCCCCTGGTCCTCAGTGTTTCGAAGGGTTGTGCACAATGCCGACACCAATCAAGTTTTGTTTGACACCAACGTTAGGGGCAAGGGTAAGTGCGAACTGCGACAACCCATCCCTTCCAAAGTGTGGCACACTCGCACAGAGTTGCATTTCTGCCCTGAGCCATGTGTTTCTACAACTACGAAGCTCACAGCCCATCAGACCTGGCAGCTCCAAGCCCAGATCAAGCAGTGCGCAGCAGTGCAGAATCTAAACTCTTCCGTAGGTGCAAAGTATCGTGTTGCAGAGATTTTCTCTTTGTCTCGGTTTGCTCCGATTGTAGAAGAACAAGGTTATCGTGCATGGTCAGTGGACCTCAAGACAGGATACGACCTTTCTAAGCCCTCGGTGTGCCGTGAAGTAGAAGCTGAGCTCAAACAAAACCCACCGGCCTTACTTGTCCTGCGTCCACCGTGCACTGATGAAGGCGGCTGGTTGCATCTCAACAGCCTCTACATGGACTGTTGGGAGTACCTCCGAAGGCGTGCTCGCAGCCGAGCGTTCATTCGCTTTTGTTGCACTCTAGGTTCCCGTTTGTGGTCTTACCCCGAGGTGCAAGACTTAGCCCGAAAGTACTCAGTGCTAAAGCGCCACATGTGTTGCTGCGGATTCCAACTTCCAGGAAGCAATCAGTTGATCCGCAAAGGCACAAAGTTGATGGTGTCCCATGAACACATGCGTTCACTCGAGCGTACATACCCGGGCAAGGCGGCTTCTCAGCACCAATGCCACGATGCGATTGCCGGTGATTGCGTTGCTCAAAACACCCCTGAATTCACGAAAGCGGTGTTGCAGACTCTCAAAACTCCTACTCCACATGCCCACTCACGACGCCTGGCATCACGTGGATGCGGCGATGAAAGAGTCTGCGAACTTGCCAGACGAGCAGGTGATCCTGTTCTTCAGAAGCTCCACCGCAATTTGGGACACCCCCCAAACTCAGACATGGTCCGGATATTGAAAAATGGCAACGCTACAGAGCAGGCCTTGAGACTTGCTCGACAGCATTCGTGTCCGTTCTGCGCAAGCCAAGTTCGACCAAATGCGCCGATGCCTGCCCAGGTCTGCCGCGTACCCAAGTTCAATCAATGTGTCGGCATGGATGTTGACATCTTAGCGGTTGGCGTCCGAATCAGAAAGTCAAGGCACTGAACCTGGTTGATTACGCTAGTGGCTTTCAGCGAGCGGTTCCTTTCTTTGAGGGTGAAACAGCCATAGAAAGTTGTTGTCAGAACACTGGATCAGGTCCCCCGTCCGAACTGGTCTTGGACCCAGCGCAGACCCATTTAGGTGCCGAGATGACTGTTCCTTCCGAACTTGAGGGTATTCACATCAGACCCATTGCTGCAGAGGCCCGCTGGCAATTAGGTAAAGGTGAGTCTCACGGCGGGTGGTTCCAGCGTGTGCTCGCTCAAGTCGTGGAGGAGCAGCAGCCCCGTGACCAAGCGGAGTGGCTCATTTGCGTTCAACAAGCCCACGTGAAGAACCAGATGATCCAAACTTATGGTCACACGCCTCACCAGTTTGTTTTTGGGAAGAATCCCAATGCGCCCAGCGATCTGTTGAATGAACCCCTCCACGTAGTTCCAGCCACGGCGAGCCTCACTGAGGAAGCAATTGACGTGCCCAGGCAATTCGGTTGTCTGCCCGCCAAGCTGTGTTGCAGCTACAAGATGATCGCGCTCTGCGCCGTGCTGTGAACGCAAGACCTAGAGTAACTAGGGCTTTCCAGCCAGGTGATCAAGTTGCCTACTGGCGAAACCAAAAGCGGTGGGTCAGGTGCACAAGGAGGGCAGATGGTAGTCCTCTCAAGAATATCCTTCCGACCCCGATTTTGATGATCTGAACCTAGTCGTGTGGAGTCGTCACCTGCTGTGCCGGCGGAAGCGAGCTCACCCATGCCTGAATCGTGACTGGACTCGCCAGCCCACCACGCCACGTCGGATACCCACATGCCTGGCAGTAGCGTCAGCCCTGGTTCAGTTTCACACACGACGCAGCAGAGCCCAGAACAGGTTATGGCCCGATTGGACACCGAATCACCCACAAGCAGAATCAGGGGTGTGGCGGCCTAGCCCTCTGCGGCAAGACGATTTCTCCGAACTCATGCGTGAGGTGGTCTCACCTGCTGGAAGAAAAGGCCCAAAAAGAGCTTCCGATGACTCCAAGCAAGAGGGTCCACTGTGCTGTCTAAGCATGCAGTGAAGGTTCACCACGGCAAGGCAGCCCAAGAAATTAAAACCAATTTTGCTCATCGTTTCATTGGTAGCCGCTTTGTGATTACACGTAAGCCAGCAGAAGAGGGTACCAGTGTTGATCCGTCTCGTCCGGAGACTTCGGGTAAAGAGTGAAAGGCCTTGGAGGGCTGGTTGCAGTTGCCCACGCTCAGTCAACTGGGCCGCACTGCGCTCATTCAGCTTTTGGCCTCCTTGAAGTGGAAGTTGCAGCTGGTGATGTCAAAGGTGCTTTCTTGGAGGCAGGCCCTCTTGAAGAGCGACACCGTCCCAGCCGGGGGAATTCCGGGCGTACCCGAATCATCAGTAATTGAGGTGCTTGGGAATGTCTATGGCCAAAACGATGCCCCCACTTCTTGGTTTCAGACGTTCAATGCGGCTGCCCTCAAGTTGGGTTGGGAACGTAGTTCTTCGATCCGTGCCTGTACTTTCTCAGAGATTCCTCTCGTGCCTTGCGCGGGTTGATCGGTGTGCATGTTGACGACACTGGGGAAACGGACCTCTGTTTGAGAGCTCAATCAAGGCCCTGAAAGAACCTTTCCCATATCGAAAGTGGCGCATTGGTGAGGGAGAATTCTGCGGCGCTTACTACAAGCAAATTTCCCTCAGAGGGTTTTCGCTGAGCATATCCGACCAAGAGTGCAACTCCGAGCCAGCCTCTCAGCAGCAGATCAGTGCGCTTAGGGCCATCACTGGGAGCTTGAACTGGTTGACCTCTCAGTCTAGACCAGACATGGCAGCTCTAACCAGCATGTCTCAACAAGCCTTTCCAGACCCCTGCATTAGGAATCTCAGACATGCAAACAATGCCATTCGCAGAGCTCGCCAGTTCAGTGACCTGTCCATCCGCCTTGAACCCATTTGCCCCGAACGTCTCACTGTGTGTTGTCACTCGGATGCTGCCTTTGCCAATATGGGAATCACCGATCTCCAACAAGGAAAAGAGGTCCCCCGCGTCCCAGCAGCTTGGAAAAGCTATCGTTTGCCCAGGGCAGTGAATTCAACCTAGGCGCTGTGAGCCAAGCCCTGGCAACAGCGTCAGGGTCCGTCGAGTGGCTGCTACTGCTGCTAGCTGAGGCACTTGATGGTTCCTTTGACCTCCGTAAATCAGAGAAGTTCTGGGTCGCAGGAGCCGCTGTTGGTGACTGCAAGTCACTGTATGACCACCTGATGTCTCCATCTAGCCCTACAGATAGGATGCTGGCCGACTCCCTTACCAAGGACAAGGGTGATCCAGTTGATTTGCTGCGGTCTTGCATGAACGCCGCTGCCGTTTGTTACGGGGTCGTCAACGCCAGACCTCAACTTGTCCGGGTGATGACTCCTATGTGAGTCATTGACTTGTTGTGCCATCAGCATTAACCGCCAATGGCTTTTCCCCTAGCCATGTTCCCTTGAGTCGTTTTGCTCAACTTCAGCTTGTCGGAAATGGGGTAATTCCCTCGGTGTCAGCGTGTACAGCCGCACCTGTAGCTGAGCAGTTGAGTGGTATCACCTTGTGTCCTTTCAGTGATCGAGCTACAAGTTGAATAAGCATTGCCCCGTCCTAAGTTCTGTAGGCAATCACGCAGTCCTTCTCCACTGCCGAATGTGACACCCTTCGTCAGCTCCTACTCAAAGCCAAAGAATCTGGCGTACTGCAAGAGCTGCTGAGTGACTTCACCCTTGTCGAGGACAAGCAAGAAGACCTTGGCGATTTCGAGCTGGCGGGAGGCATGAGTGATGCTTCAAAGCGCCGTTTGCCGGCGCCGTCAGATGCTGTCCAGAGCAACTTTCGCCAGAAGACCAATGCCAAGGCGTCGGAGAAACCGCCAGTTGAGACTCAGCTGCCCAAGGGGACCGACCATATCGCCTACCGTAAGGGTGCCAAGACTCGTGCCGGCCAAGAATTCACTGGCCCTGTCCGCGACCTGGCCCTCTCTTGAAAGTGTTTGAAAAGTACCAATCGGAGAATGCGCCATGCTTCCCAGGCAGCGAATGTGCCCCGCCGTTTCAGGAAGTGATGGATTCCCTCAAAACACTGTCTCTCGATCCTTTCTTTGTGATTTGAAAGAGTAGAGACCAGTGTTGATTGGCCAACAGTGCTCATCCCCCCCGCAGGGAACTCATTTGTGCTCAGGCGAGACAAACAGCATGAGCGCCCGATGCATGTTTTGCTGACCCGCACAAGTATGGCCAACTGAAGAATCATGGCTGGCCCAACTTGATTTGCACCTCAAATCAGCCTTCAAAACTGCCCTCGGAACAAGGTCCAATTCTCCGCACCACGATTTGCATCAAGTGGGCCAAGGAACATCATGGCTCGTTCCCTAGGAGCTGCTGAAGCCTTTTCCGCACCATGAGTTGCGCCTCAAATCTTCCTTCAAAACTGCCCTCGGAACCAGGACCAATTTGTCGCATCACAATTTGCACCAGAAAACAAAGAGCCTAAAATGGTCCAGAAGCACAAGCATAGCCTTATGCATTACGTAATTTGTTCAACATATATATATATATGTATATATATATATATATGTATATATGTATATAGAGAGCGAGAGAAAGAGAAAGAAAAAGAAAAAGAAAAAGAAAAAGAAAAAGAAAAAGAAAAAGAAAGAGAAAGAAAAAGAGAAAGCGAAAGCGAAAGCTTCCTTCTGCCCGCCTTTTGAGACACTGACTGACCTTCTTTTGAGGACTCGGGAATCATTTGGAAGGCGCTCCATTGGTTCCAACAAGTAGTTGGAACACAGAAATGAGCGCTGTGAATCTACCGGACCACGAGGTCCAAGTGGCAACAGTTTCCTTCCAGTTTTCCCTGTGGTTTCTTCTATTGAATCGCTTTGGCTTCCGGCTTTTGGCTCCCCGTCACTGAAAGTTGATCCAAAACCCCCAATCTTGGCACTTTCAACCAAATGGAATCTCACAATAGAGAATCAGGACAGGATTCCGGGCGTTCTTGATGGGACCCTTTTTGCCGTTGTCCTTGAAACGCCAAAGGTTTCTCTTTGGAGGTCCCAAATTTGGAAACAAGCCCCTTCTGACAAACAGCCACATCCAGCCCAGCCCAATTCAGCGATCAGATCGCCGGGAAAGAAACGACGCCTTTGTCGTCCAGCTCGTAGAAGGAGATGCCCTTGATCCTCGTGTGAAAATAGTAACCCCTGATGAAACAACCTGGAGGAGTTTGATCATTGCTCCCCAAGATCGATCCTGAGAGTCGCATGGCAAACTGGAGTCACATGGTGGTTTCTCCTCACAAAGATCCCGCTACAAATTGGCCCAAGAGGTGAAGACTCCCCATCGCCAGCCGCTGAAAATCATGGTTCCCCAAAATTGGTTGGTGGCCTGTTGGTTTCCCTTTACCAACCAACCACAAGGGGGTCCGACCCTCATGTTGAGAACTCCGAAAAGGACCCCCCGAAACGCCCAAGAGGCCCACGGACACCTGGGCACATTTTGTCCAACTCGCTGTCAGTTAGACAACAAATTACAATAGCTCACCAACTGGAAATAGGAAATCCCCAGAAAAGAACCTCAGGAACGAGGACCTTGTCTGCAAAGCAAAGCACGAGGAAACTTGGCCCCTCACCGGTTGAACACTCCCTCTCGAGACTCGAGAAGCACCACACCTCGGAGCATCCTCCGGCGCGCCGGCGATCTCCACGTTCCAGGTGAAGCCTGAAGATTTGACGACGGAAAAAGGCGCCGAGCGCCAGTTCTGGAGTCACCCCTTTTGGCAAAAAATAACACACAAGTGGCCAAGGCTATACGTCCGAGCACATCAGGAATGAATGGTTTGGTCTCCTTTCTTGAAGAGCAGTCAGTCGCGAGTAGGCAAACCGTTTTTTGGCTGAGGTGACAGGCCACATGGCACAAGGCAGTACGGGTTTAGCCACATGATCCCCTTGACAAGTCCCGCGGATTGAAGCCTGGCCATGGACCGCCCGTCGCAATGACTGCACTCCCAACCTCTGTTCACTTCCACGTCATTTGGTTGGGCCAAACAACCTGGGGATCCACAAAACCGGGTCCCTTACTGAATCGCCTGGGCGCCGGGTCCACGGGTCCGAGACCCCCGGCAACAAGCGCGGCGGCCATCGGAGAATCGTTCTGCCACGAACTTGAGAGCCTTGATCTCCGCCTCAGACGACTCGTCTGACAAGGGGGCCACTAAGACCGATTGAGCGTATGAGAGGGTTCATGCACTGATTCAGAGCCACAGCAAGCAGAAGAGCAACCTAGCAGTGACTATTAACTCAGGGCAGCGGAGATTGTTGCGGAGTACCCAAAAAGTGGGAACCCGGTCGGTGTTCTGTTCCCGGGACCATTCAAGGGTGGGTCCCCAAAATGGCTGGAAGCTCCCCTGATTCGATTCCCAATGGACATGACAAAGTCGTTTGCTCTGGCAGAAGTTGTGGCACAAGGCCTCGTGAGCAGTCAACCCGCATCTTCCCCGGTGGGGAGACGAAACTCGCCCTATCTTTGCCGATGGTCTCTGGCTGTTGCTGGATCCTGCTTCCTTGTCAGGATGTGAAGGGTGTCCAAAAAGCGGACGGGCCCAAAAAGGGGGTCGTTGGAACGCGCCAATGTTGTTTGTGTCTCACATGCTCCAATCCCAACGCAGACTCTGGGCTCAGAGCGAATTTCTCGAGGAAGTCACCTGGCTACATTCTGATTGCCATTCTCCCCTACAACGGGCGGCGCACAGTTTGGGAATGGGTTCAAATCAGCAACCAGCTGTTGAGAACCAACTGAGTCGCAAAACAATCCTGCTGTCAAAGGAATTCACCCACAACCCATACGAGAATGTAATTACATTTGATTCTAAAGCCACCAATTCTGCTTGGACGTGTCCCCTACTAATCTTCAAGCAGCTGAGATTTTGGTTTGACTCGAAATGAGGCAGTATTGCAACAAATGCTCGTGCAATCCAAGGTCGTGGCCGACTTCCTCTTTGCCACCTGCGAAAAGCCGAAACCGGGCATTTGCCACAAGGCCAGAAGCCCGCATTGCGTTCTGTGCACACCATTGTGGCATGATGACCACAGACTCCACAAGGAAACCGTTGGATTTGGAAAGCATTTCTCATCAGGTTAGAAGTCAAGAGACAATAAAACGATAAGAGGTGAAGGGTTCCGCGAGGTTGAAAGCTTAAGGGTCAAGCCATCAAAGCAGCCTCTGGAGAAACACCATCTTTAGTGGAAACCAACAACGGACCGCCAAAATGGGTGTCACTCAACGACTAGGTCTGCTTCAAAGGGCCACTCTTTGAGTGCCGGGCGCATGGGCATCTCGTAGTTGAAGTCTTCATAGAGCACCTTCCAAAGTTGCCCAGTGAACCGAGTCCGCGCGATAGGGTGCCAACGAGACCGGCACCAAAGACTCAAAGAACCCAGAGAGTTCTTCAATTCCAACGCCTGGTCTACTGTTAGCATCGCACCAATCACTAAAAGAGCTCCTTGGTTTGACACCTGCGCCACGATCAAAATATACGGTTTCGCTTAGGGGCATGGAAAGATCAATTGGTGTGTCCCCATGATTGCTGTGGTCGGGATTTTGGTGAGCTGCCCACGTACCGATCCCAAATTGATCATATTGCTTGTCGCTTTTGCTGACCCCACCTCAAACATCGTGAATCCACCACTTTCGGCAATCCCCACTTTTTGCAGCCTTTGGAGCCACCAGTCGACCTCGGCGACAGCTCGGCGACACCCGCCTTGTCCGCAAAGAAAGTCACAGACTCCGAAGGAGCGGCGTTGCCCTGCAACTCGGCCCAGAGGTAGCGGCAGATGTCGCCTCGAATTCGATTCGCTGGCTCCGTAAAACCATGCATCCACAAACTGCGGAAACCAAAGCGTCCAACCCAGGTAAAATGTTGCTGTCCCAGCTGTAGATTTCAACCCACACCCTGAGTACGCGGCTGGCCCCAGACGGAACGCGCTTCTCAGCCTGTGAGTGAAGAGCGTGATTTTCGAGTTGAACATAGTAGAACGCCTTGCCATGCCCTTTGGATACCCTACAAGCTCCCATGAAAGCCCCCGATTCTTGCAGTACGGGGCTTTATGAGCCTTCAAAGGCAGGTGTTTGGCCAGGGTCTGTGGGGACTGGTGTGTAACGTCCGTGAGTTTTGCGTGTGGCTTGGGGGGTTCCGAGCATCGTTGGGCCCTGGTGGTTTGTGGGCTCCAATTTCGGACCCCGCTCTGGCATCCGGCCCCAACAATCGGCCGCGCTTCTCGTTTACAAGTTGCCCTACAAGCACTGCCGTCGTGGCTGGAGAACAGAGCTGCTAGGGCCATGGTCACTACCCCTCTCCCCATCTCGGGGTAGATAAGCATACAGTGGAACAGCAACCAGGAAACCAAGGAGTGTGAAGACTATAAGCCAGTCATGCGCTAGACCTCCGGATGAAAAGTCTGCAACCGACCGATAAAGATGAAATGCATCGATCCCCAAGCTCATCGGCTGGCTGCCAAGTGCGAACAGCGCCTGGTTCTCAAAGGTGGCGACGTTGTCCCCGCTGATGGCCTGGCCAGGTGACCCAAAAGAAGACCCGGAACCGTCCTGCGAGTGGCCAGTCCTTGTGTAGATGTTTCTTTCCTTCCAGGTGATTCTCAAAACTGGAACCTCCGAAGAGTTCATCTTCGCGCCTTGAGCAACTGCACGGTGGCGTCCCCAGGCTTGTAAAGGGGCTCGCAAATCTCCCGGAGGTAGGCGATCTTCCTGAGCCCATGGCAATGAGTCGGATCCAAAACAGGGCGCCGAAACGCACTTCTCCCTCGCAAGTTAACATAGCAACAAAAAAGGGTCCCCCCAAAAGGAGATTAAACTTCTTTAAACATGCGGGTAGTTGGGGTTACATGTTCTTCTGCAGGGAGTATGAAACTGATATTTCTTCCCACAAAGGGCCAAACCCTGGGCCCTGGTGTCCATGTTCCACTGGTCGGGGATGTGCAAGTGCGCCTAATCCCCTATGACTCGATTCATTCTGAGAAACGGAGCTGGGTGCAATGGGCGCCCTGGCTTGCCTGGCTCAAAAAATGCACGAGGGTTCACATAAGCAGCTTGGGTGAAGAGCCAACTTGCAGACGAGCCTCCCTTGACCGTCTAACTCCACGTAGGTAGTTCCGCGGATTCCGATCTCAGAGCAAGAAGTGTCTGCAAATTGTGCATGCTGCACGCCATCAATCATTCGGCTGGTCCCCAAGCAATGATTGCCCTCTTTGAGCTTCTATAGAAGACAGTCTTCATTCACATGCAACCCAACATATTTATGTGAGAGGAATCTCCTGTTAAAGCGCCCCCTTTTTTAGGACCCTTGTTCACTTGCAGGAAAGAAATAATTGCCCCTTGGAAAACCAACCTCCAATGACATCTCCTTGTTGGGGTTGCAAGCCAGAGATGAAATCCACTGGGCACAACTACATCCACAGTCGCCCGATTCCTTCTGCAAGAGTGTCCCTTCTTGTCATGCCCGGTCTTGTCTTCCCCACAAAATGGGGCAAACGGCTGTGGGTCAAAAAATGGTACCCAAATTTGCACCTTGCTATGTGGAAGCAAGATTAACACCTGCGTAACCGCAGCTGTGCAATTTTGAGCCACACCCAAACAGTTCTGGAAGGTTCCCCAATTTTCAAGGGTCAGCTTCTCTTGCTCTCAAGGGAAACTGGGCGCACGGCTCCTCCATCCTGCTCCAAATGCCATGTGAAGCCACAAGACCTCGCAGCTTCAAGCTCCTTTTCCCACTGGGTTGGCAACCCCATGCTTTGCCAAGCTGGCCACTTACAGCGCAGAGCAATTGGTGGCTAGGGCAAAGAGTCTTAGATACGGCTTGGAGCCCCCCGAGTGATGTTACTGGTTCTACCAGAGCTATGACGGTTTAGATCGGACGGTCTGATAAAGCAATAAGTCTTTCTCGGGATTTCGGGCACAATCAAAACCTGGTATAAAGAGTGTTTATGCACATGTACCTAATTAACAGGCCGGATATCCGCACTTGAGTCACAATCAAAACCGCAGACAGTCCCCCTGTCTTGATCCCAGAGATGGAATGCCCAGCCTGTCGCCGTCACTGAGACGGTCCACCACGAGCCTAAAGCAAAGGCTTCCGGCCATCGTCAGCAAACAGCCACCGTTCAATCCAAGGTTTACTCGTCCTGCAATCAAAACCGCAGGAAATGCCACCATTTACAATTTACAACCAGTACTTGCAAAATGTGCGACCAGCTCCGAACAAAACAAGTCCCCGCCGTTGATTGTTTCGCCTGATTCCGTCTTCTCCAAACAAAACCATGGCTTCGTATAGCGGCAGATGAGAGCCTCAGAATACAACACCACTGCTGCCAACCGAAAGAAGAAAAAAAAGCTGGCAGCCCCACGTGCCGCAGGCGGACTTGTTCTCCAGGTATCGGCGGACCTGAAAATCCAAAGGCAAGAGCCAACAGCCCCAGCCTTTGGTTGGTCGACAGCCTCCTGAGAACTGAATTTGTTTTGGGCAGCTGTCATTTTCCAGGAAGTTATCAAGGCGCCATGGCTTTGTCTCCAATGGGAACTATTTAACGGCAAACAAATGCGACCCTCCTCCAACATGGTCTTGGCAACAAAGGAAGGCGGAAAATGATCAGAATCAAACTCAAACCAGTGCCATCTGTTCAGCCACTGTGTTCGCCTTGGTTGCCTTTTCGGGTAACCGAGCTGCCACCCTTGCGCCGAGGTTTCGACTATCCCCAAGTGCTTCCCCCAAGCCACCAAGAAAATTAAGGTTGATAACTATTGATAACCTTCATGCGGTGGCTTTTGGCTCTTGGTCCTCATTGCCCTTTGGGGGCTTGGGGGCACTAGATGAACAGCGCGGTGTCAACTTGTGCCCAGAGTCGCCTCCGAAAACCGCTACCGGCGTAAACCGAGGGTCGGGCGCCCTCCCGGCCTAGGCCAGGCTCGGCGAAGTAGGTGTCCTGCCATTTTGGGAAAGGGACTTGTCACTCCATGTTCTCATGTTCTTTACTTAAGTGTCTGATACGGGGCACTCCCCTTTTGGTGGCTCAAGGGGAAGTTCTGGCACACCCCGACGCTTCTCGACCCGTGGATACTCGCGACCAGTGCCGCCACTTGCCCCGGCGTGCAAGTAGCTGGTGCCCAAGTCCCTGGGGCCGTAGGGCCACTAACCTAAGTACTGCGCAAGCTCAGTCGTCCAGGTCGATCTCAACGTAGGTCCGCTTCGTCCCTCCCGGCCGCAGGTCCCGGAAGACTTCCGGCGCAGTTTGGGTCGGGCAAATCCGCGCCAGGCCCACGGGACACTGGGAGCACCTGGGGTGCTGCGGGCGGCAGATCTCCTGGCCGAAGCCAATGAGCCGCCTGCCAAGGGGAGCTCATAGGGTGGGGATCTTTTGCGCCGGTGGAAACCTTGAGCCCTTGATAAATTATCCATGTCGTCACCTGGCGTCCAGCTGAGCAACAATTAGCATGTGTTGCTCCGTAACAAAGGTAAGAATATTAGGACTCGTCCCCTGGTTTGTGGGGGGGCCATGTTGAAATCAGAGCTCGCCCCCATGTCCCGAAACCGAAACGGATACGTCATAGTGCCGATTCCGTGATATCTTGGATTTCGTGAGGTTGCCGGGGGTATGGCGTCTGGACGGGAACCCTTTTGCAGGGGAACCGCCATTTGTTTTCTGGAAACCTGACCCCGCCCCCTATGTACGCACCTGTACGGGAAACCACCCATTCTTGGAATGCATAGATTTCCTCTATGTCTGTTTGCTTTTGCGTGGCCTGGTCACGAGCTCCCTCATCTCTGGCGCCACCAATTCCTCCAGGGGTTGGCGATTCGGCCCCCTTTCTTAAGCCAACCAAGGCTTCAACAAGAACTCGGTTTGTTTCCTTTCTAGTGGAGGCCCATTCAGGTTTGGTTGTTGAAGCATGACAGTTTTGACGCAACTCTCTCCAACAATCATGGAAATTGACAGGAGTGCTTTGGAAGATGGCTTTCCTTTTGTCACCCGCCCATGATTGGGGGCAAATCGCAATATATATATATATATTATATATATATATATATACATATATATATATATGTAATATATAATTCAATTGATAAGGAAACTCCAAGTAAGGAATCTTTATATGGTGCAAAGTCAGCTTTATGGGGCCCTGTAAAATAGAGACCCCCTTTTCCTATGCTAAAGGGAAACATGCGCCAAAACAAGCCATCTTTCGGGGTCCCCGATTAGAAACGCACTGACTGTTGGACGTGGCCTCCAAGTCTTTCCGCGTGGCCTCTGGCGTCTTGCCCTGGGACCAGCCCAGGCGCCCGGCTACGCGGTGCACATGGGTGTCCACCACCATCCCCGCCTATCCGAAAAGATGCCTGGTTTTTGAGGTGGCACCCTTCTTTCCTGGTTTGAAGGGGACCCATCCGCCAAAAAGATCCCAAAATGTGGGTGTCCAGGGGCCCAGATCATTTGAGAGACGCATAAGTTGTGATTCAAACGTCTCCCTAGAACAAGCCACCCCGTCTGCCAGCTTGTCGCACCTTTCAACTTCCATCGAGAGGGCTTGAAGGGGTTCCAAGAAAGCCTTAAGAACCCTTTCTTAGAATGTTCCTGAAATGGACGGCGGAGGGCTCAAACCCGGCACCTGGGAATGGTTGAAGGTCACCGACAGCACCAGGTTCGCGATCTTGGGCCCCACCCCCGGCAACGCCGTCAGCCCCTCGAAGCTGCGAGGCACCGCGCCGCGGTGGTCCCTGGCGCAGGTTTAGCCTTCCCGGTGCCCAAATCCCGATTGGTCTCTCGATGCTGGCAAGAAATCCAAAAATTCGGACTCCTGGCTCCGAAGGTGTGTCGTCTGGGAAGGGGGAGTGTAAAACTGGATCTCATCCCTGTGAAAGTTCCTTCTATGCTCCGCCTGGCACACCACCTGGAAAAGGGCATTGCCCATACTGGCATGTGCGGACATTCTGCGCCAATCAAAATTCAACAACCCAAGTTAAGGACTCCCCTAGATCCGTAAGCTCGAGGAACCTCCGAAGCTCTTTGGGAGTTGTGTCTGGGGACTCTCTGACCAGCCATGGAATCTACACGCGTTGCCGACGTCTGGAAGGGTCATACCCATTTCGCCATCCCAGCAACCGCTAACAGCCGCCCCTTTTGGTTATTGGGGCGACCAGGTTGAACGGTGGCTTGGAGCGAAAACAAGAGGCTCCAAGGTCCAAGTGGTTCTTTGGTTCTTGCGGTGGGCTTCTTTCGAAATGAACCCAAAAAGGGGTCCGACACGCTTTAACGAAAAAAATCCAATTGCACATCTGCGCATATGATAACATGGAAGAAGGGATCCGAAAGATTTGTGCAAACCAATGACCAGGTCATCTAAGATTCTGGACCACTCGTGCCCAGCCCTGTTTTTCCTGGGCTTTTAGCCACCCTGCGACCAAGACGGCCGCCTTCCAAACGGATTCGACCCATAGGCTTGCACCAAATGATGTATGCATATACACAACCACATATGGGAGTGGGTGCGCATGTGCACGGATGCATGCATGGGACGGGGGATGGGATGAGACGGGGCGGGACAGGACGGGAGGAGAGGGGGAAGGAATGCGATGGATGCATGCACACACACAAAAAAAAGGATTTTGACAAAATATGTACGGTGCAATACATATGTGTGTATATATATATATACATACAAATATTTATCTATTTATGTATGTATGTATGCATGCATGTATATATATATATATATATATATTGTTATATTTATATGTGCTTCTATATACCAACAAACATACCCCACAGTGCAAGTTTAGTCCCTTTGGCTGCCGAACGGTTCGATCGGACTCTGACCAGCAAAACCGAAACTGCGACCAATGGCGCAGCCTCAAGAGGTAGGCCGCGAGCTCTTGGAGTCTCCGCGCCTGAAGGATGGCTGAAATCCACAAATGAGAAGAGACGATGGCTCCAGTCTTTCTTTGAAAAGACGGTGGGAAAAGACAAAGTACAAGGGGAACAAGCAAAACTCGCCAAGGTGCAAAGAAAACGCCAAAGGAAGGCCAAGGAAAAGGCCCTCCAGAAACGGCCAAAGAAAGCGAATGGGGTCAGCTTTTTGAGGGGTGGAGGCGGCAGTAAAACATACATCCTAAACTCCATTCAAACCGCAAAATCAAGAACTAGCATGTTGCTTACCCCTCCGATCCACCAACACGGAACCCTCCAAAGTCCCGGTTTGGACAGTATGACCCAGGGCCTTGGTCTTGAAATAGTTCACCCCTTGGAGGCATTGCTCCACCAGCTTCGGCGGCGCCAGCGCCAGCGCCGCGGGGCTGAACTTGGGCAGCGGCTGCGCACCTGACATCTGAGGTACTGGGGCCTGGTTACGACTACTTGTGCCCAACCATTCTTACAAAGCAGAATTCCCATGATGGAAATCATTTTGGTGGCACCTACCCATGAGGTACACAAGGGGAAACATGCTGATACATGTACATCCAAAAAATGCATATGCGGCCCTCCCCAAACAAACAAATACAACCACCGAAAGAAAATACTACCGAAAAGATCATGGTTGGCCTGTCCCCAACAGTTATGCAAGAGAGACATTAGCCCCCGCTCCCCCCGAGAAAGGTTCTAAAGCCCTTCCAAGAATCTCTTGGTCAGAAGGTTTCTTCTGAACTTTTTCTGGGGTAGCGTTGGGGGGGCTTTGGTTCAACCCTGGCACTCCAACTTGGCCCCTTACAAGTGATTCCGCTTTAAGGAACCCATGCGCAAGACATTCATTTAGGTCCTGGTGGCTTCACTTCAAGCCAAGGGTTGTCGGGTGACCCAAACCAATGGCTTCTAACAAATTAAATCGTGGGTTCCTTCGGATGCTTCTTTGGCGCAAGCGATCGGAACCCGCGAATTAGAACCTGTTTGGGGTCTGAAGTAACTCTGAGGATGTCCAAGGCACTGGAAATCTTCGTCTCCTTGGACTCAAACTCGCTGAAGGAGCCCAAAGTCCGCGCAAGCTCTTGTACCCCGCGGATGGCACTCCTGCTGGGGTGCCTAAGTTGTTTCTGGCTAAACCAAAAAAAAAACCCAACCACCTGGCCAACTCCTTTGTTTGGGAGAGAAACCCTGTTTGGCTGAGTAACCAGAAGGACACCGCTCCAATTCTGGGCAACCAAAAGGCGGATGCTTGATTTGGACATTTCAGTGTGCCCATTTTTGGGCGCCAATTTGTCAGATGTGGTTGATGGCCCTGTTCAAAGTTGCTACAAAGGAAACCATTGGGAAAGCGTCCATGTGCACTTTGGGTGCCCAAAGAATTGTGGCTTGATGGGTCACTCCTGTCGCGCGTCTGCGCGCTGAGGACAGCAGCGCAGAGGCTGACAAACTCCGACTCGGATTGGTTGGCCACTGAGAGAGAGACCAAGAGAGAGTGAAACTCCTCCACCTCGGCTACCCCAAAGGCAAGCTTGGGCCCACAGGCTGGGAAACCAACGCGGGAGAGGAACTGCGGCAAAACCTGGTCTGGTTCAACTGAAGGTTCTTTTGTGGTCAAACCCAGGAGCACATGGAACGCTGGTGATGTTGGTGGCTCCTCCCTCTGGATTTGGTCGGACCGGTATTGTCAAACTGAGCCACGGTTCCCTGCGCGCTGGCCGAAAGCACTGCATCCAGCTGTCTCTGCCACAGACCTTCACTCGATGTAACTGCGAGCCGCGGGTTCTCCGAGCCGGCACCATGTGCCTGCGCCGTCAAGAGCCAAACAGCTTGAGGGTTGGGATTCTCGTGGTGCTGGGCAAGTTCCGCATCTACATAACATGCATAAGAATAATAGCTGCCTTGTTCTAAAGGTGGATGGGAACCCAGTCGGAAAACTGGTGGAGCCCTGCCCTTTCTCAGCTCAGGGTCCTTCTTGCATATTCGGAGTGCAGGGAAACCTAACGTCTGTGACGCTTCTCAACAAATAGCTTCGGGCGTCCGGCACAAAAAACCTGCCTCAGAGTCACGGACGAGTGGCAACAAAGAATGGAGTCCCGGGAGCTCCAAACAAACTTCGTTATCGACAGGGTCCGACTAAACCGAAGAGCACCTCGGTCCGAACCAAACTTCAAGTACGCGGGTTTGGATTTGGCTCATCTTGGGATCCCCGACAAAATGATGTGTGGGAATATCCCCCCCCCCCCCCACCTTGTCCTTGTATCGTGCGGCTCAGTTCGGGTTGGCCCCAAAAAAGAGTCACAAGAAGGGAGGGAAAAAGAAAAACGGAAAAGCTGAAAACATAATTATAGAAAGTAGAAAGGAGCAAATTGCAGGAAGGACAAAGAAAACGCCCACAGACTCCCAAATCGAGGGACCAAAAGCGGAGTCTAGTAGAATCTAGTAGATGGTTTGCCAGGGCTTGCACCTATGCACAATCATGTGTGTAGCATCCGAAAGGAACCCAAGTTGTTGGAAGCCAGTCTGCGGGCCCAAAGACTGCCCTTTGCATTCTCTGGTCTTTTGGGGCTCCTTGATTCTTCCCCAGCCACGAGCGAACTCTGTGCAAGGATCCCGAAGCTTCGGCCCTGCCTTGGGCTGCGGGCCCGGAGGCGGCGATGCGCGCGCCAGCGGCGGTCCACCAAAAGCGAAGGCATCCAGCGCATCCGGGCCAGTCTCCGGCATCCACAAAAAGTGTGTCACTCCCTCCCCCTTTAAAAAATAAAATAAAATGACACCTTAAAGGAATTCCAAGCGTTTCACAGAATGTGCTTGATTCCCAAAGAAGCTCCAAAAGGGCGGTTTCTTTGTTGCTCTTTCTTGGAGTTGTTGCATTATGGGGTGGGTGGGGGTGCTTCAAAGGGATATTCAAGGGAAACCCTGGGCATTCGCATGAGGTTTGTTGTCTTGATTGGGCGACTTGTAGGGGTGTAGTGAGGTCCGCGTGAGCGCTTCCTAAAAGGAGTGATTCCTTTGGTGTGTGGCAATGAAGGCTTGGCCTCTTTCTTTCAAGCACCCAGAAAACTTAGGGTGGTCCTGTCCAAGCTTGGATCCTGGGGTGTAGCCAGGACAAGCCAAAACCCCCGGATGATTTTACAACAAAGAAGGGATCTTCACTCTCTTCTTTTGGGGGGGGACTTTCATTCAACGCTGAGCGAGCGGACTCGGCTCCTTGGGGCGAGGACGCCCCTCCTCATAATCGAGCGATTCGGTTAATTCATCCACGTCTGAGCTTCCGATTTGGAGCACGTGGTATCGGTCCAAACGCATCGGGCTGCGTCGGCACGCATAGCAACTCTGAATCTCTGGGTAGGCTGGTGGTGTCTAATTTACGCATCGAACAGTTGTTGAGCATCCCTACCAAGTGAAGGGGTCTGACCGTGAGACATGTGAGCAGCGGCAATCCACAGGCTACTTTCCTCCCACAAGCGCGGGAACTCACCTTGCTGTTGGTTGGAGGGCAAATCCCCTGAGAGGTTCAGGGGTGCCTTCCCAGGGGCGTGCTACCGTCTGCTTGACCCATCGTGGATCCTTGGCCACATACTGAGATCCCGGAAAACCCAGCCCCCCGAAAAAGGCCGCGTTGCTTGGCCCAACATTTGAAGTGTACAAAAAAGATCTGAGGATTATGGTCAACCCTAAAACTTAAAAATGGAGGAGACCCCAGGGTAGCGGACGGGAGGGTACCAAACAGTCCCAGATGCCGACTCCGACTCCCATCTCTCCTCGATGGTCGCATCGGAACTAAAGGTGTCCAGCCATGTGTCCACAGCACCTCGTGGCAGGTCTGACAGGAGCGGCGAGAAGTTGTCCAGTAGCACCTCTTCTGTTTAAAGGGACAACCGCACATCAACCTACAGCCATGGCCAACCGGCTGTCAAATGGCCCCAAATCAGTTGAATCAGCCGTTGGGTGGAATGCGTTGGTGTCACACTCGAAGACATCTGGGCAGCGGGCCGGCCACCGTCACCTGACACTGAGGCTTCCATTGGTGGCCAGGCAGAAGGCCGAAGGAGAAAAATTGCCAGGCCACTTTACCCATGTTGAAAGAAAACTCATGTCTGAAACAAATACCATTCTTTGTGGATCCCCCCCACAAAAAAGAAAGGCGACAGAGTTCCAAACAAAAACGGAAATCCCCGACGAGCTCCGCTCGCTTCCCAAGCCGCACCTCCATCCAGAGCTTTCGGACCACCGCCGCGGCGGACGTGGTGGTGGACCTCAGGCGGGGCCAGGAATGTTCACCTCTTCCCAACAACACCTAGGTGAAACATGAGGATAAGGAGAACCTCGTGGGGGGTATTAATGAAGCGACGACCGGTGCCATACTACTTGGAGAGAGCAAACCCTCAGGCCAAACCTTCGAGACTCAAGTCGGAGCTCTTATTTTGGAAGAAACAAGTTGGAACTCTCCAACGAGTGGCTTTCCTCTTGGCTTATCTCTGAAACCACCCCCTTTCCGGGGGTGACCCGCAGTCCGCCCAAAGTCAATCCCCCACACACAACCCCCGGTCGACCCAAAAAAAATGAACCTTGCAGATCAATACGGGGTGCGATTTTAAAGTAAACCTTGACAAGGAAGACAACCAAACAAACAAATGCTTGCCTTTGAGGTATCTAATTTGCTGGATTTGAGTACCGCATTTCTTGGGGCGGGGGGCTCTTGTCTAACTTGGAATAAGGCATATTGGGCCTTGAAACAACTGGCAAACTAAAAATTGATAAAATCGGCTATTAGCAGACCTGGATAAAGGTGTTTGCAGGTGTTCCCTCCCAAAGTGATGGATTCGGTTGAACCCATGGGTTCTGACCGCTTACCGTGTCCTTTTGTCGGAGTCGTTTGGCCCCCTGGCTCCTTGGTTTGCACGGCCACCGGCTGCGCCACCTCGGCGCCGGGGTTGGGGGGACGCAAATACAGCCGCTACGAAAGCCAAGGAGTAAGACGCGGCCTCTTTCAGGCAAACTGCCAGACTGAACCCACCTCAACTGTCTGATTGTTTTTAGGAAGGCTTCGGCCCATTTTGAAATGGTGACGCCTTTGGGGGGGAGGGGGCCTCCAAAAGGAAAGGCCTACAAATTGGTGGGGTTCCATGCAAGTGCAAGTGTAGGGAAAGGATATGAAGCTGGAGGCATCGGACATTCAAACTTCAACATTTGAAAAAATACAAAGTTCCCAATTTTAGGTCCCTAAACATCAGGCTTTATAAATGGACTGCAAGCCTCCAACATGTTGCCTTCCCACCCGCTCCCATGGAACCCACCGGAGGGTCATATTTAATCTTGTTTAACGAAAATCGTCTTTCAAACACTGGCAGTAAAATTCCATGTCGTGGTTTGGATACCTCTGGTGGGCAAAACCGCCCCAAACGAGAGGCCTGCTGATGGCACCTTGAGAACGGTCCTGCCACACATGTCCCTTCTGCAGCTAGGGCACTGCTCGGCCTCAGGCGTGACAGCTGATGCGCCCCGGAGATGTCGGGAAGTGGGATCCCCATGATCGACTTTGGTGCCAGAAGCTGAAGTGGACATGGCTGGTTGCCTGTGGTAACTAGGATCCTTTGGGCATGTCAAAGCTGTGGAACACCGGGACTGCCAACGAAGTCTCCATGCCTTCCAACAAACAAACACAAGAGTGAATGTGAGAATTCTTGGGACAGGTCACATGAAACAGTAACGAATCCAGGCCAAGAAATGGCGTTGATATCCGCAGGTTCTTCATGTTGGCTTGGACCCAGGTCTGGTCGGCCCTGAGTAGATGAAATGCCGCCGACATTGGCAGTTGCTTGTGCGGAAAAAGCCAACAATGGGACCCTCGCAGTTCAGCCAAGCCAACCACCTAGAAAAGAAGCCCAATAGTTGCGATTCACAGTTTTTGGGGCAACACCAACTGCAACTAACTATGCAAGAAGCCCGCCTGCAATAGTTGTCGTCTGGGCAGTTCTCTGATACTCAATGACTCGTTCTACTTCAGAAAGGTGAGGGTGCCTTTCTTCGCACAACCACCCTGGACGTCTGCGAACATCTACGATGCTTTCCACTACCACCACGCCACTACCATATACATCATACTCCAATTTCCCCTGCCCCCCCAAAAGGACAGTTTCAATTGGTTTGCCCTCTAAAAGAACCCCGAACAGGGTGCCCTCGCAAAGCACACACAGAGCAAGCGCGTCAACCGCTCAGGCGCGGGCGTAAGCCTGTGGAGCCGCGCCCTTTGCGGGCAAACAAAGCGGCCGCCTCGGCTCCCGAGGCATGCTCACGTACGTTGGTGCGGAGGCATCCATATGATAAAGCCAAAGACCGCGTCCCTCAGGGTTCTTAGACCTGTGAGCCACGACTAAAAACCCCTCACTTTTCGTTCTACGATGACTGTAGCGCTTTATGCGGCCCACGCAAATATCCCTACTTGAGGCGGGAATAAGTAGTAAGTAGCCCTGGTCATAGTCCAACGGTGAATGGGAGATTTGCCCAGGATTGCTAGCCACTTAAGCAACCAACCGTTGAAGCCCTTACCTTTGGGGTTCTGAGTACTGCAAATGTGTGTTGGCATCAGTCCTTCACAACCGCGAGCGCGTCTCAGTTGGAAGCGAATCCCACTTGTTGGGACTTCCGGGCTCAAACACTGGCTGCTTCTGCACCAGCAAGAATGTTAGCACTAAACAAGAGACACAATCCATGACCCCAGAAGTTTAGGTCCATGCTTTCTCGTACAGAATCTCCACCCCGACTTTGTAAATCTCCAAATCGTTTTTCTGGCGGGCCAACTTTTGATGGTTCAAGGTCAGTCAAACACGGGAAACGCGGGCAAAAGCACAAAGAGACTAGCCAGAAGTCCGGCAGTGTCGCCCAAAAAGGGGAGTTCCAACTTCCAACTCGCAACCTCTCTCAGCGTCCAGCCAGGCCCGCCGCGGCCGACGCCGCCGCCGACGCTGACAGTCTCAAGGGCTGTGGTGCAGGGCGCGCCTCCGGCGAAACGCCAGGGGTCCCAGTCGGCAGTGAGAAGCCATACACCAACAGATGCAAAAGTTGCAAGGGACCTACTGCACTCGACATAGGAATCCACCCAACCAAATGCTTGGTCTCGTGCTTGTGTCGCAAGACCATTCCCAGCGAAACTGTACACGGATAGAAAGGCCAGCAGCGTCGTTGGGATGGCAACCAAATGCGGATTTGCTTTGAGGGTAGCCTTTTCAGGGAGTCTAAAATAAAATTCAGCAAAGGAAACCAGTTTCAAGTGAGTACCCACCAAAACAAGGGACTTGACAGTCACTGGGCATTGCCAGCAATTGAAAAGAATCCTTTCATTTTGGGTTTCCCTCATTCAGAGCCAAACCCATCTGGAAGTTTTCGACTGCACCGGCCTCTGGCCGGACGGCCGAAGCCAAAGCCACATGTGACGTTGGCCGAGTAGCAATCGGATCCTTGGTCCGAGATGATTCACGCAACCCCAAGCATTTGTGAAGGGGGTCACCCAAGGAGATTCCCCTAAACTTGGTCAACGTTCAACACAAGTGGTTTCTACCACCATTTGAGTCAAGGACAAAAACGCAAGATTGTACCAACCGTTGGCCCCCGACAAATCAGCTGTTCGTCTGGTCCATGAAATCTTCGGAGCAAACTGCCACGTGGAAAGTCTCAGGCGCACGCAAGGAAGGCCGCCATGTCAGCGGGAGCGCTGCGATTTATTCCGACTGAAAGGCGGTACCGAGGGCTCTCTACCTCCGACGTCCGGAACATCAATTTGGTTCTTGGTCGATCCGGGGCAACCCGAACAAAGAACAGTATACACGTTTCCCCTGAGCAAGTAACGACGATGATAAACCCTAACTGGGAAGGTTGCGCCGCAGGGCAGAACAAGTGCTAAGTCGAAGCTGTCTCTCACTTTGCTGCATTGCTGTCAGCCAATCCACTCCGCGCCAGGCTCGTGCAAGAGGCGGCGACAAGACGGAAGCAATGTGGCGGGGTCTCCTTGGGGGTGTCTTGGGGTGCGTCTGATGACCGCCCTCTTGATGGCCAGTTACTAGTACCTAGTATCAGGCGATCATGACCCTCTAAGACAACGGATAACTAATTACATTGGCTGGTGCCTCTTGAGAGAGATCGCAGTAGGCAAGTGGGAACTTTGAACCCCTCCTTCACCGCTCAAACGCTATCATCCCTATAAGGATTAGGGATGCCCTTTTGGGCCCTTGGCGGTAGGAATCCAGGTGCGTGGAGCATCGAAAGCCTCTGAATGAACACGGGGTTCAACTGGGAGGGAATCAAGGAGGTGACCCTTTTGTGTTCGAAAGGCCATGTCACCACAGAAAGAAAGACGAGCTCCCTGGATCCGGGAAATCATTTGCCTTGGCCGCCCCAAACTACCAATAGCTCCGAAGCAGGTGTGAAACAGGAACTCCCTGTCTTGAAAGCCACATTGCGTGGGTCAAACCCAGGTATTCGAACGGGTGCCAACTGGGTTGACTCGCACATCCCTGCGTTTCTCCAGTTTTACAAGAGCCACATGAGCGATTGGGGTCAGGGGCACATTTCCCACCCCCTTTCTGCTTGAGTTCTGGCTGCGAACCTCCAAGAAGGATCAACCAAGACTTAGGGGTGACATCCAAATATATTTTCAACTAGGTAGCCTGAAATGGAAAAGTTGTTCCACCTCAGCTTTTGCCCAACAAAAAGCAGAAGCCTGGAATCACACTCAATGAATCAATGAACCTAAACGCGTCAAACAATGGGATCCATCCATATTTCCACATCGAAGAAGGGAGTCACCCTGCTCGCAGTCAACCAAGGGCCGGACGTGGTGGGGTGCTCGGACCAAGTCGCTGGAGGACCATTCGGGGAACCACTCTGGCGGGTGGGCAGACGCCAGCTGGCTCTCCGGGCGCACCCTCCTGGGACATGTGAGCGCGTCTCCTTTTGGGTTTCAAACAACTGGAAAAGAGGTTCCAGAAATACGCTCGCGCACACACACACACAATCAAAACCTGGTATTGAAATGTTATATCCAAGATCATGTGGGTGAGTGTTCGACCATTCCCTTTGGTCTATCGGGGACGAAAGCCATCCAGAAGACACCCTATTTTTACTTCTACATATATACATATATATATATATTCCTTTGCGGGTTGTTCCAACAACAGGCATGGTACTTTCTATTATTCTAGTCCAGATCGCAAAGTGAAGGGTTCACAAAGGTGACCTCTTCGGGGTTAAACCCGCTGTAAAGCCAGCACAATGGGTGTTCCCACCTGGCTCCACAAAGTGGGGGGGAGTGCCTACACAAATGGGCATCTCTGTTTTTGATGGGGGAAGATCAGCCCAGTTTGAGGGTGCCCCATTTGAGACAAACACAAATATTGCATCTGATCTCACACCAACTTATCGCCATCTTCGCAGATTGGTTGCCACTGGCCATCTGCACGTTTACAAAAAAAGAGACCCTCAAATGCTCGGAGTCCCTAGGTGTTCCTTTAAAAAGCACAATGCTACGCTGAAACCTCCACTGAGTTTGCCAAAGAACGAGGGCAAGCTAAGCGGACCCACCTGTTTGTCAAATTAAACTTCTTGGCAGTGCGATCAATTCGGGGAGCTTACTAGAATAAGCAAGGGGCTCAAAGCCTCTGTTGGGAGCGGTCTTCACAAGAGAAAAAGAAGAATGGAATCCGCTGGCATTCGTGGTTCTTTGAGTAGGGAGCTTCTTTCTGCCTGGTTCAGAGGGAAACGCCTTGTGCAGGCATTGCTAAAGGGATCTCATTCTGACATTTGGCTGCGGGACCAACTTGGTGTTGTTTCTTGAGATTGCGCTTCCAAATCAAAAGGTGAGCTCTTGTAGGCGTGGTGGACAATACACGTCAGCGACTATGGTGACCAGACTCGAAATGTGATGCAAAGAGTCTCACCTGATGGTCATGAGATTTGGCCGCGCCTTTTCAGAAGAATGCCGATTAAAAAGCCCAGAGCTTGGCAAGGCGCCCATCTTTCAGTATGTTCAAGCCTGTGCTGATGCTCGGTGCCTCGGGCTGGAGTCTTGATTCCCGTGGCCGCGCCAGGGTACCCCCTGTTGCTTTTCTGTTCATGGCCAACTGGCCACAAAAGCCGAGCACCCTACAGAACCCCGAAACTGGGTGGCTTTCCGCCTTGAAACTCGCAACTCCAAGCAAAGGACATCATTCTGTCCACCAAACCAAAATCAAACCCCGCCCCCACGCAGCTCCCGAGCCCCCGAGCCCTCCAGACCCCGCCCCCTCAGTTCCGGGCGAGGAGGCGAAGCTTCCGGCGCGCGCCGCCAGGCACAGCAGCAGGAAGACCGGGATCTGAGCTTCGTCCAGGTCCGCGAAGCTTCCGACCACGAGTTATTTCCGACGGGTTTGGAGTGATTCCATCACCTGAATACCAGTGTGAATTCAAGTTTGTTTGTTTGCCTTGATTGTTTGTCTTGTTTGTTTGCTTGCATTCTTGTTTTGCTTGCTTGCTTGCTTGGAGTTTGCTTGCTTGCTTGGATTTTGCTGCTTGCTTGGATTTTGCTTGCTTGCTTGGATTTTGCTTGCTTGCTTGATTTTTGCTTGCTGTGTTTTTGTTTGTTTTGTTCTCCAAACTGTGTGATCGCAATGATTTTATTTTTGGGCAGGAACGGTATTGGACACCTGCACACCAGGCATACACAAATACAACTGTCTAACTCTTGTCCAAAATTTGTCTACCCCGAAAATCTGAATATGCTTGAAGGAGACCGCGGATTTAGAACGGTCGTTGGGTCTGCCTTGCGGAAGCGCCATATGGTTGGTTTCAAAAGGGCGAAACTTACCTGGAAGGGTACGGCAGCGATGGTTTTGCAGTAAGGATCTCATTTTTGAAGGGTCAGGGAGACTCCGAGTACCCTCTTTCCAACAATGCAAACGGACGGGAGTGTTCCCCTCCAACACCTTCCTGTCAGCTTCCATGATTGTCAACATCACCTTTCGAGTTGACACGAATAGGTAATTTATTTTTGGAAAGGCCTTTTGGGTCCGATTTTAGATGCACAAGTCCGTCGGGAAAGGCCTTTGGAAAAAACTTGGTTCCCTGTGGAAACCTGGTGATGTTTGAGGGGGTCCTTTTGAGGTCTCAGTGCCTAGCGAAGCTTCCCCTCCCCCAAAAAAGGGGATAAGGGAAGTGGAGGCCCCGTCTAGACAGTGTGCAAAAAGCCGCCCGAAAAAAGGTTTCTGGCCTTGGTCCTCTGAGACAAACTCCGGGACCTTTCGCCCGTGAGAACTTCGGCGCGCCCGCTCGGTCCCCAGGTCCCCGGGCCGCGGCGAGCCGCTTCTGCACACGCCGGCGGCCCGGCACGCCGGCCTCAGAAGCGCGGGTGAGGATTCGCCCAAACTTTCTCAAAAAATACATTGGCCAAGTAATTAGATGGCTCGTATCATGCGCTAGTTTTCGGCCAATTATGTTGGGAATGAAGCGGAAGGGATCCCCAAAAGGAAACAACAACAGAAAAATCATAGGGGTCATTCCCTCAGTCCCTACTGAGAACCAGCCAGGTGAGACCCCCACTTCTTTCCACACCAAGGAGACACCAAGGAGACACCATGGCTTAGGTGGGTTAGAACCAGGGCTTACCGCTCCTGATAAGTGCGTTGTATCCCTGGGCAAATAACCTGCGGAAAGTGCACTTACCATGGCCTTAGTGGGCTACCCGGTTGCCTCGTCAAGAATTTCTCTTGAAACGAACAGGAAGGTACACCCGGAAAACTCCAAACCATCAAAATAACACTTACCAGAACTGGTACACGTCGGGCAATTTCGCAAAAGTTTGGGACATGAGGCGGTCAGCGGTTTCAGGCTTGAGGCACCTCTCGAAAGAGCGCCCCTGTAGAACAGGATGCTGGGGGATGTTGACAGTGCTGGTGCACAACTGGTGCATGTTGTTAGGAACTACTGTTAAACACGTCGTTTTAGTACCTGCCCAACCTAGGAACTAAAAAAGCCCGCCGAACCTAGGGAAATAGCAAAGCCCTTCCGCCACAGCTGAAAGCTATGGGTCTCTGCCCAGGCTCGATCGGGTTGGCTTGGGGCAGCTTTCATGGAGGCTTCTGGAGATGCGGTTCCGGGATACTACTTGGGCGTCAGAACAAGCAAGGCAAATTCGAATGTCCCAAGGGTGTGATTTGTGTTGGGGTGACCCTTTGCACCCCTTTCCTTTGTTGCTTCCCTTGTAGCGTCGTCAGTCCACCTTCGCACCAACCACTACCCCCAGGAGAAATGGGCATATACCTGCTATCCACTGTTGATGCTGTTGTTATACACGATTTTCCTCTGGGGATAGTCAGCCCCACGCCTTTAAGGAACTCAAGCTTTCCCTCAATGATGGTGGTTTCAAGGGGAATGAACAATCTCCAAAGCGTAAGTTTGAGAACCCTCAAGTGTAGTCACTTTAACGGATCCTCGAGCATGTACTCAAATCGCAGAAAGTCACCGGGGTGCCAGCCGTTGAGATGCTCGCAGTCCTTGCGTGACATTTCAGCGTGCGGGTGTTGAGCTGTCAATTGCAGATCAGCCATTGGAATTGTCCACGCAAAAAACTGGTTGTCAGTAGTTGGGTGGAAACCCAAGAGTCGTATTTACGGTTGGTAAGTTTATGGCTATACTGTATAATAACCTGTGTATATATATATATATATAGACACGCTTATATGCGATGTGCGTGTGTATATGTATATATATATATATATGTACAAATATACGCAAATATACATATGTGTATACATGTGTATATATATATATATAATCGAGGGCCTTCAAAAGATTCCATCTCAGGTCTGCGGGAAGTACAGTCTTGCCCTGCCTTGCCATTCTTGATACTTCTTTGCGTTCTTCACGTCAAAGTGGGCCGGCTGCGTGCTCTTGAGGCTGAAACGGCCACAAAACGCAACTGTCTGATGCTTCTCTACTGAATGGCACAAGCAAGTCCTCCACTGGAATTCAATGCCACATCCCTCTCTGGCTCTGAAGCATGCAACTCGCTTGGAGAGGCCGCAAGCCGCCGGCTGCTAGCTCGATTCGACCCCAACAAAGAGCTGCAGCTGATTCCTGGAACAAACGAAACACTGTCTGATGATTCCGAAAATCGGAGACCCCTCGAAATGGTGTTTAAGTGGTTCCTTACAGCCATCCAAAAGGGGGGTTCCCTATTTTGGGAAGCACTCATAAACGCATAAACAAGAATTATTTTGTGATCAACCCCTATGCCTCTTTGAGTCTCTTTCCGCGTCCACGCCGGTGCCCGCTGAGCTTTGCAGCAGCTCCCCGTTTGAGGCGCTCGGGCCGCCTCTGCCCGTCCTCTGCGGCGTGAACTGGCCAGGAAAGGTTGAAGCTTTTTGGCCCTAGACCAGAATGACGAAGAAGCCAGAAAACAAAAAGTGTTGAGTGCGGAATCTCCAACTAAACTGGGGAAGGTTCTAGCAAACGGTTGCTGGTTAACTCAACAGCTGCGTTGCAGGTTTGGAAACTGAACAGGCAAGCGTCACGAGGATGGACGCCACCCCATCACCTCTGCGGCGGATGGCCGCAACGATCTGCTGGGCATTGCTGAGCTGAAAGTCGGAGTCGACCTGAGCACCAAGACGTCCAGTTGGAAATGCCCCCTCCGGTTGCCTGGACGCCCATCTGGTTATGCCCTGGAAACATAGGTTGGGTGGAAGGCCTTGGTTTCAGAACCTGGTGCTGCCATAGTGCCAACATCAAAATGTCTAAGTCACTCAAAACCGTCTGCCCGCCCCCCCCCCCCCTACAGCGGTCACATAGAGCCCGCAGGAAAAATATGCATCAAGTGTCCATGGCACTCTTGCCTGAAACAAATCCCCCCCCCCTCCTCCGGCCCACCATTGACAGAAAACCGCTCACCTTGTTCACCGCCACGTGGAACGTCACCTCGCCCACCTCGCCCTCCTTCCACCAGGTTGAGAAGTTGCCATTGGTTGCACGCGGCAAGCTACAGTTTAATAAAAACCATCCCGCCTGGGCCTTTCCTTCAACGAGCTCCCTCTGTTGTTCCTTCAAAGGGGCCTTGCCAAACATGGACCCTAGTTGGGCAGTGACTTTGCAAAATCCAGACCGGTCCACCATCCCTTGTGGTCTTTTGGGTACCTTCCATCTGGGATTTGTCAAGGGTTGTAGCTCTCCCTGGCAGACTCCATGCATCTGTATACCAACTTTAAAAACGAGTTTCCCCGGACCTAATGCGCGGAAGGGTTATTTTTTCCTAGGTTCAGCGCGGCCTTTTCCTAGGTTCGGCGCGGTGGTCCGGACCCACGAAAGCTGCAAAGGGTTCACCTTCTCGGAGAAGCGGGTTTCCAAACGCAGCAAAGTCCGCAAAGGGTTCACTTGTTCAAAGACGCAGGGTTGGTTTAGGGTGGTTTGGGTGTAAGGCTAGTTTTTAGTTGGGTTAGGGTGTGTTTAGGGTTGGTTTTAGGGTGAGGGTTGGTTTAGGGCTGGTTTAGGGTTGGTTTCGGGCTGATATAGTGTTGGTTTAGGGTGGTTTAGGGCTGGTGTAGGGCTGGATTATGGTTGACTTAGGGTTGGTTTAGGATTGGTTTGGGGTGGTTTAGGGTTGGTTTAGGGCTGGTTTAGGGCTGGTTTAGGGCTGGTTTAGGACTTGATTTAGGGTTGGTTTAGGCTTGGTGTAGGGTTGGTTTAGGGTTGGTTTAGGGCTGGCTTAGTAGGGTTGGCTTAGGGTGGTGTAGGGCTGGTTTAGGGTTGATTTAAAGTGGTTTAGGGTTGGTTTAGGGTTGGTTTAGGGTTGGTTTAGGGCTGGTTTAGTAGGGTTGGCTTAGGGTGGTGTAGGGCTTATTTAGATTTGGTTTAAAGCTGGTTTGGGGTTGGCTTCGGGTGGTTTAGGACTGGTTTAGGGTTGATTTAGGTTGGTTTAGGGTTGGTGTAGGGTTGGCTTAGGGTAGTTTAGGGCTGGTTTAGGACTGGTTTAGGGTCAATGGTTTACGTTGGTTAGGGTTGGTTAAGGACGGGTTAATTTAGGGTGGTTTGGGGTTGGTTTAGGGTTGGTTTAGGGCTGGTTTAGGGTTGGCTTGGGGTGGTTTAGGGTTGGTGTAGGGGTGGTTTGGGGCTGGTGTAGGGTTGGTTTCGGGTTGGTTTGGGGTTGGTTTAGGGTTGGTTTAGGGTTGGTTTAGGGTTGGTTTAGGGTTGGTTTAGGTTGGTGTAGGGCGGTTTGGGGCTGGTTTAGGGCTGGTGTAGAGTGAATTTAGGGTGGTTTAGGGCTGGTTTAGGCCTGGTTTATCGTTGACTTAGGGTTGATTTAGGGTTGATTTAGGGTTGGTTTAGGGTTGGTTTAGGGTTGGTGTAGGGTTGGTTTAGGGTAGTTTAGGGCTGGTGTAGGGCTGGTTTAGGGTTGATTTAGGGTTGGTTTAGGGTTGGTGTGGGGTTGGTTTAGGGTTGGTTTAGGGCTGGTTTGGGTTGGCTTAGGGTGGTTTAGGGCTGGTTTAGGGTTGATGTAGGTTGGTTTAGGGTTGGTGTAGGGTTGGTTTAGGGCAGTTCAGGGCTGGTTTAGGACTGGTTTCGGGTTAATTTAGGGTTGGATTACGTTGGTTAGGGTTGGTTAAGGGTGGTTTTAGGGCTGGTTTAGGGTTGGCTTGGGCCGATTCAGGGACCCACTGACCGACCGACCAATCCGCCGACCAATCGAGCGACCGCCCGACCGACCGACTGGACCGATCGACTGCCCGACCAACCGGGGCGACCGACCGACCGACCGACCGGGCGACCGACGGACTGGGAGACAGACTGGCCGAGCCAAAACCCCAGCACCACACAGCAAAACAGCCGCGCCAAACCTAGGACAAAAAAAGACTCCCTTTTCATTCCTTCCAAACAATTTGCAAAGTCGCCTTGAAAAGAGCAGACCGTCTTCGCTTCTCGTCCTTCGGTGCCGCCCCGCCTCCAGCCCATGGCACCAAAGCTCCCGCCGGCCCAGCACTGTCCCCACCACCTCCGGCGTCACGTCGCCGAGCTCGCTGGGCTCCGCGAGACACGCCGCGGCCACCTCCCTGGTCGAGGGAAAACACGGCAGGGGAAACGTCCAAAGATGGAGAAGTAGGAATTGATCTCTCCATAGTTCTTCCGTTTCCTTTTATTTGACCTGCGGCAATTTCAAGAATGTCTTCTCAATTCCAGAAGAAAATGAGCACATGAAGGTACACCTAAATCAGCCAGAGAATCTTGGCTCCTGAAGCCAAAACCCTTGGAAAAACGGGATGGCTTTGTTTTCTGGTGGTTTTCTGCTGCCCAGTTGCATTTCAACATTGAGCGGCTCTGGTGTTCAATGACCAAAAAAATAAATCGGATCGGGGACCCTCTGACTAGCACAGTCCTGCTGATGAATTGGATGTCTACATTTTCAGGCACGCCTAATTCTTGGACAGCTTCTTTGAGGGACGGGATAATTGCATTGGCTTGGAATTGGTTCGGATGGCGTTCAATCGCCAAACCAACCAAACAACCATGTTACCCAACATGTTGTGTCTTCGATTTAAAAGGGTCCCTTTAAGGCCCCAGCTTCTCTGAACCGCTGTGCAGGTTGTGGAATCCTGCCTGTCAGTCATGCTGTTCATGTGATGCTCTTGCTACCACACAAAATATGCAGAAACCATATTACCCTGGGACAAAATAGACAGGACTCCCTTCATCAAAACATCATGCGGGTGTGGGTGTTTTGACGATAGTACCCCACAGAAACCAGATGGAAAACCAAAAGGGCCCAAAGCCGTTTGAATGTTAATCAACCATACCCCCATTCGTAAATCTCCAAAACTCCGGCAGGAATCTACTTTTGCTAAAAGGACTCCATTGATTTGCACGAGAAACTGCCACGGTTGATCCTTCCCGTCCAAAAAAAAAGCGAAATCTGAAATGCCTTCCGCTCACACCTGCAGCCCGCCCAAAAAAGAAAACCATTCTTAGCCTCCTTTCGGGGACCTTCTTTCCGTTCATTTGCGCCGCCCGGACCCCGCCCAGACCCGCCCACCCAAGTACGGCCCGCAAGCCATTTACTCCTGGGGAACCCTCACACTGCCCCCGTCCCCCTACCCGCTCCGAAGCGCCTCACAACGTCTGCCCGGCACACGTGGGTCTCATCCAGCGGCACCCCTAACTGGGTCCATCAGTGGCGGTACCGGTTCCGGTGGTTCTCAAAATCATGTTTGGAGACAAATGTCAGTTGAAACGCCCCCAATCGTGGAAGCCGACGATCAGAGGACTACCCATTAGGAAGCCCCAAACGCGCGCGTACATGCTTGTTGAAAGACACTCCAAAAAGGTGGTTGTTCAAGTCTGTTCACGCTCGCTTCTCTCTCTCTCTCTCTCACTACTGTGAGCCAATGTTGCAATCACCGGATGGAAACGGGGTAAGGAAAATCTGACAAAGCTGGCTGGTGGGTGTTTTTTTTTTTTTTTTTCTGTGGGTTTCTTGGAGAAAAGGGTTCCGTTAAACAAATCCCGCCTAAGGCATCGACGCCCGCCACCGCCACCACCGCCATGGAAAAGCCGCTCAAAGGCTTCGGCAGCACCGGCTCCGAGGGAAGACGTGGGGCCTCGCGAGGTCTCGGAGTCGGAGGGCGTGCGGCTGTGGTTTCCTGGGTTTGGCTGTTTGGCCGGTTGTGGGTTTGACTATGTGATTTGGTTTTGGTGGTTCTGTGAGCTTTGTGGTTATGGTTTAGGCTTTGGTTGGTGTGTCTTGCTTCTGTTGGGGTGGATTGAGCATGCCTCTCGTTTGCGATGTTGTGATTCTTGAACATGGCTTTGCGACCATTGAGATGACCATGTGGGATATCATGGTCGTGGCACGCTTCTAGCATACAGCTATTGCTAAATTAACATATTGCCAGATTACCCAGATGGATTTGTCTCAAAATAGAGAATCTCCTTTTCGATGGCTATGCTTCAAAAAGGAAATCCAACGGAAACTGAGCACCTGAGATGTGCCCAACACTTTGAGAGCTTACACATTCGGCATATTTTGGCTTTTGAGTTGCGTGTTGGCCCTGCCTTGAAGGGAAGCATCCGCGAGCCATCGGCCTCCACGATGCAAACCTCAGGGCCTGTGTCGGTTTTCAGCAGCGCCTCGATCCACTCCGCGGGAACACCCACCTTGCCAAATGAGCAGGGCCCCCCCACTACACCAAGGTGAACGTAGATGGCAGGATTCCCTGTCTGCGTGGGGTGACAAAAAACAAAATGGCGGGAATGGTGCCCAATGAACAGCGACCCTCTTTCAGGTTCCATGTAAACCAACTCAACTTGGAACAATCCCGTCTAGTGGCTTCCGAGAGGGTAACCCGAACTGGGTTGTTCAAAATGGGGTCCCGCATACGGATTTTCCTCATCCTCAGTCCATCGTACGACACCAATGCAAGAGAAACCACCAGCTGGCACAAGGATCTTGCGGAGTGGCCCATGGCGAGTGCCGCCAACGCAGCAAGGGGACGACCTTCAAGAGGTTTCTACCATGTATTTTCCCAAACAGTTTTCCCCTTTTGCTGGTTCCGCTTTTGAGCCAGTGGGAGGTTTGATCGAATTTTTTCATTGCTGGGGGAACACCAATCACCCGATGAATACGCAAGATTGAGATCAGATCTGGCAAAAAAGTCAAGCCCGAAAATCCCACGCCCCAATCCGCATAAATGTTCGCGGTCCACTAATTCGGGCTGGGAATCGGACCAGACATGGGAAATAGAACACAAAAAAGTCAGCATTGGGTCAGCTGAGCCGCCGCCCGCTCCCCGTGGGGGGAAGCTTCCCTCCGCGAAATGAGCCCCACACGCCGGCAGCCGGCGGCGAACGCCTGTGGGAAAGCAATCCTTTCTCTCATACCGTTGAGTCTGTGTCCCTCTCTCCCCGTAGCCGTGGGAAAATTGATATCCGTTGAAGTGACAGCCTCACAACTCTCCCTGCATGGCGGTCTGAATGCGGATTCCCACCCCCAAAACGTAATTTTGAGAATCCCTCAAAATGCAGTACAAAAGGGCCTTACCCCGCCATGATGGTACCTCTACTTGCATCGACATCCCAGGAAACCTAGTGGCTTTCACCCCTCACGCCAAAAATCAACCTTTTCTTTGTGGAGAACACACAAACCCAAAAAGTGAAAGGACTACAAACAACCCAAGGCAAGAACGACGAAAAGCGACGTCCAAGATAAAAGCAACAGCGATCGCCTGGGAGAGCTGCTCGCAGGCATCGGCGAGCTCTGAAGCCTCCACCAGCGCCTGGACATCTGCTGGGACCTGGCTGTAAGAAATGCGGTGGATGCCCTTAGAAATGGAAACAAGGGATGAAGGGAAACAGAGAAGTAGGGAAACAAGAGACCCTGGAAGTGAACCTACGAAAAAACAGGGAGTTCCGGGGTTGAGTGCGGTTGGCTCACATGCAGTATTTGGAGCATCCACCGTATCCCCACGACCTGGCACTTGCAAGTCCGATTGATCAGCGTTCTATGCTGCCAAAGTGGGTTAAGCGGGTCATTCTCACGGGCTTGCAGCAGGTGTGTAGTGAATCCCGATTACCACTAAGCCACAGCAAGTGTGGTTGCTTGCCTTGAAGGGTATCCCAGTTTTTCGCCACTTTCCCACAAACACGCCGGCCTGCGGCACGCGAATCCGCGTGGTGGTGGTGAACAACGCCTTGCTGACGCCGGATGCTTCCCCGAGAAGCCGCAGGGCCAAGGTGGTCTTGCCCCCGCCCCCGACCAACGCCACAACCGCAGGACGCTGCAGCGCGTCCCACAGGAGCTCGCTCATGGCGAAGGGGACGGCAAATATGGAAAATGGCTCATGCCCAGCTGGGGCCAAATACGCGTGTCTGTCTTGAGAGCACCCCGTGTAGGGATTGCTTCCAAAAGAAACCAGCAGGCAGGCCCCGGTTTGGGATGCTGCCAAAGTCTGACAACCTAGCCGTGTTGGCAAACAAAGGATGATGCTCATCACAATGAATACACTGCACACAGGCTGCTGCGAGCTGTCCGTGCGTCGCAACTTCTCCTAAGTTTGGTCGATCAAAGTACCAGCCCATGCACTGGCGTACAAGCGTTCAATGTGAAAAAGAATAATACAAATACAAACTCTGTCAACTCTCAGTTCGCTGACAAGTGCCGCGTAATTATCACTTTTCAAGGAAAAGCTCTCTCAACAGTTGATAGTTTGTCATTGTGTGGGGGGGGGTCTCGGTTTCCATGATGGAGTTGATAGGACTTGCTTCTGCTGCTCTTTGCTCTGCACCTTCCTCACTTCCTGAGGCAAGAACGGACATGGCGAAACTTTGACAAGGGGCAACTCAAGAGAATCGGGCTACCTCTCACCGCGGGGCTGGTCATTTCAGACAGCATCGTGCGCAGCCTTCAAGCCCAAAGAGAATCATTTCTATCCCCAAGCCGCTGCCGGCACGTCCCAATTTTCGCAGCGAGCAACCCTTAAAAGTCGTCGAAGGCATCCGGCTGTACCACAGCTGGCGCCTTCGCACGGAACTCTGCCCGAGTACTGGCTGCGAGTCTAGGATGCTGCGCACTAAAGATCACCAGCAAACAGCATCGCTATCTACACAAAGCACTTGTTCAGTGCGTTCACGCTTGTGGTGTGTTCTATCGGCCGAAGCTGCGCAAGGGGTAATGCAGTGAAACTGTTGACAGGAAGTCGAGCAATTTGGGTCATAGGGGAAGTTAAAACAGAACAGCGCCAATTACCCCTTCGCAAGTGTTGGAACGATCATCCACCGCTTTCAGAGAATTCCAAAGCATCATTCAAACAGAGTCCTCGTCGTCCTCCTCCTCCTCTCTGTCGTCCACCTCCTTCTCCTCTGAGTCAACTTGCGCTGAACCCCCCGCGCCCCCGAACAACTTCGTGTGGTGACCCTTTGCACCTGGCGTGATTCCTGTAATATTGTATGTATTAATAGAAACATACTAATATTTCAATATATATATATATATGTGTACGTGTATATGTGTGTGTGTGTGTTTGTGTGTTTGTGCGTGTGTGTTTGTTGCTGTCCAGACTAAGCGCCTCCCTTGCCCTCCTTTTAGCCCCTCCCGACCTGCCTCCACCACCTGCCAGGAGCCAGGGCTGCCAGGAGCCTCGCCGTCTGCCTGCGCCACAGCTTTTGCCGCGGCTCGACTATGCCATATGGGTCTGTCGTTTTTGGGGGGTACCGTCTGTTGTGTAGTGTTAAAGGGAAGCCAAAAGGAAACCAACCATTTTGGGGGCTCCACTAAGAAAGACACACCCATATGTGTACATCGTGCACCGAGTAGAACTCAACATGCGTTTTATACTGGTCGCTCCATGTTTGGTGCATGTTAAACAGTCAAACCATCGCACAAGACACTCCAAAAGGCATAAGAAAGCAGGGTTATCTGTCAGAAGAAATAAAGGGTCCAATTACCCCTCACAGTCTCCTGACTGCCGTCTTGGGCATAAAGGTCGACCCTTCAATTGTCCCACCAATGAAAAAAGGGACAACACTATGAGACTATGAGTCTATGAGGTCAAAAACATGTTCTTCGATGTCCTACAAAGCGTGCAAGCCAACATGCCCTCGCCGGGCGGCTATGTGGTGTCTTGCAACCAAGGTATACGACTGGCGCACTTGACTTTGCGCCGGCACAAGCAATCCCTTGCAAAACTAGAGCAAATCAAATGCGCTTCCTTGACGTCTTTGGCCACAGGACTTGTCCTGGCCTGCGCTTGGGTGGGGTGTCCGACATCATCCCTTCACTGCAACCCAAATGCATCCACTGCCGCTATTTGCTCTTGGTGGCTTGGTGGCACAGCTAAAGTTCACAAGTGCAGCCTCGGGCGGCACCAGGAAGATCGTGCCCTTGTTGCCTTTCACGGTCGCCCTGGGTGAGCAAGTATGCGAATAAATGTGTTGGTACCCCAATGCATCCAGCAGCTGGCTTTTCATGCCCCCGCCCATCCCTCAATGCACAACATGCAGCCCCGGCGCCAGCCCTCCCGATTGTCACGAAGGCAGCGGACCCTGACACGCTCCGAGCCCATGCAGTTCGATGTCTCGAATATCTCCAAAACCTCATCTTTCTCTAGCCTCCGTACCTGGCAAAGCGTGCGCTTTCTGCAGCAAAAAGTGCCACTGCCAAGACTTTGACAAAAAAGTGCCAGGACTTTGCCAAGACTTCAACATGGCCCAACAGCCGGGTCCCAACTGCCAGCCCCTTTGCCAAGACTTCGACATGGACCAACAGTCGTGATCCAACTGCCAGCCCCGCCGTCTGCGCTTCCGTGATGTCTTGCGCGCTGGTCAAGGTGGTAGGTTTCTGCACAGCCAGGTACCTCGATGACTCTGCAATATTGCCCAGGCATCTAATGGAACAATATGCCTGCTTATCGAAAGAACATGCCGCTCTGTGCAGCAACAAGCGCACTGGGTCGCGATCTTTGCCGGTTGCTGAGAGTGAGAGGCCTGTGCTGCGTCCCATTCTGTTCAAGTTTCAGCCGCCCTCTTGCTCGCAATCTGGTTTCTTCAAGTGTGCCATTCCTATGTCTCTGCTGGAAGGAGCGTGCTCAAATTGCCCCTTGCAATGGGCCCTTGCATGCTTAAGCTTTCGTCCGGATCTGAGACCAACACAACCGCCCTAGCTCTCGTGCTCTTCACTGCAACCAACATGCATCCACTGCCGATATTTGCTCTTGGTGGCTTGGTGGCGCAGCTAAAGTTCACAAGTGCAGCCTCGGGCGGCACCAGGAAGATCGTGCCCTTGTTGCCTTTCACGGTCGCCCTGGGTGAGCAAGTATGCGAATAAATGTGTTGGTACCCCAATGCATCCAGCAGCTGGCTTTTCATGCCCCCGCCCATCCCTCAATGCACAACATGCAGCCCCGGCGCCAGCCCTCCCGATTGTCACGAAGGCAGCGGACCCTGACACGCTCCGAGCCCATGCAGTTCGATGTCTCGAATATCTCCAAAACCTCATCCTTCTCTAGCCTCCGTACCTGGCAAAGCGTGCGCTTTCTGCAGCAAAAAGTGCCACTGCCAAGACTTTGACAAAAAAGTGCCAGGACTTTGCCAAGACTTCAACATGGCCCAACAGCCGGGTCCCAACTGCTAGCCCCTTTGCCAAGACTTCAACATGGACCAACAGTCGTGATCCAACTGCCAGCCCCACCGTCTGCGCTTCCGTGATGAATTGCGCGCTGGTCAAGGTGGTAGGTTTCTGCACAGCCAGGTACCTCGATGACTCTGCAATGAAATTGCCCAGGCGTCTAATGGAACAAGACGTCTGCTTGTCTTGTCGAAAGAACATGCCCCTCTGTGCAGCAACAAGCGCACTGGGTCGCGATCTTTGCCGGTTGCTGAGAGTGAGAGGCCTGTGCTGCGTCCCATGCTGTTCAAGTTTCAGCCGCCCTCTTGCTCGCAATCAGGTTTCTTCAAGTGTGCCATTCCTATGTCTCTGCCGGAAGGAGCGTGCTCAAATTGCCCCTTGCAATGGGCCCTTGCATGCTTAAGCTTTTGCTGGGTCTGAGACCCAGACCGCCCTGGCAGGTCGCTCGGACCTCGGGCATCAAGAGATCTCGCTTCCATGCGCATCCGCTTGGGAAAAAGTTGCGAGGACACATCTGCTTTTCCTCCCTGCCCCGTGCCAGCACCGGGCACACGGGCTGCACGGGCGTGGCTGCACGCGCGGCCTGAGGCTTACATCATGCATTTATGGTCAATGTCTCCTTAAATTTCAAGGCTTGAACACCCAAGCAAATCTTGAATCACCGCACGCCAAGCTAAACCTGAAAAACCGAGTGTGCCCCTTGTGTCCGAATGAAGAAGCTCAGCCTGCCTCCATGGCATTCTTGATTGAGGGAATGGCAGAAGTACCTCAGCTTGGTTGCAATCCAAAGCTTGCAGGGAGTTTGAGACCTCAAATGTCACTTTAAGCAACCCAATAAACTCGCCTCATATGCCAATGTTTCAAAATAGCAAACGTGACTGGCGCAAGTCAAGTTTGCACAACCTGGGTGCTGTCTGACAATGGTGGGGCCCAAACTTGGGTGGTTTCCCTTGAAATGGGCGCGTGACAAACCCACCGAGGCCCTTCTTGCATCCGAGACGCATCGCCTGTAAGCCTTGAATGCCCATGAGAGCACCTCCTGAAATGGTATCTTGGCTGCTGACCTGCCAGTCTGGTCCGTAGTGATGGCTTGGACACTTCTGCGTTTGGGAGGGGAACTTCCTTGATTGTGGTCATGCTAGGAGCCCAAAAGTGTTTAACTGTTTAACCTTTAGAGATACAGAAAGGATTGGATCGCAAATCGGTTGCACCGCTTGCTCTATGCTCCTGAAAAGCTGACGACCTACCACCCCACCGCTTGGCCTCCACGAAGCTTCCTGCACAGCCTGCGCAACAACTTGTCAAGCACGCGTGTTTTAAGCTTGAAGGATCCGTGAAAAGCAGACGCCTGTGACGATCCTACACTGTCAGCCTGTGGTTTCCCTCTCTGCACGTCAAAAAGAGCAGCGAAAGGTTGGCCATGAACACGAAGCATTGCTTCACCGCAAACAGAGTTTGACTGGGGATCTTCTGGCAGACATCAGTTACATGGGGTTTGTGTCCACCAACCTTTTTTGAGTTCATTCCTGGAAAAGATCATAGCGTTTCATCTCCGTTTGGAAGCCCTTGCTTGCTCTCGTGTCCTCTGGATGGCAAGGTGCCGCTGTCACATGCGATGCCGGGTCAGCCTCCTGCAACGCCGGAGAAGCGCGAAACGGGCAGTTGTCTACTTGGGGTTGGCTATAGTCACGCCCAAGAATCGGGATGCTCGAACCGATCAGAGGAATCCCCCTGATCTGCTGCTAAAACCAAACCCAGGCGTGGGACCCATTCGGGTGGTTGGTTCCTTGGGTGTCCACAAACCATCCCAAAACAAGCTGCACACCTGGTTCCGGCCAGCTTGCGCTGCTTGCAAGTTGCACAATGTGCATGAATTCCATACATGTTCACCCCTCTGTGGCCGAAACGAGGTCAGATCCAGTTAGTTCCCGAGAAAACATTGATCCAAGCCCTACCTCCCATCCCGCGGCCTTGAAACTCCCGGTTTTCCCGGACGCCGTGGTGAGTTGGTCGATGTGCATGTTTGACTTTCTATTTTAGGGAAAGGTGGCTGGCTCGAGCGGCCGTTTGGGACAGCGGGAGCTGCTGCAGTCTTCCCAACCAACCCACCCCAACACAACCCTTGCGCATCTGCGATCCTTGGAATCGGTCTGCAGGTTTCAGCGGAATAATATCATGCTCCCAGTTGCGGTTCTGCTGTTGCGAATGGCCCTAAGGCACAATCTCGAGTTTGTGCTTCGCGCTTGCACCTGTAATGCTGAGACAGTTCATCTTTATTTACCTCGCAGGCGCTCTTTTGTATTGCCTGTGGCCAGCGGCCTTCCTTGTCACGAAGGTATCATCAGGTGCTCTTCGTGATGGTGGGTTTACGCTGACTGGGCTGAGGAGGGCAACGACGGGAAGCGTTCTATGCTCTTCCCCGACAGATCCCTGCTTTCATTGAGTCACCTGGGAATTGGTCAACCAGGGCTTCGACGATGTCCCATGTTTTTGCACAACAATGAGACCCTGATGCACCTGAGGTCTTGTATTAGAGGCACCAAGCGGCTTGAACTTAAGGATACAAAAATCCGAAGTGGACACTAGAGTATAGCTTTCTGCCCCAAGACTGGATGCCATAGTTCAACCAATCCTTTTCAAACAGCCTCCTTTGGTTGTTTCAACAAATTGTTCACCCAGGCAGCTGTATCCGCCAGAATCCTCCAGAGGCTGCATCTCCTCCGACAGGTCGGGCTCCAGCTCAGGCCCTGGGTGCACCGCGCGCCGCTTGCGCATGTCAAGCTGTCAAGACGCTACCCTTTTCGGAACCTGGAGCAAAGACGTTGTTTTGGCAAAAGCAAACATATCCCGAGGACCATGCTAAGGGTGGGTCCGCCAAGACTGAGGAATGTTGCGAAAGCTTTCCCCCATCCGATTCCATGGATGCTCGGAGTCTACTTTGCAGCCGCACAGAAAAAAGCAATTCCCCAAGAAGGTGGCCACGCAAATAGACCCCACACGTCCATCATCATGTCCGCACCCACCCCATGTCTATTTTGCAAGCTTCTTTTGGGGTATTTATATGTCAGGCTTCTGGGCTACAAAATAGACCCTGTGTCTCCACGCACCCACCCGCCTTCCCACCACAAATCCTCTGGCTCAGGGCCTTCGTCCGGCACCTGGGCTGCCAGGGCCGCCAGGCCTTGCCGGCAGTCCCAGACAGTACCCTCGTCCAGCACAGACTTCCGTGCGCGCACCTGGCGACCCCGCGCACCCCGCCTCCCATGGCTTCAAAGGGGAACCATAGCACCAATTTGGTGGTTTCCCGTGGTGTCCTGTGGTTCCCGAAAACGGATGCTGCTAGAAACATGCCCTGTTGGGATTCTGTTGCTGCTCCAAGAAGGAAAAAAAAAGGCGCTTGTTTTGGCTTCTCGTGTCTTGACTCTTGACACATCCCCTTTTGAAGCCGCGCGGGGTCGTCCGGAGTCGAAACCCCGCCTCCCGCATGAGCAGGCGGAGCTGCTGCAACACCGCCACCAAGTTGCAGCCCAGCACGTCGGCTGGAAGCCCGGAAAGAAGGCCCTCCCCGTAGACCATCTCATAACTGCTGTGTAGGGGCAGCTCATCCCTGCTCATGAGGAAGTTGCAGAAGTTCTCTTCCTGCAGATTGGAGCACGTGAGGGTGCAGAGAAGAAACAAGTCCTTTAACCAAATGTGTTTTCCGTAGCTGTGCCGCCAAGCACAAAAACACACCCACACACTCACGTACACATGCTCGGCCATCCCAAAACCAAAGAGCAAAGAAACAAAAATCATTTCAGCGCCAACCCGACCTCCAGGTTCGCCATGGCCTCCCGCAGCTGCGCGTCTTTGCTGGCCAGCTGCGCCTGGCCCATGGCGTCCCACTTTGGCGCCAGCAAGGCGGCCAGCTGCTCGGCCAGCGCAGGGGCGACCGGCACCGCCAGGACTCCGGAGAAGCGACTAAACTCCCCGTTCTCCTGGGCCAAACGGGACTTACGCGGGTTTGGGGACGGTCCTCTGCCCCTGAGGCAATTGACAATGAAGCGGAGCAAGTTGCAAGGCATGAAGCTGGTCCAATGCTTGCAAAAAACGCTGACTGCGGCGACTGCCGAAGCGCAGGCCTCATCGAGGATCTGGATCAGGCGTGGCAAGGCGCCGGTCCGGATGCCAGTAAGCAGCTGGACGGCCTCGTGTGTTGCGTCTGGTGGGCTTGAAAGTCTCCTAACGGCAACGCTTGCTGCAGAACAACCACCGCTCGATCCAGCTTCAAGCAGCAAACTCATCAATCCAAAGCTGCAATTCAGACTCTGGAAATGCCTCACCAAAAGTTGTCCCCTGGAAGATGCACAAATGAGTCCTCCTCTGACATTCCCTCTACTGACATTCCACTAGGTGTTTCCAAAACTAGAACAAGGACCCCAAAGACTAGTTGGTGTTACTTTGGTTTCCCTGCCAACACCATCCGCAAGGGCATTCCCCTCCTCCACGCAAAAGTCCCACTGGAGGGCCCCCCAAGCGTGCCTGCGGCAATAGATCCATCGACTGGACCTCCTCCAATTCCAGCACCATCCTCAATGGATCTGCTGAACCTCGGCTGACAAAATCGCAGAAGGGCAAACGCAAAAAAAACGTTCCATAGCTTTTTACCGCAACGCCTCAAAATTGGTGATCTCGGAATGGGCTGAATCCTCGAAAGCACAGTTGGTCAAAATGAGGAATCAAGTTGTTCTGCCAAAGGCAGCGCTGCTGGCACCCCGTCCATTGTTCAAAATGGGGTCCGGCATCCCTAATCCTCCGCCATCCAGAGTGGGATACCACTACAATGGAGCCTGGTGCAAGGATCAAGGATCGAAGTTCAACTTGTTTGGCTCACCTTGGTAAATGGAAACAAAAACTAAAACCTGCGTAGCCCTAGCTCTTTAACTTTGAGCCACACCCAATTGAAGTCAGCTGAGGCCCTATCTTGTCCAGTGGCCCAGCTGAAGAGCCACACGGCGTAGCACCTCCCTGCAGCCTTGGAGGTCTTGCAGCGGCAGCTGTGCGACGGCCTCCAAAATCCGCTCCTGGCGAGTTCTCGCCACCGCCCCTCCCCCCAAAATCAGCTGGAAGTCTCCCCAGTGGATTCCTGGTTGCTCCAACAACCCAAAGCCCTGGGTCGCTGCAAAAATATACAACCTGGCGGACTGGATTGTTCAAGGCACGACGACTTTATTGCCCCGGCTCCATCTAAAACAAGTGCACGCATCTGTCTTCGTCCATTTCTTTGCCCTCATGAATTGGAAGACAACTTTCCTCAAACCCTCCGCTAATTCCATGGCAATGCGAGAGGAAACATATCCCAGGGTTGTTGGGCCGTTGCCCCTTGTCTCTACACGGTCGTTTAAGCAACCTGCTTGGCCTCCAGGGGAGGGGGCGACTTTGGCTTCTCCACCTTCCGTTCGTAGCCCGCCTCCGTGTGTTCATCGAGCGCCTCTGCCACCTGTCCCTCGGGGCGCAGGGCGAAAGAGCTGACGGCTTCCGGGAACCGCAAGCGCTGCACGCGGTGCACCCAGGCGGAGCTCAAGATCTCCTCGGAAGCGGAAAAATCACGACGAGTCCGGGGCGGTCATTGTCCAGTAGTTTCAAGTTGTGTATTTGGTGGTGTCTGTCAAACTGACCCCCCTGCAAGAAGTCTGCATATTTCAAATTAGTGCAGAAACAATGATTCTCCTGCTTAGAAAGGCCAACAAGGACTCGTTCGCTGAAACAGCAGCATCTCCACCTTCATTTGATAGACCGCACTTGAATCCAAAAATGCGCAGACAGACCCTGCATTCGCCGTGGTAAACGCGAATGCACCCAGCCACATATGAGCCACGAACAAAAGTAATTGTTGCCCAAGATGATACGGCAAACATTCGAATTCGGGTGGGCCACCCCTTCTCGTAATAGTTGCTGCGTCCTGCTGCACTGCCGGCCAGTCCACTTTGGGCACCTGGCCCTGGGAACCTTGCAGCTGCCGTAGCACACTGCGCTGCAGCGGCCGACTCTGCAGGCTTTCCACCAGCTGCTCTTGGAAGAAGAGGTCGGCCAGCCATACGGGCGCCTCCCTGAGCGTGTGAGAAACTCATGCGTGCTGCTCCAAATGCCGTCGACACTCTGACACCAGTGCCAGCTTTTGAAAGTCGCAGCGGCTACGCCCTTCATTCATCGCAGTAGTCTTTGTTAGAGTTGGTGCTCTGCTTGGGGGTTGAACTTAAAGAGACAAGCTGACAAGCTGTCCAAAACCTATCGACTCGACGCCCCGCCTCTCCATGCGACTGGCCCAGCGCGCGGAGTACTGGCCGTGGCTTCTCAGGGCAGACACTGCGCTGTCCACGAGCTCGTTCCAGGCGCTGCAGAGGTGCTTGGCAACCATCTCGGTGCAGGCGAGCGGGGAGGGGGGGAGGGGGCAGGAGGGTCTGGCTTGCTTCATGAGCAAAAAAATGCAACATGGAAATGCTTTGCGTTCTTGTTGTTATCCTCCAAACAACCCAAATAAGGGCAGAAACTTACAAAAGGACACACCGTGACACCTACAAAGCAGCCTGCTCACAGTTCCCCTCACTCACCGCTCTTGCGCCTGAGTTCCTCCATCCCCCACGTAATTTCTTTAGGGCATGCACACCGGCCAAAGAATTGCGGGCCCAGTGGCTTGCGGCTGACATTGGGCATCTCCATGCACGAAGAATCTCAAAGGAATCTTCTGCTCATCCTCGATGGCCTGAGCCCGCGGTTGTTTCACAGTTCGCCTGCCAGCACCCAGCTCTTGAGACCCAACAAACATTCCCATGCACAATGTAGCTGACTCCTCGCCATGTGATGGCACATTTGCAGGCACAAAGAACAATCTGCATCTGTACCAGTTTCGTTGCCAATCTGTGAGTTGGCCATGGGCTTAAATGAGAAATCCTCAGGAAACAGCCAGGGTCCGATCAATCCTGAGAACTCGTCAGAGCCTTGGTTTCTGCCTGCCTCGAGGCGCGTGTGCTGCGCTTCCAGGCCGGCCCGTACGCGGGCCGCTTGGCACTCGATGGGGATCTGCCCACCGTTCTCGGCGTGGAACTTCCTCCAGCCCTGCCTGAGACAAGAGCTCTGAGTTCGTAAAAGCAACTAACTCACGAGGAGAGGGGAAGAGAACATCTCCTACTAGGTTGTCAAAAATCCCCAAAGGGTTAATGACCGTGTCACATGACCAGGGTCTGTCCAAAACCCATTCGATCGTCACAAGCTATGTTCCAAGGCAGGAGCTTTGAAAGTGGTCCAAAGTGGATCAAGACTTCAGAAGCCGCTTTGGAATGAGGAACCTTAAGGCGACAAATTTCAAGTGGGTGTACCTGTGCCTGTACCTGTGCGTGGGACAGCAATTAGTCAAAGGCGAACCGAACATGGCGGGCCAAATCAAAACCTCAGTGAGTCATGCATATTGGCTTGCATATGGAAGCTTGCTGCAATCCACTCTGAACAATGTGCCGAGCAGCACAAAGCGCTTGAAGCTCGCAATGGCCAGCTCACAGTGCCGGACGTCGCCCATGGACCCCACATCCTGCAAGGCGCCAAGGTGTCAGGACTCCGACCAGAGGCTCACCGCGGAAGATTCTTGCGCAAACGCGTGTCTAGACCTAAGATTGCTCAAAGCGTAAACAATCCGCCCTCGCCCCTCCTGATCCTTCTTTTGCCGCTTCATCATCAGCTGCAACACCGGCTGGTCCAGGCATGATTCCGGCAGCACCCCGTTGAGTCGGTCGAATATCCAATTCTGGCCGGCTGCAAGGGCTTTTCCGTGCATGTTTCGGAAGACTTGCGTTTAGTATCTGAGCCACGGTCAATATGTGTTGTACCCCCAACTGACCTTGGCGAGTGACCCCTTTTTTTTCTGATAATGCTTGGTGAGCGTACTCAATGTCGTTCCCTTTATATGAGATCGTACATTTTTTGAAGGGAAGCTAAACACAAAGCTGCTTTAGGGGGTCCCCTACTTTTGCACACACGCAATGTTTACCGTTTCTCATGTGGAGACTAGAAGACTCTGGCCCTGGTGCTGCACTCAACATGGTGCGGGTTGTTCAAACATGTCATGCTTGGACTGCCGGCCTGGACAACCACAATCTCCCTCAGCAGCGGCAAATGCGCTAGCTCCTCCTAGCGCGTGTTTTTGCGCCGTCTATTGGCTTCTTGTTAAGGTGTCTTTTTTGGTTGCAAGGGAATATCAAGGCAAGGCGAAACCACCCATTTTGGGGTTCCCCGTTGGTAAAAATGTAGACACGGAAGAGAGGAGTGAAGCAGTTCCACGAGAGTCAGGCGGAAGAAACATTGCAAGCGGTACACATCCGATTTCGAAGTCACGTCAAAATAATCGATTCTCCCAAGAGCCAAGCTGGTTGCTGTTTGGGTTTAGGGCTCCCGCCTGACGGTTGATCAGGGCAGTCACAAAGGAGAGCTCTGGCACTGCGGGCAGGGCCAGCTTGCAAGAATCGAAGTGATGGTGCAGGTAGCTCCTCAAAGGGCACCATGCCCGTGAAAACCCGCGAGCCCTGATCCGGACCCCGGCGGTATTTTGGCCCCAAACAAAAAAAAAAGAAGAACACACGGGCCCTGAAGAGAAATATGAGTGGTCGGGAAAAAGAAGCCGTTCTCCATGTTCCATGGCGGCAGGCGCACATATTAGGTACCCTCCCGTGAGGAATCCCTAGCCCCGGGGCCCTCTCCGAAAAACTTGCGTCCTCCTCGCACGGAAGGCATGGAACTGCCTCAGCTGCTCCTGGGCCTGCGAGGTGCGCAAGGCCTCCTGGTGCCAGGCGTCGATGCCGCCCACCGCCTCATCCACCAGCCTGGAGTGGGTCTGAACGCCCGCAGTCAAACGTCCGGTTTTTGGGAAGCCCTAGACATGCTCCCTCTATGGACCCATGGCAGTCGGTAGAAGTTTGATGTGCCAACTGTAGCTTGCAATCTGACATCTGCATTCTACGTGGGTGTGAAGTTGAATTGGAAATGGACCTGTTGGGGGACATCAGCAATACGATTGGTTGTTTTCCTTCTTGACAGCCACATTCTCTGCAAGCGGAACCTCCAAAACGGGCATCATGACCAGTTGCCATCAAAAATCAAGCGAAACTGGTCCCATTTGGATTTGCACCCTGTTTTGGTGAACATCCAAAACTCTGGTGTTTCAACTTGGTCTCCCCTTGAAAACAACCAATTCCGTGCCCTCAAAGGATGACCCCATTGCCCGCCTGCGCCAAAGGCCCTCGTACTGCTGCCGCGGCTCCGCCGCTGGGAAGCTCCTGGCTGGCTGAAAGCCGCTGGCCGAGACTGCTGCGCCTCGGAGCGGGGCTCAGCTGCATGTGGTGATTTGACGAGCGCGAGGTGGTTCACTTTCTTCTTTTGAGTTTGCAAAGTATGGGGCTTTCAGCCATCGGGTTTGTATCATTCGCAGACAAAGCCAGGTCCTGAAAGCAAACACACAGACAGAAAGGCAGAGTGGCTTGCTTGCTGATTCGAGCGGGCGTCGGAAGTTGTGGAAGAGCCGGGCAAAGCACAGCCCCCGATCCTCTTCGGAAAGCCCTTGCTTGGTGCCAACGCACTCGAAGCAGCGGAGGGCAAAGTTCATAGAATAAGTGCGAGCATTCTCCGGGCCATTTCTTCCAGCAGGATCCACCTCTCCCATGTGCCTGAGCCAAGTAGTGTTGGCTTAAAACTGATATCCCAAGCTACTTGAAACCTGCGTCACAGCGTTTTGAAAACCCTAGCAATCTTTGAGGGGTTGCCTCATCGTCAGCACTCGTTCGATGTTGGTGCAGTTTTCCGGCTGCACAAGGAGCCCCACAGAGAGAATGGCCCAGCTGCAGAAGTTCACGAAGTGCAGATGCCGGTTTTCCAGCGGAGGCCGAGTCTTCCTTGCACACCCGGCAGCGTCTAAAATGCAGCCACAGTCAAAGTGATAGCCTTCAGGGCCAGGCATAGCACCGAAGCAAAAACCCACAGGGAAGGTGTTCATCATGGCCAACGGCTCCAAGAGCAACATACTCAGGTGGTTGTTGTCCGGACTTCCCAACACCGCGACCAAGAGGTTCACCACTGCATTTCTGAGCTTCAAGTTGGAGTCTCCACCTTCGCCACTAACGACGCCATCCCAGCCGTCACGGCCCAAGAGCACGGCTGCCGCGAGGCTTGAGGACTGCACGGCCGAGGTGTCACACAGCACCGCGGCCACGCGGGCGAGCCGTGGCTCAAAGCCCAGCGCCCGCTGCAGCGCGGCATCCGACTGCAGCGCTCGTGCCAGGGCCGGCTGGCTCCGCCCGCGCTTCAGCAGCCCACAGGCCGCAGCGTTGGCGAAGGCGTAGCGCCGGTCCTCTGGGCACAAGCCCCCAAGGGCCTCCTCGGCCGTCTGCACGCAGACCGAGAAGTTTTCCCGCGTCAGCCACGAGAGGATGGCCGAGTAGCCCGCAGGTTGCCGAGCTTCTGACACGGTTGGGCGGTACGGCTGGGACTGCAACCAACTGAAGTCCCGGCCGCAACCTTCACCGTGTATGAGACCTTGATGTGCATGGTTTCCGCAAGTCATCACATCGCAGCCAGCGTTCTTTTCAATGATTCGGCCGCAATGTGGGCAGCATCTGGCATTTTGGGCGGCGTGCATCTGGTCGAGGCGCTCTTGCTCGCGATCCTCACGCTGCCGGCGCAGCCTTTCACTCTCAAATCCTGGCATGCCAGTGATGGGCAGGTCCTCCCATGGATTCTCTCCGGGACCTAAGAGGGCAAAAAACGCAAATAAGAGACTGACATCGGCTCGCAAGACTTCAGCTATTCCCGTCCATCCGACAAACGGATCCTATCCGATCCTGACAACCCAGCAATTGCCCTATGGTCTGTCGGTAAGCGCTTCTGCCCCTTTGGACAAGTTGCCTCCGGCCACCTCCGCGTTCGCCAGCGCGGCTTCCCAGGCCAAGACCGCCGGAGGCAGGTCCCCGAGCCGGCGGAGAGCCTTGGCGGCGCCGGCCTTGGAGCCCGCAAAGCGCACCAGGCCATCCAGGAAGTACAGCAACTCCTCGAAAACACCCGAAAGAAGTTGCGAACAAAAAAAACTAAGCCAAGAACAAGGCTTCAATCAGCGGTAAGTATGCGCTAAGAAGGCTTAACTGCTGCATTGCTTCTTTGAGGTTTGGTCTGGGGGCCAGTGTGGGAAGTCTTTGAAACAAGAATGTGGCCGAAAGTGTTTGTGGCCGGGAAATTTGCCGGTGACCAACTAATTGGCCGGATGGGGCTTCAGGCACTAGTCGCCATAACAGCAATTGTGGGCGCATGTTGCACCAAGTGCGAGTTTGTTCTGCCCTATTTTCGTCTCCTCCTCCTCCCAGGCACCCATCAGCTGCAACAGCACCTGGCCAGCTGGCTGAGTGTTGCCTGCTCAAACTGGTGAATCCTACAGCAACTAGAAAACCGATCATGGTGAAGATCCTGGTTGCCTGAAATTCACTGGATAGACCACCCAAGTGATTCCGTTTGCCTGTTTGCCATTAACCAAGGGAAGCACAAATCAAAAACTAGAAGAAAAATGGCTGGTTACCATGGGGGATAAACATCCCTTCGGTGTCTTGGAATCGGGGACCCCTTGGGTGGCTCTAAACAGAAACCAAGCGCCTTCGGACCGCATTCCCAAACTTGGAGATACAGCCAAACCCCCCCATGAATAATTTCCTTTGCACCCACCAAAGGATATTGGGAAGTTTCTCATGTCACTCACATCAAAACGAAACACAAGACATGGTTGCCAATCGGCTCCAAAAATGGAAAAATCAGTCGGGTGACTCGGGCGACTCTGGATCCGCACCTGGCCCTCCCGCGCGCTTTCTCCAGCTGCCGCGCGCGCGGCGGCGGCGCTCAGCAGCAGGTGCCGCTGCGCCGCACGGCGCGCGGCGGCGTAGGCGTTGCACGGCGCGTGGAACCGCTGCGCCTCGCGCTGCCGCTGCTCCACGGGCCTTGCGAGAGGCACCACATGGGTATGGGTCAAAATTAAACCACCAGGAATTGGACCGCAGGTTTTAGTCCATGTTTCCATTTACCTGGGTTCCATTTTGGGTACCTATTTTTGACCCACTGCCACATGGGCGTGGGCGCCTCTTCAAAGCTGCGTATAATTCTCCTTCGTGGGGCTGGTTTACCGGAAACTGTACGTTTTGGGGGTCCCCCGATTTTGACACCAAATGGAACCTTGAAATGGAGATCTAAGGAGGCATCAAATGGAGCCCAAGTGCCGAAAGAATGGGAGGCGGAACCTCCGAATGGAATTGTGTTGGCGCCCAGTTGGCCTGTAGCCCACTTGCAACCAGCTCAAAAAAGGGCCCAACTGCTGTTGGTCCCGTTGCAAGGAATCCTTATGATTTTCTAAAATCCCTGCGAAAGGGTTGATGACCATAGTAAGCCCAAGTAAAGGAGTGCTTTGATCATTGCAATTGGGGGCAGAAGAACTGCTCCAGGACTTAGAAACCCTTCCCGAACAGTCTGCAGCTTGCCAAACTGAACGAGTCCGAGTAGCTTTTCCAAGTTCAGCAGCTGAAGGCCTTCAGGAGACCGGAGCGCAAAGTATAGGAGATGCGGCAAGGAGCTTCGGCCTTCGCCCTGCCACTCCATCCACGCACTGCACGGGAGTCCCTGGAAATCCTCAACATCGACCCGTTTGCAGAATTCTTGGCTGAGCTTTGATTCCTGCTTTGTCCTGTGGGCAAGCTCCAGCACGCCCTCCAAAGCGGAAACGCCGAAAGCTGGGGTGATCAAATCGTAGCAGTCCTTGAAGATTCCATTGCTGTCAACGATATCAAGCACGAAAGCCAGGCCGTCGGCGTCCTCGTTGGAGCATCTAAGCGACCACAAAGTGTCCTCGCAAGGGCAGACGTCAAAACCGCTACGCACAACTGCCCACGTTGATCCTCTACACTGCTTGCCAACCTTGGTGGCATTTTTGCCCAGGCGTCAACCACTTGGTGAAATGGAGATGGCCTGCTGGTGGGCCTGTGGTTTCCCCTGAAAACCCCTCCAAAACAAAAGGACAGGCCTCCCTTCGAAAAGCAAGCCTCCCACCTCCAGGAAGCGCTGTAGGCAGAGGCGTGCTGGCGCCGACGGCCCGTTGCGGCCGTTGCGCGCCAAGCCACGCAGGCACCGCCGCCGCTCCTCGCGGCTTGTGCCGAGGCCCGAGGCCAAGTCCTTCAGCAGCTCAAGACCCTCCGAGTGCGACAGACACGGCAGCAGGTCGCTGAAGAAGGCCAGGTCCGCCAACTTGCCTCAAACTCATAGCAATCCCCGACGCGTCTCAACCACTAGCGCACCGAAGGCGGCCCAACATTGACAGATATTGACAGGGAACAAACCTCTTTGAAGGGTCATTGGCTTCTGTGAAGGCAAGCTGCGGTAAAGCACGGGCGTCAGGCTCAAGCGGCTCCTCAACAATGACCGGGCTGCCTGGAAGGAATGGTGCCAGGAATCCAGGTCCGCCATCTGATTGCTCAGTGACATCAAGGCGTGCAGCTGTTTCTCCAGCCTGAGCTCTGAGAGCTCCAGATCTCTTGATCAAGACCGGATTGAGCAAAGCGAAGAAGCTTTCGGACCGGCTTCGATTCGGAAGTTCTAGCAGCGAGTGTTGACTTAGAGGGGGTTTGGTGAAAGTACCTCTCCTTGCGTCTGCCTAACAAAATGCAATAAAGCATGGCTCTGTCACCTCGTTGAATGCCGAAGGTTACCTCCCTGTGAACTGACAGTTGCAGCTGAGCGGCAGCGTCAATGCAGATTCCGCCAGCTTCTGGGCAGAGGCGTCCGCACCCGAGCTGAGATTTTGCAGCACTGCTTGAGGAATGTTGTCCTGGTACAGGAAGCTCAAAGCAGCCAGCATGGACCGATGGCACCTCGGCTTGCGGCTACATCCATGGGCGGTTGCTTTGCAAAGCTCTTGCTTCCTGTGATGTTCCCTCCAACATGCAACCCACCAGAAGCTTCAATAAGAGAAAAACGGTCTTCCAAGGCCTTCATTACAGTAGTGGCAGACTACTCACGAAAACCAAGGCACCAGGCGCAGGTATGTAGATTTGCAAGCCCGCTGCGGGCCCAGGTTTGCAACAGCTCGGCTGCCACTGCTGGGAGGCTCAGCCGCGAAGCCGCGTATGCGCAATACGTGGGCAGGAGAGGGCCTGAAAGGAGCATGTCAAAGAATAAGGTTTTCCTGTGGATGTTGATACTAGAGTCATCACCTGGAAGGAAAAGGTACCGCTCCAAGCTCAGCTGTGTGTCGTCTTGTTGGTTTCCATCCGAACACACCTGACCAGGGCCTCAAAAAGTCTCGCCAGAATGAGGTTTCCAAACAGCAAAACCGGCAGCCAAATCGGCAAAGAAGCTGCAGCAGCTCTGGCGACTGGAGCTACACCCTGCGCGCGGCAAAGTTTTGTGACCTGCCTGAAGCTACTTGCTGGGACAGCTCGAAGAAGGACTTCTTTGACCATGCCTCGGAGAACTTTTCAAGCAGGGTGTTCTGATCCTCTCCGTCTTCAAGTACAGCACGAGTGTCCAAGAAGCACCTCAGCTTCCCTCCATCGTGCAAGGTCAGCCACATGCAGCTAGGTGAGCAATTTCAAGCAGAAGCTCCTCATGAATCAATTTTGGAGCGATTGACACGGTCAAGGTGCTCTTGCAGGCAGTCAAAGAGACGCGGAAAGCATGGCAAGACCGGCTCCCCCATCGGTGGCATCAAAGGTCGTGGGGCTGTGAGACTGGAGCTTGGCAACGCCTCAGCCGCATCACTGACCGGTGGGCGGTGCAGTACAACCAGTGAAAGGCAGACACAGGCTGCGGAAAGCACACACACACAGACACACACACACACACACACACACACACACACACACACACACACACACCTCTGCGTCGTTACAGTGATGCGATCTTGTCCCAGCCGTTGGACTAAACAAGCGATGTGCTGTGTTGTTTGTACGGCGCTCACTCTGAACCGTCATGAAGGAATTGGCCAAGTGCACTTGATTGCCCTCTGAATGCGGCCGTGCTCGGCCTCCCAAACTAACAATAGTATTTGAAGTGGCTCATGTGGCAACGTGCTAAAACCAAGGCACTCCACGTAGTCTTAGGTACGTCGCCGTGCTCTCAACGGCATCGCTGCCATGCTCCACCAAGACTTTGAGACCACCTGGTGTGCGAGATGAAAAAGTTCACTTTCGCCTACTGGGTACCCTACATGGGGAGTACTGTCCATCCGACCAGCTTGGAGGGTGTGGCAACCACCATGTTTTCCGAACAGTCACGCCTTGGTCACAGAGCACATGGAGTGCACCTGCCAGAGCCGAGACCACTTTCTCAGCGCACCTGTTGCGGACAGTGGTCTGTAGGCACAGAAGCGGGCGGTGATCCACTTCCATTCCAACGATCTCCTGGCCGGATTGCTGATCTGTTCGGCAAAGACCTGTTTTTTGCCTCAGCCGAATGCTTTCGCCTTTGGACCTGTGTTTCGGTCTGTGCAGCCTCCGGCGCAGTTCAGCTATCACTCTCCTCAGCCCCGCCTTGGAGGCTGCAATGGCCTCCTGCTTCAATGACACGCCCTGCAGCACTCTGCACCGGATCTTGCGGAGCTGCGTGAGCACGGCCTAAGCAGCAACAAAAGCTGATTGTTTGCATGAGAACCTTCTTGCAGGAAACCCGTGGGAAAGTCCTACACATCTTTGCTTGGAAGCTGAAGCTGAATGAAAAATCAACCGTGAAGATCGAAATCAACCATCAAAAGCCCTTGCAGCACCCTGAGTTTGCCCCGCGCTTGCAAGAGCGGAATATACCCAAAGCTGCTGCTCGAAGGAAAGCATACCTCAAACCCACATGGCCTCCAGCGTCCTGCCGTTGTTTCCACGAATAGTGACGCCAGGACCGGTCTCGGATTGTTGATTTCCTTTTGGCTTCTTTTTTCGAGTCATTCAAAAGGGGGGGTCCCAAACAGTTCTTCTGAAAATCCCTGTGATTCCTGCCTTGCTGCGAACCACCATAGTCGGCCCAGACTACTGTATCATGGTATACCATACTGGACATCACGGTTCCTTCAGACCTACGATTTCTGGTCAGGGGCATTTCCTGTAGGACTTAGAGCAATACAAGGGGTATAGACTGCCTACAAGATATTGGCATCGATGAAAAAGCTGCCAATACCTCCGAAACCCATCCGACCCATCCGACCCGTCCCTGAACCCGGCCTCAAAGCGCGGCTCCTGCAGCAACTGCCACAACGCCGCACAGCGGCGCTGCAGCGGGACCTCCAAGTAGAAGGCCGCCCCGGGGTGGGCCCAGGCCTAGGAAGCACCCATCGACTCATGGCCTTGTCCACTGGGTCTTTTGGAGCGCCAACCTCAATGCGTTTTGTTGTTGTTGTTTTTTTTTGGGTATGGAGTATGGAGGCTGCTTTTGAAGATGGTACTTCTGGGGGAGAGACTTCAACGGGGAGTACACGGCGAAAACCACTCATTTGGGGAGTTCCCTCATTTGGTGACGGCTTACCTTTGAGTCAAAAGGAACGCTGGGCTAGTCATTTCTAAGACTGAACTCTAAGCCCCTGCAAAAACGTGGGATGTAAGGCCCTTCTCAAGGGTTGCTTTCAAAGGAAGACCAAGGAGCAAGCTGCGCACTTTGGTGGTCCCAATTTTGAGACAGCCAAACCATCGACTCGCAGTTTACGGTACCTTCCCTGATTCATCGCACGCCTGCACGTGAGTAGTGCCTTACCTTCCCTGCTTAGCACGAGAATGAAATTGGGATTCAAGTCCTCAAGCCAACAATCCAAACTGCCAGTTTTGCGATGCTTGAAAACATGTGGTTTTCCTAGGGAAACAACACATTTGTAGATGCTCTCCCGCAGCTGACAGTGAAAGCCCCAGTGAATATCCAGAGAACCCCCCCACTGAGCCTCTGCAAGGCTCCGCAGCGCCTGGGATGGCGGCAGCCGACTCACAGCGGTCCAGAGGTCCCGCCTCAGTTCGTCCTCCGAGACCTCGGAGGTTGCAAAACAATCAGAGTCACTCAAGGGGAGACAAGGGGAGACATTGTAACCTTGTGACCAGTGACCAGTGGGCGTTCAGGAAGGGCAATAACCGTCCTGTGGTTTTTGTTAAATCAGTATTGGAACTACAACAGGGTCCCTTACATGAGACACTGGTAATATATGTTGTGTTCCCAACTGGCATGGAGATTACTTGAGAAATCAAAACAACCTCAAAAAGTCAAAAAGGGTACCAGCTCAACCCCTCCATGCTTAAAGGTCCCTGGCGCGGTTGGGAATCTCAGGGGTACATTGGCTATGGCACACACGTCCCCTTGAAACATCACGACATGTGGCGATGTGTCTTTCCGTTGTATGTGAGAGCGCAACCAGGAAACTGTTAGACTTCCCAACCGCACGGCGGGCCTGGTCCTCGAGCTCCTCCGGTTCAGCATCCAGGACGGAGGCCACCATGGCCGGGCACTCCGTGTCGTCCAGGGAGTCCAAGTGGAAGATCTCCCAACCGCAGAAGTTGGCTTCGTAGATGCTGGCCATGTGCAACTTCCTAGGCTTTAAGAGCAGGTTACGCGCGCCTTGCGCAGCTTGTCACGGACCAAAAAAGAAGCGCTAGGGGTCTCCCAAAGCTTTATCCCCTCAACCTGAAGGGCTGGCAAGCAAAGCTTCCATGGTGGCAACAACACCGTCACCAGAAGGCCGGAGATCAAGCGCTCGTCGGCCAAGCGCCGGAGCTGGTGAATGGCACGGGGTGTGCATTCCAGATCATCGCTGGCAAAGGAAGCACCGCTAAGTCGGCACAGCACCATGAGCGGCTTTCTTTCGCCTTCCCTGAGAAACAGGGGTTCAAACAGCCGGCGACACCCGGTTCACCAGAAAAGATACAGACCGCATGGATACGTATCTCATGCTCCCTGCCCCCGCCTCCCATACCCGCCCCCCGTCTCGTGCCTGGACTCCAGAAGCTCGATAGCCTCCTTGCGCGTGCGAGGCAACGAGCGGATGTCCACATCATCGCGATTCGCAGTCGTCAGCACATCACGAGTGAAAACCAGGACCCGCGGCCAGCCGGTGTACGCCATTCGCTGCAGCAAAGCTCCGAGTCCCGTGTGTGGACGCGCTGTATAGCCTCGACAACCAGTCTCTGAAGAGAGCTTGGCCCAAACCTCTAAAGCCATTCTTTCCCTCACCCTGCCTGTCAAGAGCTCGTTTGGCAGCGACTTCCTCGGCCACGGCAAACCCAAAGTATCGGCATGCAAAACATTCCTTGGATTTAGTTGGGGAGATTCCTGAGGTGCCGCAGAAAGTAAACAACTTAAGCTGAGGTGCCAATCTCCACGAGGCAACAGTGTCAACAAAATCGGGAAAAATACATCCCGACCAATTGCCAAGGCCGAGCAGTGCTGGCACCGACTGGTCAAACAAACTATCCCGCTTCAAATCACAAAGAGTGTCAATGGATTATGAAGATTGATTGGGGTAGTGTTAGCTTCAGGAAGTCCTGGGAGTTTCGAATACTGTCCCTTCACTAGTTGCAAGAATGCCAAACAAACAGCAAGCATGCAATGCCCGTAAGAATTATGTCACTTCGCCTTGCGCGGCCTGAAGCTTGGCTGCTGCGAATTGATGCTTTACTTTGCTCCCCTTCTTCTCTTGGCTCCTTAAAAAATGATAAACACATCACTCAGCAACCCTTTGGGCCTGAATACCCAGGAATCTAACAGGACGGGACATGACCCTCCCAAGGCTATAGTTGCACTGGTTCCCTCTCGATTCAATTTCTCGGGTTTGGGAATGAGTCCCCTTGAACGGAACCAGGGCCGGTGCAGTTGAGGTCACAACCGAAAATCCCTCGACTCTGAGCATTCCTTTTGCTTTCCAGCGACTCAGCGCAAAACACAAATCACGCAAAAGCTTAGGGAAGATCCTTGGCAACCTGCAACACATGCGAACAAACCCATGGACCTGCGGTTTTGCCAAGATGGCTTCAAAGGCTTTTCAACTTAGCCTTATGATAAGGTCCGGGCTGGAACTGACCCGCAGTGTTGCTTTCGCGCTTTTGGCCTTGCTGAGGCTACTGGGGCGAGTGATCAAAACCGCACTTTCAGCACTCCACACATGCCTGCCAATGATAAGCACACCCGCTCTAAGAGCACACGCTCAGCTCTGCACACATGCCTGCCATTTGACAAGCACACCCGCCTGCCAAATGGCAAGCGCGCCCGCTCAAGAGCCCACTCAGCACCACACATGTGCATGCCAAAGGATGAGCGAGTGCACACGCTGAAGAGCACCAGAAACCCACAAGACACAAATATACAAGAAGCAAACACTGACTGTCGCATATCATCTGACATGATGGAAAAACATGCGGCTCACTACCAGCCCGGCGCGCAGAACTTAAGCCGTGCCCTTTCGCCGAGCTTCAGATGGCTGAGCACCGCCTCAGAAGGCGCCAGCTGCATCAGGCGCTGCGCCGCGCCCAGCGCCACGCAGGCCGCGGCCTCGCAGAGGGCCCGCTGGCGCCGAGTCGCGCCTGAGAGACAAACATGGACCTCCAAGGCGTATGCATATGGGGGGCTGGGGGAGGGGCTAGGGAATATTTCTGAGACCCATCCCTCTTCGCAGAAACCACCCGTTTTCCATGGTTTGAACACAAAGGACTCTTGAAGCGAATGGGGAGGGTAAAGCAGGAGATTGTTTTTCCTGGGCAGCCTACAGCGCATGCGGCTGGTCACAGGGGAGGAGATTACTCCAGGCTTCAGTTTTCATGTAGAATCCACCTATGGATTCGTTAGTTCCTCTTGTTTATTGCTGATTGATTTTCTCATTTGGAAGCTAAGGTTAAAGAGGGCCCAGGCCACGGAGAAGCCCAAATGTTGCGGCTTTGCGAGCGTTTAATTGGTGAGCAACCACCTGCCCAGTTTTCATTGAGCTGCACCTACCTCCCCCCAGAACACCGATCCCGATTTTGGTCTATTGGATTTGGGTGTAGGCAACTGGGAGGAGGTCCGAGGATTGGAGCTTTAAAGAACCGCCTGTTGGTTTCCAAATTTGGACCAGCTGCCATTTCAGGCATTATGCTACTTGCTCGTCAGCACGAAGACAAGATAGTCTGGAACTGCTACTCAAATCAGGAATCTGCCACAGAGCCAGCTATGGAAACAGAAATGAAACGGGTACGGACGTGATGGTTTCAATGTCCTGTGTTCTTGGATTGCAGCTTTTTATGCAACAGGAATGGAAGGAATGGAAAAGGACCTGAGAAACGAGGGGAGCGAGGCCGGACATCAGTTATTAGGACTGCATAGGTCAGAGACCGGCATTGCTTGAATAAGACTTACAGCAAAGAGAGAAAAGAAGAAGGAGCAAATGCAGGCTTCGGGGATCACGTGACGTGGCGTAAGCTGCTGCTGGGCTGTCCTACTGCAACACGGGTGATTGCCGCTACACATAACGGCGCCTCCCAAGGCAAACGGGGCACGGCCCAGAGGAGGTTCGGGCCCACAAATGGAGCTCGGAAGATAACCTGTAGTTCCTAAAAATGTGCCCAAATAGCAGGATGGGTGGTTTTTGAGGAAGCTAAAATGTACGGGCTATTCTGTGCAGCCGTCTTGCTCTCAATGGAAATTGCCTGTGCTTGTGCAACGATGTCATTTCTGAACAGCCGCTACTTTTTGAACAGCATGTGCTCCATTTGGCCAGTGCATTGAAGCCTTCACTTTGCTTCCTGCATCCAAGCTGCTTGTCTGCACCGAGGTGAGGCTCTCCAGAGCCACAAAGCCTTGATATGACACAAGTTCGTAGACCAAGAGATAGGCATCTCCAGCCCTGCGAGCAGCTTCCTGAGAATGAATCTCCCTCACCATCGCGTCATTGATCTCATACCAAGTCTCTTCCGATCGTACATATGCCACATAATGTCCGCAATGCAAGCCTCCCATGTGCACAATGAAGGAGCGGAGATCGTAGCTCCAAATCTCTAGCTCTTGCACTGCCAAGCTCTGACGCTCCGGAGGCAACAGCGGCAACTGGAGACCCGTCAAGGGGACAGCGAGGTGCGCATCGTTCTTCTGCATCGAGACTCCCTTGCGGCTCCATCGCTCCAGACACCTAGAGTCAACACCCCAGACTGAAATGGGCAGTGCTCTACATCGCAAACAACCTACTCCAGACAAATAATGCTGTCTCCAAATGGGGGAAGCTCCAATTGCAAATGAAGCGGTTTCCTGCTGACGGAAATACTGCAAACTAGTAAAAAGAAACAGAAACAGCAAACATGAAGGTGGAAACAAGAAGATAGCCTTCAAAAAGAATGCCCAAGCGCAGCGCAGGTGCAAAGGCAGCAGTTTTGGGGGCAGCTCCTCCTCCGTGCGGCGCTGCTTGCCGCGGAGCACCGAGGCCAAGCGCTTGGGGCCCTGAGGGGTCTCCACCTATGACAGGGCCCAGTCTGAGAAGCGCCCATTGACTTTGGTTCTACAAAATTTCACTGGTTGAGGATATGCCTTGCTGTACCCAGATTCTAGGTGGAACCTTCCAAACTGGCAAACGTGAGCTTGTGCCCTGCTCATCTGAGAAATACATATATATATATTCATCAGAGTAGCAAGGCCGGGCGCACCGATTTCTAGCTGGGATTTACCTTCATCCACCCAAGTTTAATTGTTTCCCAGTTGGCTTCCACCACCCCAAGCCAAGGGAGAGCTGGGTGCAAAACCAATGTAGTCAAGAGCGTGCCTGATGCCATCCGTTACTACCGTAAATGATAGATAATATTCATACAGCCAACTATGGAAGGTTCATACCGCAATATGATTCGTGGACCAAAATACCTGTTTCCTCAAGGGGGCATGAGACATTCACGCCGGTAAAACGGGTCTCAAAAGAAGGGCTCCTAAACCAGTTGCGAGTTACTCTAAATGATGGAAACATTGTTTGAGGGTTTTAGGAGAAAACCAAAAGAACCCAAGCATTTTAGGGACCACTATGTTGAGAAACATCCGTGAAATGTCATATCCAGATTTCTCAAAATACAAGCCCACGAAACAGGCTGTTTTCTTTGGCTTCGACCACCCAAAAAATGGTCCACCACCATACTAGTTGGGGGGCCCCAACTTCTCGTCCTCCCCTATACAGAGAGCTGGGCTTACCTCCGATCCGGGGAGTGCGCCAAAAGCTGGTGGACCTGAAGAAAAGACAAGAAAACCAAAGCCGCGGCTGGGGCTCCCTCTGTTTCTGACAGAACTGACTTCCAAAAAGCATTTTTCAGCTCACCTCGCAGTCCTCCACGGAGACAAGAACCTCCTCTCTGAGCAGCGACTGCAGTGGCCTCACGGGGTTTGCCCTTCCCCTTGCGCCTGATGGGGGGGCCTTACTTCCTGAGTGGATGGCCCAAAAAATGCTCACCACTACCCAAACAGGGGTCTCTGTTTCCCATTTTAGGGGCGGTGTATCAGTGAAGCGAGCACCCATTTTGAGGTCATCTCTGAGTTTCCATAGAGATTGTCCCGCTTTTCAAAACTGCCCCGAGACTAGCTGCTTTGCCTCCTCCACACCCACCCACCCACCCACCAACCCACCAACCCACCCACCCGCCATGAACATATATATATATATACATACATATCATAACCCTTTCCGCGATACCAGATTGGGCCATCCCCATAACAATTGTATTACTTCAAAGGGGGGTTCTAGACCAAAACCCCAACATTCCAACACCACCCCCACCCCATTTCGGCCTGGCATTCAAGGGCACCCGCAGCACGAAGTCCGCCCCCGGCGTTGCCTTTTGCGCCGGAAGTCGGTCCGCCTCCGGCGACGAGACTGCGCAGGTGGCGCCGCTCAGGGCCAGGGGCTGGCCGCCGCAGCAGCTCAGCAGCCCCTCCAAGGTGGCCACGGCGTCTTCCTCGAACTTCGAACCCCCACGGCTCATCCCAAAACACAACAGACTGTAAAAGTGGCAAAGTGACCCGACGGTGCACTGGTGAACCCTCAAGTTGAAACAAACAATAGAATTGTTGAATAGGTGAATCGCTGCCAGCATTGAGTGCTGAAGATGTGTTGATTTGTCGGTCAATCATCATTCGAAGATGCTCATATCTCTGAATTTGAATGATCTGCGTTCTTTTTGAATTGGGCGGCGCGAGCCTTTTGCCCACTTTTTGGGTTCCGTGCTCGTCGGATCGCTTTCAAAAAAGGAGCTCCAAAAAAGTGTAGGAGCCCTGTTTGAGGCCTCATTATTTCCGCAACAGGGTGGTCAAAGCAAGGCTCCGTTGATATCCCCACCTGCAATCAAACATCACCCCAAAGAGAAACTCAACTGAAAATAGCATGTGTTTTGGAAAGGTGATGTTGAAACCATCTAGAGAATCGCGCTGAAGCTACCCTGCTGGAGACTTTTGAAGATTTAAGGAACCCTGGAAGGCATTCGGGCTGGGCGTAACACCCCAGCTCCAAGCCAGTGCAAAGAAAAAAACGGTTTCGGGCTCCAACGGGAGGGCCCCACTTTGGTTGAATGCTCCGCATAAAAAGAAAAGACCCTTCCAGACCCAATCCGACCAGGCCATTCTGCAAAGAACAAAATGGAGATCAATGCAAAATGAGATGGTCCTGCTTGCCGCCCTCCACAATGTCCAAGCGCTTCAGCTCCTTCTCCAAGACCATGACCTGCTCCTTCTGCACCACCTCGTTTTGCGAGTGCTTCATCACATCGCGGAGCTCCTGAAAGCGCCAGCGCAACCCTACACTCAGTTTTCAAATTCACATTGGAACCCGGAAAGGGGCTCCCCAGAAAAGAGATTCGAATCTCTCATGATGGCCTGTGGGGGTTCGATGGGAAACACTACACATGCCTGGTTCCTGTATGCAGAAGTTCCACTTTGTTGACATTGTGTGGGGAGGTTCGGGGTGGCAACCAGCCATGTTGTGGTTCGGGCCTGGGCCAAGGCTTCATCTGAGGCCTCATCCCATCTTAGCCACTGGTGAGCCACCAGCAGCACCACACAGCTGGCCAGGTAGCAGCTGGCGCCCGCGTTCTCTAGGCCCATGCAGACCTTTGCTGCCTGCATGGGTGTAAACAGCCAGACCCCACCCGAAGACGTAAGACGTAAGGGCAACTTGAGCACAAGGTGTTAAAGCCCTGAGAAGGAAAACCGACCGGTTGTTCCGACCATCGTTACATGTTTCGTAGGTGCACCCCTGCCTTGGGCTTTCGGCGATGCGATGCCAAGGCCTCCGCCAGGCGGGGCGGCAGCGGCCGCATCTCCAAAGCGGCTCGCTGCTCCTCGCGCCCGTGCCACGCGGCCGCCAGGGCTTCCAACGCCTCGGCCGCGCCGGGCAGCGCCTCGTTGATGGCTGAGCCCAAGGTGGCGGGCTGATAGCCCACGAGGCTCGCAGGACCCAGCAGCTGCACCAGGTCATGTAGCCGGTCACCTGCAGCTCCAACTAAGAAGTTCTTCAGAACATCGCGGCTGATTTGACCGCCACAGAGCTGGCTGGCTGTGCGTACGGCCAAATCCGCAGGGCTGCAGTAGAACTTCTCAAAACGGTTAAGAAAGGGCAAAGGCGTGCTTGGAAGATCGGCCGCCTTGATGCACACAACAAGCTGAAAATGCGGATGCACAGGCGCCAGCACGGAATAACTCCCTGCTGCAATTGTTGCTGCAAAGGCAGCTCGATCTTCCAACTGGATGCGTTGAAAGCGCAAGTTCAACAAGTCATAGAATCCATCTAAGATCTCATCAAAGTCCACAATGACACACACGCCAGGCTTCTCTGCATTGCGTCGAATCTCGTTGACCACTTGACTCCGATGAAGCTGGCTTTGGTCTCCCACCATGTCAGATACCTCAAGCACACGGGCATCCTTGAGCAAGCCAATCGACTGCAACGCGCGGATGGCCGTCCCGTCCTGCGACTCAGGCATCTCAGTGAACGTGGTACTTCCCAGGGGAAGGTAGTTCATATGCTTTCTGGATCGTTCTGCGATCACTGGCTCTTTGTGCAAACTGAAATGACACACACACACACACACAAGTTGACAAACAAGTTGACACACAAACGTACACCGGTCCCCAGTTTCGTCGATGATGAGCTTGTAGCGGTAGGGCTCGAAGTCTTCCGCGTCTGGGAGATCCTGCTCGAAACGAAGCTGGCAATGCCACGTTGGACATTTGTGGGACCCGCATACAAATATTGGCATTGGCATGAACTGGCAATTCCCATCCCAGTCCAAAAGTGTCCAACCAGAGCTCAGCAAAGCCCTGCACTCCTCAAGGGCCTCTTGGATCACGTCCAGGGGAGATCGCAAGGCAGCGTCTGGCTTCGAGACCAGGCCACCTGCAGAGGTGTGACCCTGAAACCGCAACAAAGAATTTGAAACTCAGGATCCGAAGCAAAAACAGGCTGGTTGATATCAATCTCCCATTCCTCCCAAAGTGGAAGTGCGCATGCCGGCATTTACAACGAATCAGACCAGTCTTGTCACCAAAACGACGCGGCAGGCTCTCGCCTGTGCACCGCTCCAAGTGCTTGAAGAAAATCTCCGCCAGCTCCTGGAAGTCCTCGCGAGATCGCCGCAAGCGCTCACAAATTTCAGCAACAGCTTCTCAAGGGTTGCACGGATGTTGTAAGCACTTGCCACACAAGCAAATTGCAATGCTTCCTCCAGATCCCTCAAACGGGGATGTAAGCAAGCTGCTTGATTTGATTGATTTCATTCCCAAATGATGGCTTCACTTGGGTCGCAGTCAAAAGATACGAAAACCCGATGTATGGACAATCGGGATATGTTGACAACGATCCTCATTTGGCTATGAATGTCAATGGGAAATACCCTGAAAAAGGGAGGGGGTGGTGGACATAAATCCCGATGTAAATGATGCCCATCAACGGGTCCCCGAACACATTTCATACCCCTGGCACTTTCAATATCATGTCGACATGCAGCCCGCGCTCCTCCATGCGGAGGCCTCCAAAATTACGCTCTAGGCTCATGAGCACCGCGCTTCCCGAGACCGAGCCGCCCTTGACATGCCCCTTGCGGTCCAAGTACCTGAAAGAATCACAGAGGGATGTTTGGACTCCACATGTGAAAACTTGTCGAGGGGTGATTGATGTGTGATAGTCATGTATGTCAATCCATTACACCATCAGAGTTCATTGCCATCATTGAAGTTCAAGTGATGTGGGAAGCAAGAGAAAGTCGTGCCGTAGCCCACAAGAAGCAAGGAAAACATGTCGAAACTGAAGCACAATCCCTACCCCATGACGGTACCATAGCAATATATTAGAATCAGAAACTGTGTTTGACAAGAGAAAGTGAGGGCTAGTTCGCCCTTGCACAAAAACTGGCTGGCGACTTTTTTGCAGCGGGGGGTGGGGGCAAACATGTGCATCTTGAAAACATGTTCTGAGCGTGTATCCTCCACCAGCTAGGCTTCTGTTTTTTAATATTCCTTGCCAAAAGGCACGAGGGTTACAATAATAGGGACATCAGGCCGCAAGTCCAGATTAAATAGGTAGCCGTCTTGTGGCCAGTTCACACCATGATATTGTTCCAAGCATAGGCAAATTTGCCATACAGTGCACCCAAGAGTTGTGGCTTGAAGATAGCCATACCCTCATTCACCTTCTGGTCTTCCCTTGCGAAAGACCCATTGTCAGCCAGGCAGCCTCAAGCAATGGTGGAAATCTCGCAGGTGGAACATGCCCAAGGACTGGTTTCTGTGCCCTTTGGAGATCTCGCAGAACGCATCGCAGAAGCCCTTGACAATGGATTGCGAGATGGGATCTTGCAGGGGAACACCAAGGCACTTTGATGCCAGGACCTTCAAGTCCTCACCATCGGATTCATCACGGAACACTTGCAGGCATCGGTTCCTCTTTGCAGCATCCAGTGGCTTGTTTGCCAGGATGCAGCAGAAAAGCTCGCCTTGATCAATCCAATAGTGGATGGCTTTCAAGCTCTCCTGAGCGCCAGCCATTCTATTCATGCACAAAACAACCCTTTTGTGAGGCCCTTGAGTGCAGAGCTTCAAGAACAAATCGACCTTCTTCATTGCGTCTGCATGCCGAGTCACCATCCTCTCTTCCGGTAGTCCAGCCTCATCGATGAAGACAACAGGGCAGCGTCGGTCTGCTGCGCGCTTCTTCGCACGCAGAGCGCTCTCAAAAAGTTCGTGGATTTGCCGCGATGTGCTGTCTTTGGAGCATTGATACCCTCAGGCACAAACACTGATTGTGGCTGGGAACAGAGGCAACCAAGGATGGCAGCATGGCAAAGGACTGGGAGTCACTGCCCCAACTACTCAAGCTACAAATTCGAACACAAATTCGCTCGGCGAGAATTGCTTGCAAACAAGGGAGAGTCATGCCAACTCCTGCGACAATTGTTGGTCACATCTGCTGCAAACACAACTGAAATCACAAAGGCATTACTCATTTGAAGCAAGAGGCTGAAGACTGAGTTTGCCACCTTGCAGCAATGCTTCTGTTTGGCACACAATGGCCAAACATGACCATCAGAAACCAAATAGCAAGCACTAACTCGAGTGCCGAGCTGCATCTCGGAAATCGCGAAAGAGCGGCACTGCACCGCTGCCGCGCAAGATGCTGGTGGCAATGTTCACCGCTAAAGTCTTGCCGGTCCCGGGCATGCCGACAATCATGACCGGGATGTTGGTTTCAACGCCGACAACCACCGCGAAGACATTCTCTTTGAGCGCGCGAGTTACGGCGATACAATCGTCCAGCACCACGTGGCTCATGTAGAAATCCATCTCTTTGGCCAACACTTCCGGCAAATCCAGGGGCTCAAATGTTTCTGTTGAGATCTCCTGCGTGGGGTCACTTGCAATGGCCTGCAAGCAAAGCTAAAAGGCAAGATGGGCTGCTGGAACGCGTAGAGAGCATCGGGTTTGAAAGCAAACCAAAAGGAACACCTGCCAACTAAAGAGAAGCAAACCCACCCATACCCTCTTTCCAACAATCATGGAAGTGGACAGGAGACTTGTTCAAATGATGGCACCATCCCAAGACTTCTCTCCGAGCTCTTTGCAACGCTCCTCAAAATGCCGCCGTGTGATGTGCGCGAACTGCCGCCGCTGCTCGCTGTTCAGCCCCAGATAGTAGCACACTCCGAAGGACAACAGCAGGGCCTGCGCCGTGCCGCTGCGCCGGCACGCCGGAGCCGTGAAGCTCCGCTGCCGGAAGAACTTCCTCGGATTGTCACTCTGGGATGAAAAATTCGACCCAAAGGCAAAGAAGCAAAAGGGCCTGAGGTCTTTGTGGACCTTGCAGATATGGTTGTAGGAAATGGATCCATGTCTCCGATCCTCGGGGACAATCGGGTTCCGTGTAGGGTCGGCCTCTGCCGCTTTTGCGAATTAAACTCAAAATGCGTGTCGCAATGCATGCTTTCCAAGGATCAGGAAGCGGACCACGCGGATCATATCCCGCTGGGAAACGGCAGATTTGGATTGCAACGTGTCCCGCATGAAGCACTGCGCATCAGAAATCGCAGAAGCAAAGCGCAGGGCATCGTCCTTGGATGCTCTGGCCTGTGAGGTGCTGTTGACTCTTACCCATGCGCAGCCACTGGTCAGAGCGGTTCGTGGGCTTAGGAGATGAAAGCGCAAGTCCAAGGTCCCTGCTTCAAAAGCTGCAGCAATGGAACGCAAAACCGGTCAATACAAAATCGGGCCAGGCTCTTGCTGCATCTCGATGCCCTCCTGGTCTGCCATCTTCCGCAATAAGAGCAGGGCGTATCGCTCTTCGTCCGCTTCCATGGGAGACTTCCAGTTCCAAATGTAGGGGTCAAAAGAGGGCGGGAGAGGGTGCACCTGCAAGGAAGCGAAGGGAGCGCGACCCATCACGGACAAAGAAGAGAAGATGTGGCTATCTCAAGCAAAATTCAGGGTTTCAGGGGGCCTACGTTTAAAGGTCGCTTTAAACTGCGCTTTTCTTGTGCCGCCGAAAACAGCGGTTTGCATATTTCAAGCAATGCCCATCAGCTCGCCTGGAAGAAGTCCCTCATGACCGTCCTGCTCCCGCGGACCACCAGATCTTCCGTTGTGGCCTCCTCCCGGTACGGGTTCGCTGCAGCCACCAGGAAGAGGTTGGGATATGTGCCCAGCAGGCTGTCGCAGAACATGGCCTTCACCAAGCCCAGGCACGAGGAGGTGTTCACCTGGCGGGCAGATCGCAAGGCTTCGGGGGGTGAATTCTTCTTACACCGGCCATCCCGGCAGCGAGAGCAAGCCCCTGGACCAGACATGACAACTTAATTAGGGCCGGCAAGTGCCCTGCAGCCAACCTTATCCTGAACTCTCTCACCCGGGTACCTTCCCTCAAGAGCCCTGGCCTCATCCAAGAAAGCCACCACCACGAGCTGAGGCTCCCGTTTGCAAGCACGCAGCGCCGGCTCGAGCTGCTCCTCGCGAGGCCGTTTGCGGCTTTTTCCCAGCTATGGCGTTTAGTCATGACGAACACTTCCCCGAAGCCTTACAATGACATCAAGAGACAATTGGGGCCCACCCCATAACCTCCAAAGTGATAAGCTGCAGGCTGCCGCTCATTTTGATCATGCGACTGCCCTCCAAATGCAGATCACATTTGCACCGTTGACGGTCTAGCAGTTTCTGCATGTTTGAACAATGGCTTGGCGGTTTAGCTAATCTTGTAAACAAGCAGTGTGCAGCCGTCGTTTGCTGTTTTGACTCATTCTGGTCAATCCTGGCAACCACTTTGCAATCGATGCCAATGATTCCTCATTCACTTCCAAGCGATTCATCCATGACACGATCATCATGTGTCACTCAGGTGGCCACCAACCTTTGTCATTCATCCCGGTGCTGAGAATTCCCCAAAGCATCAAGCCACCAACTCCATGAACTTTACAAATGGACATGTCACTCGCCCAGAGCTTGCCTGCACTTCCTCTGCAGTCATAGCGGCGTGGATCTGACAGCGCTGAGCCGGACATTGGAGGGCATATGTTTTGGCCAACTTACCCTTTGGTGGTTTGAATCAGTTCAAAAGCTGCGGCGTTCATTCAAATCCCTAACCAACCGATCGAAGCCACCAAAGGCTAATGAAACAAGCTCACGCGAGTCGGACCTAACAGCCCCTATAGGAGGAGCTAGCGCAGAAATTGCCCCAAGCGCCCCGCCTGTAGCTTGAAGAGAAACGGCTCCGGCGGGAGTGCTGCCACAGCGCGAAGTGCGACTTCCAGCGTGGCAGCCGCTGTCGCCTCCTCCTACGCATGGCTCATCTTGGGCGGTGACTTGGCATGGCGATGCGCGAAGCCCCTCATGAAATCAATCCAAGTGCCCAGCAAACGGTCTGAAGGGTATTTGCAAGGGTCCAAGCCGCGCAGCTCCAAAAAACGGCAAAGTCTGCCAAACCTGCAATGCGGTTTCCCTTTGTCAACTCACCAAAAAGAAGGGTCCAGATCTACTTGGAACATATCCTTTTGCCAGCTGAGCCCTGTCAAAATCGTGCCATCTCACATGTCGCACTTTGGTAGGTGTGATTTTGACTGGGAAAACGACGTCCATCTACTGAACTGGCATTTTGGCAAGAGCTGACTTGAGTATGAGTTTGAATCGGGAGCCCTTTCGTGGACATCAGAAATGCATGGTGGGATCGACGTTCACCGTTCACCAGCCATGTTTCAGGCTATTCCAAGCACTCAAATTGACCCTTCAAAATGAGTGATGCGCTCATGTTTGGTTTCCCGTCAATCAAGAGAGGGCACCAACTCCCCAGAGGAACCGCACGGGAAACTCAGATTTAAAACCCACCCATGTTGAATTCAGAAACCAATGGTTTTTGGGGCTTCCCTCAAGTGTGATTCTGATGAACATGAAAACAAAGTGTTCCTCATGTGCATGTGTTCGAGCATTCTTGAAGGGCATCCCATTTGCTAAGGCGAGAAACATGACCCATTTGCTAAGCATTCCTTGCAAAATCCAAAACCTTGAATACAAAGTCCTGAGGAAAATGTGTTGGACATGCCACCTTCCATGTGCAGAAACCAAAAAAAAACTCGCCGAAAACTCAAAAAAGCTAAGTGCTGTGGGAAATGCTTTGGTCATGCCAATACCTTTGTCAGATTTGGCCATTCTCCTAGTGGATCTCTCCCATGCAAAAGCTTTCTCATTATCGCTATGTTCCTTGTATTCGCGCTGTTTCCAGTGCATGCTACTTTCGCCCAAACTAAAGTATGCAAGTGCCAGTGATATTGATTGTTGTGGATTTGTGTTGTTCGTCAGGGTGGTGTATCTCTGTGTTCATTTCCTAGGAAGGGCATTTCCCCGAGCATGTGCTTTTCGTTGTTCAAGTAATGTTGCACAATTTCTGCGAATGATGTTAAATGCTTGTAGTTTGACAGCCAAAAACAAATGATAGGACTCTGAAACTATGATTCTATTACTAAATGTACTAGGAGCGTCATGCGATGGAGTTCCTTTCAAACAGACCTGAAATTTGCTTGTTTACCGTCAAGGAAAAAGCTAGTTTTACGCGTAGTTGACACCCACTCAGGCCTCTCTTCGAATTGTGTGGGCTTCCCCATTTGGAGACACACCCACAATCGCCTTCATAATCCATATAAACCAAGTAACATATAAACCCACCTGAACCCCTGTAAACCATGTAAACCAACATAAACCGCAATATTAACCCCTGGCAACCGGACACAGGATCTCCTCTGGCTGCTCGCCCGCCGCCGCCCGCAGCACCGCCAGGCTGTCCATTGCCCGCTCCGAAGTTTGCGCCGCACAGTTCAGGCTGCGCCACTGGTGGCACTCGCCCCCGCGCACCATGAAGTGGAACCTGAGGTTGCGCGGTGAACAGTTTGAGGATGTCTCGACTCTTGAGCTCTGTTTCCCTTCCAGGATGTCACGTTAATAGACCCAGAGTAGGGTAACGAAGGCTTGGCACTTCGCAAGCATTCCGAGCTGAGAGGCAGTCCGACATCGAAACGCGGGGAGTCACGGACCCTGGCCACCAGCCACTGCAGTAGCTCAGCGCGACTGACCAAAGGCTCCTTGGCACGACTCAAAACAGGAACCCGAGCCATGGAGATTCATTGTCCCATTCTTGGGGTATCTGGGCTCGTGCACCCCATGGCATCGTCACTCAAAAAAAAGGACCCAAAATTTGGCAACATAGGGGAACCAACATATGTCCAAAATGTGTGTCAAAATACAGATAGAGAACCCAAAAGAATGGCTTCCGGTTTGCCTGCTTTCCTCTAAACCAAGCTGAAATGGTTATCCTCAAAAAGGACACACACGAATGCAGTGCACGGGGCTTGCCTGAATCGACAAGTGGATGTTCATTGTAATGAAAGGTTATTCAATGTGCATCATTTAGATATGGGTCTACGTTCACCAACCGTTTTGAGGAGGTTCCACATGAGTGTCCATTGCCAAGTTGCCATCTCAGAAACTGCGCGCGGAGCGTACAGGTTCTCATTCCGCAGCAGCTCCTAGCCGATAAACAAGGCGCTGAACACCAACGGCAAAAGTGCAAGTGGATACACCTATATCAAAGCGTGATGGTGCGCACTTACTTATCCATTGTTTGTTGGATGTATTCATTAGCTTCTACGCTTTATACATATATATATATATGTACAAATACATACACACATGAGAACCTCAACAGCCCACGTTGTTGTCAGAAATCCCCACTGATTCTCGCTTCCTGGAAGCTTTGCAAGGTGAAGCCCTGCTCCAACAACGCCTTCTTCGCCTCGTCCACCGCCCTGAGCCGGGAACTGGAGCCGGAGCTGCTAGATGATAGGAAGTTTAAGACGTTGAACGGGCTCTTGTCTTCGGATGCTACACGCAGATTTGTCCTTTGGCGCAAGCTGCCAACTGTTTCACTAGAACCCGTTTAGGGTCTCTTTGAGGGGTGAATCCCCAGTTCACTCTGGAAAGCTAGGCCTTCACATCCCAAACCACCAATCCAGACTATCGGATTTGGTTCCGCCAGAAGCTTCCACGGCTTTGCATCAAGTAGCAGGACCACGGGATCATCGGGGGAGTCGTCGATGGTGATCTCATTTCCAGTGTCGCGCCCTCCGAACTTGGCCTGCCGGAGCCTGTTGCCAATGAATTCGAAGAGTTCCTGGCGCAGACACGAGCAAAGCGGAAGGCCGCCGCGACCAAGGAAAAAAACAAAAACATGCATCATGAGTTGAGAGCGGCCGCGGCGGTCCAAAGCCCAATCAACAAACACGCCCCCGGCAAGAAACATCAAACAGTCTTATCTCCTTAGATGCATTGGTTTCCATTCAAAGCACCAAACCCTTCCCTTCAAAAATCCAAAGGAAAGAGAGCCACACGCGCACCAAGGTTCCCAGGGCAAGTTGGGCCTCACTTCCTGGGACTCCAACAGCAGCCGTGTCAGCAGCTGCAGCGCCCTTGTCTTCCCCGTGCCGCTCTCCCCCACCAAAATCGCGGGGAAGCGCCCTCGCCAGCGTGCCAGCAGCTCGAGGATCTTGCCTCAGGCAACTTGCTGTGGCGGGGACAAAAGAAAACTCACCCAAAAAAAAGATTCAAGAAGCCCTGACAAGTGGCCATGGACAAGATACATTGACCAGAACGCCATGCTCAGATTCTTCCGATGCCATGACGAATGATGCAACAGAAGTTTGGCTTGGCTTCAGTAATAAAGCAAAAAGCAAACACGTTGCCTGGCGCAGCTTTGAATTCGTCGTTCGAAAGGCAAGTTGCTGGTGAAGTCGCGTGTCAGCACGTAGCCTTCTTCCCGCAAAACCGCCTCCACACAAGATATTGGCACCCCGATGGCACAGGCCAATGCCTGCATTCCTTGCCTTTCATCCTCCAAGGCCGACTCCAGCAACATGAAGCTGGCAGCTGATGCATCTGCCACCAGGACCTTTCTGGGCAAATCATTGAGCAGCCTCCGCCGAATCGTGTTGCAAGCGCAGTCTGGGCCGCGTGGGCAAATGCTCTGCTTGGGAAGCTCTGGATTCCATGCCAGGCTCGGAACAAAGATCTGAAAGTCTTCTTGCTGTTGCCTGGCATCAGAGTTGGTTGTAAAGAATCTGTTGACATGACCAGACCCTGGGCCCCCTTTAAAAGGAAACCAAAAGGAGGAAGCTGTTTGAGCAAGCTTGGTTTAAACATGTGGCCCACCTGGTGTAGGTCGGAACAAAGTGAAGACAGAGCTCCTCACCCATGCTCAGCTGCCGCAACCCATTGCCCACACTTTCAACTAGGAGCGAACCTAGTCGTTTATCGCCATCACCAGCTGTGTCACTTTTGAAGAGGATGGAGCTGGCCATCCATCCTCCGCTGTAAACATCGCTCAAGCTCACATCTGGCATACTTTCATCGCAACACATGCCGCAGCGGAGACAAACAAGCTTTTCAACACAGTCCTGCCAGAAGGGACACTCTTCGCAACGCAAGCTCCTGCTGGGCCTTGCTTAACACCTGTTCCAGCTGGAAATGCGCTAGAAAGCGATGCAGCGTTGCTTCAGGATCGCTCGGGTCCGGGAAGCGCCGCACGTCAATACCCTCCTCGTCAACATACCTCACACCAGACCCATCATGCCCATGCCTGATCTATGTGAACAGCGAGGCCATTAAAAACTATGTGAGTTATGGGAAAACAGGATTTCAACGACAAAACACTTACACTTCATGCATGTGTTTGACATCACTGAGAAGCAACAAGTTGCAAGTTGCCCCTAAAGTGCCACCTGCCCATCCACACCTGACCCACCCCCTCCCGGATCTGTCACTCAAGCTGCGTGGCAGCGCAGCTTGCGCCTGCCAGCTCTCGGGGGCGGAAGTCCAGCAGCCGGCGCGCCGGATCCCGGGGGTGCTCCTCTGCAGTGCAGCGCTCTGTGGATGACTCGAGGGCGCCTGCCCCCAAAGTGATTTGGACAAGAAGTGGGACCACCCCAAGGTGCTTTAATCCTCCCTGTTGAGCTTCTGGCATTTCGCACGAGGCATGTGGCATGGGACCGTAAAAGCAACCGTCGCATGGGACTGCACTTACTTGCACAAGCCTGCCACTGGCTCCTTTTTAGTAGGACAGTCTCAAAACGACTGCTAAGTAGGTAAATACTGGCTTACAGGGGTCTCCCACCCCCGAAAAAAAGCTTGAGAACTCCGACGAATCTTCACTTTGAGGCCCAAGCCCAAGGGCTGGAAAGCAAGGCCCCCGCTTCAAAATGGCTCAAAACGGAAGTCAGAGACAAACCCCCCATGTCATTTACCCTGTTCAACAGAGGGGTTAAGCCCCCCAACACCCAGAGGCCAAAGCCAGCAACGGAAAGTCTTTGATGGAAGCAACTCAAAAACGGGGTGTCCACAAAGATTGGGCACGCCACACTGAACTCCCTGCCACGTTGGTCCCAGCCTGCTGATATGCATGCATCAGGCGCAGCGCCAGTGCACACCTCTCCGTCACAGCGCGGCGTCGAAACTGGTGCGAAGCATGGTGTGGCTGGCCATTCTGGAAGCAAGCCTGGCACCGGATGTGTAACCAACAAATCAAAGAGCACCTGCCCCATGCAAAACAAACAAACTGCTGGCCTGGCAGAGGTTGTAGTTTGGGCAGTCCTGGCACTGATGGCATGGTCCGCGCACTGGCTCCTTCTGGCAACGGCCGCACGATACTGAGTGCACCTCGCACGGGGCGATCCAACCCGCTAGTTGAACCAGGGTTTTCATCACTCTTCAAACAACACCCTCTGGGTTCCCCTTTCAAGGGGACCGGGATGGTTTAAACATTTCGCTCAGCCCTGGCACCTCCTCCTCCTTGAGCATTGCAAAGCGACGCTCCCCGCATTGCAAGGGAGCTGCAATGACGTTCTGCGTCGCACCCTGACTGACCAGGCCCAGAATCGGGTACAACAGGTTCAGGCTCTGCTGGTCTGGAGGCACTTTGGGAAATTTCTCCAGCAGAAAGGCCTCTGTGGCATAAGATCTCGACGCATGAAGGTCGCGCTTGCCTGCCTTTCTTCCCACCTCCATGTAGATGCAAATCCCGGGAGGCAGGTGGACCATCTGTCCAGTGGCCGGGTCATGCAGAACCTGGCACAGTAGCAGGTGCCTCAGAAAGGCCTTCGCCGCTTGAAAGTTGCTGTAGGCGCTCAGGTCGATGTGCAAGGCGCTGCCCCTGCCAGCTTCAGCAGATTTGCGGAGCGCCTTCGCAGCCTCCTTCACAAAGACTCCAGCTTGAAAGCCCTCGTGCAGAATGCACGATATGACATCCAAGTCGAAGGCCTGGCACTCGCGCTGGATGCACAAGCTCTTCCCGGAGGATGGCCCGGCCCCCCAGGGCGGCTCTGCGCCCTGATAAAGCCACACCTCCGCGCTCCGCTCGCGCCACAGTTGCCTTAGCTGACCATCCAGCGCCAGTGCCAGTTGCTGAACCTGCGCTGAAGCTGGGATGTGCCAAGGCGTTGTGAGGATCACCGCCACCAAGCAGTCGGCCTCGCTCTTGCAGAGCCAGTCTGCCACGTGCTTCTTGCCCTCCGGTGGAAGGCCGCTGGGCTCCACCAGCACAAAGAGCAGATCTGGGAAGTGCTCGGCACGCCAAAGGAAAGCCTGGCACGCAGCAAGTGGCCGTCTTTGACATATGAATTTTGATCGGGGGCTGCTGTTGACACATATCTACAAGAGGATTGATGTCCACGAACCATTTATCAGGGTGTCCCATGGTTCACATGGGTGTGTCTCCGAGTGGGGAAACCCAAAATGGTTGTGAACCGGCAACCAACAGCTTTGTACACCCCCTCAAAAAACTGCTGACAATGAACCTGAACCAATTTGGGGGGGCTGCTGATGTCTACCAAAATGGTTCCTCGGATTCAGCTGCCAAAATTGGTTCTGCACCCTCACCTTCACCTCGTCCAGCAGCACGTCGGGCCCCCCAAAGAGCAGCTCCGAGGGCCGCGGCAGGCGCTGCGGACCACCGGGCCAGCGAAGGAAAAGCTGAGCCACCAGCAGAAGCTGCTCCTCACGCGCACATCTGTCTATTGATGTATGCCTTACATGTGAATGTGTATATACATATATATATATATATACGTGTATAGGCACCAGTGTGTTCCTTCCCTTCCCATTCCTTCCCTTCCCATTCCTTCCCTTCCCTGCCCTTCCCTTCTCTTCCTTCCTTAAGACGGGAGCGACAGCCAAACTGGACTGGCTTGATTTGGGCATGAATTTGAATCACCTGGACCCGCCTTTGGTGGGTATAGTTTACATCTCAGTCCTCATCACTCTCCGCACGAAGCAGGTAGCGCCCCCGCGCCGGCCTTTGCGTCGCCGGTCGTGCGAGTTGGAGGCCCTGGCAGCAGAGGCGCAAAGCCTCCAGCGCAACGTCCTCAGCACTTGGATTTGCTTACATGACATATGGCAACCCCAGAATGGGTGGCTTCACTTTGGTTTCTTTGTGAAGCAACCAACCCAGAAGGATACCCTCAACAACAGACACACCCACTTGACTACCCTCAATGGCACTTGCATCCAGCACTTTCAGGAAGTGAGCAGAACCGAATCTGAAACAGGTGACGTACGGCAATGATCCAACTCGTTTGCCGCAAATGCGCCAAAGCTCAGCTGATAAGCGCTGGTTCATGGCAATGCCAGCAGGCCAAAGCTTCTTCTGGAACTCCTCCTCGCTGCTTTCGGAGCACCACATACCCAGGCCCTCGCTCAGAGAGGACAGCACCTCCGGGGTAAAGCCTTGCTCACACAGGTCGGCCAGCCAGGCATGAAACTGACCTGGCCAGAGACAAATTAGCGGAAAGGACAATGCAAAGAACTCTGAAGTGACAGAATGCTCACTATCCAGACATGCACCTGCTGGAAGGACTTTGTGCACGTATAGTTTAGTGGAAGTGCAAAAGCTTGCAAAGCCTTGCCTCTCAGACCTGACGAGGCCAGTTGGCTTTGAATTTGCTGAATGAACATCAAACGATCCTTTAACACATAGCACATCAATGACCACAAACAATACTCGCAGACAGGGAGACTAATGCAGGATTGTCAAGAAAGCAATCCTTGCTAGGCTCCTGGTTTCCTCCTTGCCGAAGCACCATGGACCATGTTGGCAACTGCCCAATAAAGAGACGTTGAGCAATCTGTGGATCGAGCTAGGCTTATGACAACGACGTCAGCCCAGTTCCCACGTTTTGCAGATCCACGACACTTGGCGCTCGAAAATGGCGTTCCACCGATCGAAAAAAGAGCTCGGGCGCCTCGGGGCACGAGGCCCAGCAGGGGTGCGGCATCCAGAGCGGCGAGCACCCGCTGGCCCCAGGAGTCGAGGCGTTGCAGCTGCAAAGGCGCCGTGGTGGTCAGCCGCCCCATGCGGAACTGGCATGGGAATTGGGTCGGATGTCCCCAAGGCGGACCAGAAAAGTTGTCAGCACATGTTCATTGTGTTTCCGAACCCCATTAGTCCCCAATATCATCTCCTTTGGTACTGTTCATGCGTCCCACTTTAACTCTCCCACATTAATTCGCTTAGGCCGACAAATGATGTGTATCTAGCCAAACGACAGTACAAATCAGAGCCATCAGGTCAGACCTAGCTCAACCAAGGGCCAGCTTGCCGAAGGCCAACCAAGACCCAAACCCTCAAAAAGGTTGGAAGTGATCGCGGCATCCCATTTTTTCCAGCTTCCCCTTTCGTTGAAAATGGAACCCCTGGGGAAAAAAAGATCGGGCAATGCCAAGATGGAATTAGTCGACCCTTTCCAATCCCATCCAATCCCATCCAATCCCATCCCCTGGTCCTCCTTGGGCTGGCGGAACTCCGGGTGTCCCGCGCGGTGCAGCTGGCTTCCGGTGCGTGCCAGGCCCCAGGGGGCCGCCACCGCCTCCATCTGCTCCAGGAAGGTCCGCAGAGTCAGGGCCTCCTGCACTCACCCAACATGAGCCAACCGGCCAACCCCTTGTAGAATTTTATGTATATATACAAATATATATATATATAGATAGGTGCTTAAGCAACCTTCTCGGGTTCCCCGTTTAATTGCGGGCTGGGCAAACCATCGTTTGCCCAGCCTTGCCCAAGCCCAAGAAGCCCTGTGATTCCGAATCCAGCACTGTCAGAAAGCTTTTAATGGGCCAGCGGTGCTGAAACAACCCAAGCCATTCCGTGGAGCCCCTCGTGTCTCCAGCCGATTCGGTCCTCTGAGCTGGAGTCCCAGCCCTCCAGGCTCATAAGACTCCTCGCACCAAGGATCTCGTCAAAACGAGATCTGGAACCCCCAAAACGCTTCAGCCCCTTCTGGTTTCCTTTCAAAAGCACAGCTTCGAAAGCGCATCCCAGGTACTAACTTTCAAGGTTTAGATCTCGCGGCACGGAAACCTTGCTTACATCAAGCGCCACGGGCTGTTAAATCGGCTAAACAGGATAAGGGGGAATGTTTCAAATCAAAACAAAACCGACATTGTTGCTGGCGTTGCTCCAAGTCTTGTCGGGAGGAACGAAAGACTGGAACAATCTGCAAGTCTCATGTGGCACTGGAAGCTGATCATCGGCGACAGGAAAAAAGAAGAATACACTGTGCTTGTAAGCGGAGGAAGATAAGTTGTCCAAGTTGACTGCTTGGCTCACTTTTCGTTGGACAAGATTCGCTGCTGTTGGACCGTTCCGTGCATGCTTGGTGCCAAACACAAAATTATTCAATTCAACAGAGGCAATTGCGAGTTGCTTCAATTCACGTTGCCCGCTCCTTGTGGAATATTCCAAAAGACTGGTTGAAGGTACATGCACCTCTCCAGCTGCAGCTTCGTAGTTGTAGCGGCAATGAAAGTCCTCGTTGCCGCCATCGATCACCAAAGACCCCTGCAAGATCTGGCCGACGGTGTAGAGCAGCAGCTGGCTGCCGGTGCCCATACTCTCAAACAGGGCCTGGATGAGCTGCAAGTGCTCCGCCACCAAGTTAAAGGACTCCAACCTCACTTTCTTCCACGTCAAGTCCCGCAGAATCTGCACCAAGGTCTCCTGACAGAAGGAATAAGCTTGCCTTGCTCTGCCCGGCCAACAAGTAAAATATGATTCCCAACGAAACAGTCGCAGTACCCAGGCGAACTGGAAAGCCATGCTGTTTGCGCCGGAGTCTCCGAGCGGGCGGGCTCTGACTGCGCTTCTTCCACTGCGATCCGCAGAAAGCCGGACAGAACTTCCGCACAGTGATGCAGCTCGTCCAGAAGCGCTTGCCTTACCTCAGCTGGGAATCCACAGCACCATAGAAATGTCTCTTTTCTATGGAACCCTTTCTGTTGGACATTCACATGAGGCTTTAAGTCACCAGCTATCTTTTCACAAGTCCCGCATTTGATAGCCACATGTTCAGAGACCTGAGAGAATCATCCATCTGGCTGAGCACGGATCTTGCTTTTGGCCCAGATGCAGGGATATCCTCCTCCAGACGCTGGCGGACTACTGTCAGGGCCGCCTCAAATTCCTGGAGGCCCATCTGCCCCACGAACTTCTTCTGTGCTAGGAAGTCGAAAATGCAGACCCTGGCGCTCTTGCGTGCCCAAGAGCCATTTGGGTCTGTGGCTTTTCGAGGGTACCCTTCTTAGGTTGAAAGCCACAGGAAAACCGAGGCCTTTTTTTGGGGGCCTATTTTGACACGTTTAAAGCGCCATTTCCTCAAGTGTCAGAAGGCCAAGAGCCAGAACTGAATAACCCATGGTTAAGTAAGGGGGGTCAGTTTCTACAGGGGAATCCTTTCTTCCGGGGGGGAGCCAATGGGAAGTTGGTCCCATCTGGCCTCTGCACGAGGGTCTGGAACAGGTCTGGCTCGAAATCTCCAAAGCCGCACTCCCGGAAAGTTGGCAACCTGACACCAAGGCCGAAGTTGCCCAGCTCTCACAGCCACGCTCTCAAAAATTATGTGCAAGTCCCGCAAGCAATATTCTTTTCAGTGCCTCGAATGCTCTGTTCAAGTGTGTAAGCTTAGCCTTCCAGCACGGTGACTCAGTGACTCGACCGCACCTGGCCGCGTCCGCCGCCACATTCACCTCCGCTGCCAGCACCGAAGCGGCCGCAACCTTCGCCCGCTGGAAGCTGGCAGAGCCCAGCACCCAGTCCAAGCGCTTCTGCTGCAAAGCCATCTCCAAATTCTGCAGCGATGCAGCGATCCTCGAAGCGGCTTGCACCCGGTTTTGCACCGAAACCCGCAAAACCCATGGAGAGGTGACAAAATGATCCACAAGCACCATTGTGAACATTGCCTAACCGCAAGAGGACAAGCCAGTGAGGCGCAGCTTTTTAAAACGGAATGCAAAGATTGGCAAACCCCAGCGTCTCTGATTTGAAGCGTGCCCCCTGGTCCTGTGCACCCGCAGGGCATCCAGCAACACGCCGGCTGTGTCAGATGAAAAATATTCCACCAGGAGGCCTCGGCCAGGGTCCTTCAACACAAGCTCTCTACACGCTGGCTCCTACATCCGCAGAAAGCAACCAGGACGAGCTTCAACAAGAAGGCTTTTACTCCCCAAAGGGGGAAGCGCTACAAGCCAAATCAGGGGCTCCCTTCTGCCTCTGAAGTTAATTGATGGTATCAGGCACCTAATTGATTTAAGAGGAGTGTGCGACTTTTTCTTCAGTTGTCAGGGCACTCTCCCCTTTGCAAACTGCCAGATAATCAACTGGGGGATGTATATTTTTCTTAGTCGACCTACCCACTCCAGACTTCCCCTTTCTGATGAATTCCTGAAAAGTCGGGAACCCCCACGGTTTGCCACAAACAGACAGGCCGGGAAAAGGGCGCCCCAAACAAAAGCAGACCCAACCCATGCGAGGCACTCACCTCCTTCCGCACCTTGGGCTCAGTGAGCGTCAAAGCCGTGGTGCAGAGGCGCCACAGGCTGCGGGGCACCGTTTCGCCACGCGCCAAGGAGCCCAGGGTCCGGTGGCACCGCTGCACCACCGAGCAGAAGCCCTGGAAGTCCTCACGGACATCGGAGCGGCGACTAAAACGGATCGAGCTCAAACCTCCGGCTTCCGTCTGTCAAGCCGGGGCACTCCTTTCCCAGATTAGGAGCTCCATGAAAAAACGCTGAAATCGTTACGTTTGCAAGACACGGACGAATGACTTGGACGGGAAGGACTATAAAAGGCACCGGACCAGGTCTTTGGCCCGCTTTCTCGCAAGCAAGAGTCTATGTTCAAGAGCATCGAATCATTGCTCTCGTCGAGCTCGGTGGTGATGGCATCTGCAAAATACTTGAGGCAGGGGTTGATCAAGACGGAGCCCACCCGCATGAAGTGCTGCAAAAAGTCGAAGGTGCCCTGGCCATCGTCCTCAGGGTTGCTCACAAAAAGGAGGTTCCGACTGTGGATGTTTTATGCCATTCACATACTTTGCGTCAGTTTCCGTAGCATTGGTCCCACCCACCAAACTACCTTGAGGAAATGGAAGTGAGACAAGGTCTTAAATGGAAAGTGCTCGAATCCCTTGGGCTTTGTGAGAATGAATTTCGGAGTTCCCATGCCTCTCTCATTGGCGAAACTCAAAGTTCCCCGGTCCGGTCCTGGAAGGACTTGAAGAAGTCGCAGCTCTGCCGTGCCGCCTGCTCCAGCTCCACCAAGGTCAGGTCCTCGGAGCGTGCCAGCTTCTGCTTCAGCTCCAAGCGGAATGTGGCCACCTCCTTGGGATAAACGCCAAAAATGGGGAGATACGTACCCAACCATGTCTTTCTTACATGGATTTGTTCACCTGGGAAAAGGGATCCGGAAAACTCCTCAAGTCCAAAAACCAAATTGGTGCCTGGGGTGGGCTTAAAATAACAGAAACCCCAAATTGTTCCCTTGGGTTCCCATTAAACCCATCCACAAAAACGCGTTACCCTTCAAGTGCAAACTCTGTCATTGGAAAGCCCCTCCAATTGCTGTCAGGCCCACAACCCCGCCTGGAATCGCCACTTCTCCACCAGGAACTCCAGCAGCTGCACATGCCGCTGTAGCTCAGCCCGGACATCCTCCACCCTGGCCATCGTTGATTTGCTTCATTCAGTGTTTAAGAGCCTCATGAAGACTCATGAGGTCTGACAAACAGTACTCATCATCCCTTCCCAACACGTGCAAGCCAAACGACCAAGTGTTGACCGCACATAGCACCGGCAAGCTGCCGCCAGCCACCCGCCTGTGATTCAGCTCCTGCACTTTGGCAGCGAAGCTTGGGAGCAGCAGCTCGACGTTTTCCACGAGCGCCTGCAGACTTCGCCTTCGACTCTCGAGCTCAAGGTAGGCCCTGCACGGCAGGAGGCCCTCTTGGGCAACGTGGCCCAGGCGCCGAAAGAACTGCAGACTCGCCTAGCACTTTGATCTCCCGCCAAACAAGCCAAACAACAATTGCTCAAACTCGCATTTGCCTCTTCAAAAGTTGGTTAAGGCCCAAGTAGCAGGCAGCGGAGTTTCCTCTGCATCAGCGCCAAAGACCGTGAGCAACGGCTTCAGCCGTGGCCAGTCGCAGTTGCCGATGGCCTTCCACTCACGTGCCCAAAGCTTGTCATCTTCTGGCAGCTCTCCAAGAAAGGGGTGGATGAAGTTCTCGCTTTTCACCTGGGCTTCGCAACCGCTCCTTCTTGCAATGCCTTTTGGAGGACACTGACTCTTTGCGCAACATGGCCGCCAAGCCACGCGGCTGTCCAGCAGCTGCGGGCGGCGCAGCAGGTGCTCAGAGCCCAGCCACTCAAAGAAGTCCTGGCGATTTTTTCTGGCCGACAGGTGGTCTCACCCTGGGCAAGCGGCTGGGAATGTGTCAAAACTCTGAACCTTCGAATTCGATGTACCTTCAGCTTTGCTTTCCTTTTGGCTTTCTTTTCATTTCCTTTTGGACGCCGTTGCGCCAAAACAACAGCCCGGCCTTCTCCTTCTGCGAGCCTGGCGGTGCCACTAGGAGGCTCGGAACCCAGCACTCCAGGAAAACCAGCTTCAGCCAGTCCGAACCTGAAGGCAACATGCCAGGTGGATATATGTAGATATGTATATGTATATATATATATAATAACCCCCAAATCAAAATAAGATACATATATATATATATATATATACATATATATATATATATGTGCACAAAACACCGTTGTCCCGTTTCCTCCACTGAAATGCGGCCTTGCGCGAGCATGTCATTGTGCGCGTCATGTAGCGGAAGGAACATGGTTGTCAAATAGAATATTGTGTGTAATTCAAAACATGTACTGTAGTGGAACCAGAATTGTGATACAAACCATGGCTACAAGTAAGGTATGCGATGCTTGCATCCAAGATATGCCAGTACGTGAAATGAATACATGCTCGCAAATGATTGTTGTGCATCCATGCTGCAGCTCAGCAGCAAAAAAAACAACTCACATTGCTGGCATAGTGTGCTGATTTAGCATAGCGAGCATGTGGATAGCTTTAGCTGAACTGGCAGTACAATGCGGACTGAGGGGACATAGCTGACTCTGTCCAGAACTGGGATCTGTCCAAATTTCAGATTTCTTTTGTTTGCCGTTCAAAACACCATCGTAAAAGAAACTCACACAATTTCAGGACACTCCCAACAGAAAAAGCACGCGGTTGGCACGGTCCCCCTGCAACCCCACGCTCTCCTGGCCTGCAAACACAGTGGCAATGGGCAGAGTCCATTCAGCGCACTCCCTTATTCCAGCAGCCACACAGCTTCGGCACTCCTCACAATAATTCGCTTCGCTTCTCCGTGGGTAACGTGTGCTGCTAGCGTCAATGTGCTTGATGCCTAACAACTTCACTAGTTAAAATTCCTGCATGCTTGTACAGGACCTATTCCATGAGCCCTTTGAAATTCACCCTATCCAATAAGAACTGAATCAACATCGGCAACAAAAAAGCTGATGATAAAACGCCGCCGAATCGGGGCACGGGCCTCCGTCAAAAGCCCTCGCTCGGGTAATGACCCGAACGCGGCGAAAAATAAGTGGAGGGGGTACCCACACGCTTTTGTTCTGGCAAAAGAAATGTTCTTAAAGACGGAATGCGGGGCTTGCACTAAGCCTAACACTCAGTCCTGCAAGACTCCGCAATCATCCAAGTCCCGCAAAATGGCATAAAACTTCTCCGTGGACTTCGCAGTGTTGCCGCTCCCACACCGAAGCTCCCGCAATGCACGCTGCAAAAGCTCGGGAAAGCGGGATGCGCCGGCGGTCGGCAACAGGATCTTCTTCCAGCTCACATGTTGCAGACTCAGACCTTGCAAAGTCAAATAACACAACGGACTGATCTGGTGGTTTCGAAGCTGTTTGGAATATCAGCGGTAGACAAATACCCTCGTCCCCATCTTGGAGAGCCCGACCAAAGCCGGGCCTGGCAGCGAAAGCAGCTCCAAGCTCAAGCTGCACAGCTCCGCAGCCCCGAGCTCCAACCCCTCGAGAACCCCAAGAATTCCACCCACCTGGGCAGGGTGCTGGCGGCAAGCGCCCACCAGTGCCCGGAGGTACAGGTCCTGCCATGGGATTGGCCTTCGACTTCCCTTCAAACATCCATTGTTTTTGTCTGGAGGCCTGTCCTGACACTGTAGTTGGGATTTCACCGGCGGCGGCAGTGTCAAGCAACGGCACCGGATCTGAAGTTCCTTCATCTGGGCAAACCATGGAAAACTATCAGACTCTAACTCCCAAGCCGGAAATGAGGGTACACATGGCACACCCTAGTCAACCTCTCCGAGTTTTCGCTCATACCTCTGGATTTGCCCAGCCTTCATGAAGCTCAGCATCCGCTGACTGCACCAGGCCTTTTGTAAAGGCACTGAAGCGATGGCTGTCAACGGTGCCTGGACTGTTTCTCCAAAGTAAGATGCTGAGAGTAGCGGAGTCAACCAATCCTCCACCACGCGGCGCACGGCTTCCTGGGCCAAAAATGCCATGCGAGTGCAATCGCGTTGCATGCCACTGAAGCAATGCAGATTCAGCGTGTGTTTCGCACCAGGCAGTGATCATCGCAGCACTATTGCCTACTGATGAACTCCGATGTCAGCCGTTGTCATCTTCTTGGTATCATGCCATGTGTACAATCAAACAAGATGTATGGCAGCAATCTCTTGAGTAAAACAAAAAAGACTCGACGATTCCACCTCTTGCAACTTGGCGGCTTGGACATTTTGGCTCAAGCTCCAGTGTCCACACAAAAGCTCTTCTGCAACGGGCACCAGGAGGCATTGGTCCTCCAAACCTTCGGAGCAGCGTGTCAATTAAGGACATGATCTCTCATTGACTCGCCCCAGGAGAATGATTAATGATTTTATTGGGCGCATCTGTAATGTGACCAAACTAAACTGCATGAACCAAATTCACACAGTGCTCAAAGCTCAGTCGCCGACGTGCACATGCGTCTACTGTCAACTGCATGACTGCATCAGGGCGGGCACCCTTCAATAGCTTGCTCACGGAGCGAATGCACTTTGCCAAGCGTGGCGCTTTGTGCGGGCACTGCAGGCCACACGCCGGGGCCAACAGGGGTGCAACCTCCTGGCAAAACGCTTCCTGACTTGTCCAAAGAAAGTGAAGGTTACAGTGGCCATTGGTAGTATCACTACAAAGACACCAAAGCGAGCACACACTTGGAGATCAAAAGACACATTTGTTTTAACAATGTGTGTTAAAAATAGTGGCTTAAGCATGTTTAAAACGGGGAGTTTCTTCCCAACCAGACTTGCAGCTCAAAAGGCTACCAGGCAACTCAGTCTCGTGATCCTCGGCTTGCTCAGCGCAGCGCGCCAGAGCCTTCTCCAGGTTGAAGCCCGGCTTCTGGCGGTCATCCGCAGGCAAGGCCTGGCCGATTCGGCTGGCCACAGCCGCGGCCATCTCCAGGAAACACACGGCACTCAGCGTGGACGCCTCCTCCCGCAGAACCAGCCCCTCCAAGGGAAGCCCCATTATGAGGGTGGGCCAACCAACTGTATAGACATGCAACCGCTGAATTGTTCCAACGGAATCTTGTTGGCTCCCTTTAACATAGTAGAGTCTAGTTGTTGCACCCAATTTCGCCCAACAGCGCCTCGAGCTGCTGTAGCAGCAGACGCTGGCTGTCGCCCCCCAGCTGTCCAACCATCTCATCCAGCTGCCCTTTGCATGCCACCAACGCCTCTCCGTACTTCGACCGGCACTGCTCAAGGCTTGAAAATGTTGTTCGTCGAAAGATGCCAGCCATACCCCTCGCTTGCTTCACATGCGGCCAGCGCTGGAATAGGCATCTGAGCAGAACAGTTGCGCATAGAAAACGACCCGGCCACTCTGCACCAGTCTGCGTGCCGTCAAGTAAGCTGCAAACTAGAATGGACACATCCTTCATAAAGCAATCGAATTCCGGGTTGTCTCGCGAGTTGTTCATACTCTTGTAGAGACTGTTGAACCGATCAATCCATTCCCAAACCATCTGAATGCATTGTATACTCTGGTGCAGCACCTGACTACTCGGACTGCAGGAAACCCCGCATTCAGCAATTCCTTGCAATCCAGTCAGCCATTGTTCTCTTGCAATACGAGGCTTCAGAATTTTGACATTTCCTTCCAGACTGGCTTCCTGTTGCGCTCCTCGCTGAAGCCCTGGTTTTGAGAAGATCTCAGTAGCGAGTTTGCCGTCCTTGCCAGTGCGCTGTCTTGACAAAACAACAATTATGGGTTCATCATGCAGCAGTCGCAAAGAGGGTGGAGAAGTTATATCCAATTAGGTCCTGCATGTGAGAGTTCTAGAGGTCAGAGCCTCACTAGTCGTCTTTGGGCATGCCTGTGTGGGGCCCTACGAAGCTTTGCAGCTGGCAAAGATGTGTACAACCAGAGCAATCTCCAAGCAAAGTGAATGGAGAAGAATCATCACATACAACCAACACCTGGCGGAAGCATGCAGTCCTAGCCGAGTCTTGGAATGCCCAAGACTCCGGCATCATCAACATGCCAGCGAGCTTTTGGTTTCTGCAACGCCCGCATAACCTGGAAAGCAACACGTTCGGAATCTGTTTCCCCAGCCAAATGCTTCACTTCCCGGCCCCATTGCATCCGATGTGCTGCACGCAAGTTGAAGATGATGGATTTGCCATCAGCGAGATCTGCTGACCAGCGCCAGGGTGAGGTGTCCTGCTCAAGCTTGCCGTTCACTGGCGGCCCTCTCGAATGCCTTTCAGTATAAAAACCCTTTTCAGAGATCGTGTAGCAGTTTATGCCGTAGTTCCATTTCCCCACTGGGAAGGGCAGCATGCCGCGCCTGGCCAAGCAGAACAATCAAACATCTCTTCGCACGAGATCTGTCTGTGGAACAGGCATGGAAGGCAATTGTTTGCATACAAAATCCATGCCTGATTGCAGCGACGTGGAAGTCCACTGAGTTTTTGCCGGCCGCCATTCTGCACCGCAGCTCTTTCCCGAAAATAATTTGACGCAAAAACAAACAACTATATGTTCATGTGCAACTAGCGCTCAATGCTGGACTGAAACACCTTTGTCGTGCCCCCAGTAATTGTCCTTGCGAGAGTCAGAAGACAGATGAAACTACGCTTGAAGCGCGAACACGAGGAAGCGACAACATGCATGCGCGGTGTTGAAAGCCCTCGCTTAGGCCACCCTCGCTCACGCCGCTAAAAATATGGAAGCTGCTCTTAGCACGGGTCCACATGGGCCGACAGGAGGTTTTTCACCCCGTTTTCTGGCACCATGTCTGACTCTGAGTTGGATATTTTCATGAAGCTCTGTGCACCGACCAAACCTAGCCAAACAAAGAGATTTGTGTATATACCCACCCTGGCAATGCTGAAGGTAACTCGTGAAAACGCGGGGAACACATGGCTGACGCTCTCCCCAGAAACCGCTGATTTAGTTTGTATCCGTTCTTTGCGGTATGCAATCAACAACCATTTTTTAATGGGAAACACAAAGCCCCGCGTGAACTCACATGCGCAATTGCTCATACAGACTGCTCAAACTGCAGCTTGGGGACAAGTGAAACATCCGCATCATGATTCATAACCTTCAACACCAACAACCAAAAAAAAACATGTTAAATGTCATACTTGGTTGCTGGGAACCTGCAATGTCTGTCTTGCGGATGCTTGCTTGGATTCATCGTGCTGCAACTCCACTTGTGCATCTACTACACCGCGTTCGTTTGCGTGAGCAAAACAGAACCTTCTTCACACATCTATCAAGTGCCAACAACACACTGTACTAAACTAGAAGAACGGGTGGCTCGAAAACACCGCATTTTGCGAGCACGGCGCATGATGTCAAATGCGCGCTCGCGCTTCGATCTGGAGTCCAGCAAGGGACCTGCAATTCAAATCTTCATTGTAGTCTTTTGCACGCGTGTTTTAGGGAAACACGCACTGCTCTAGCCAAACAACGCAACCCTCAACACCAGAAAACGCCCCTTTTCTGCCCGGGTTGCGCTGGAGTCGCGCAGCTACCTAATTCGTTAAACCAATGTCTGCGCTGCTTGGTTGGCGAACGGAGCAACGCAATTCTGTTTCGACTGAACTGTCAATCCATCCTTGCAAGTGAGCCCACATGGCGGCAAGCTGCGTGACGCAGCAAGCATCTTGTTGATGTCCACTTCCGTGGCCGTCTTTTTTTGCCCCGATGCAGCGTTCCGTGTCAGGCACGCGTCTGCTCCAAGCAATGCGGTGAAAAGAAGATGAAAAGAGACAGGCATCAGGTGAGACTCACGAGGATGCCGTCATGCAAGCCCCGAACGAATCAAACTGACAAACAAAACAGGAACACAAACAAGAAAACCAGTAAACGGAAAAACAAACAGGGGGGGCACAGAGACAAAGCATATACAAGATCTGTACACGCAAGCCTCTCACAAGAAAGTATATTCATGAAAAGCATATCAATCGCAGTTCTAGTTGACTGCTGAAGCCAGTGCTGCAAGAAAAGGCTCATTTGTGGCAAAATAGTAAGGCCGCGCCCAACGGCCAGAATATCCATGCACAGCAATGGCAGATCATGGATCGAAGATGGATTGCAAGACTTTCGCCAGGCCAGAATATCCAAGCACAGCAAGGCCGATCATGGATCAGAGATAGATTGCAAAACCAAACGCAAGGCCTCAGTATCCAAACAGGCGACAAGCACAGAAATAGGCAAGTGGAAGGCAATGGTGCATTGTCCCAAGGCGGCAACACAGCGAGGCAGCATGTGTATGCCCATTGAACCTACACAATGTCACAACACAAGTCTCAAAAAAAGGGGGGCGGCAAGCAAAAACATCGAAAACCGTTGAAGAGCATGCGACTCGAAGCAAGTCAAATGGTATGGACATCAACCAGCCACCCCACCGGTGCGAAGTCGGAATGACCTTGGTGGGAGAGCAAAGTCGAATTCCGACCTTGGTGGACTTTAAGACCGAAGCCGCCAAGTACGAGAGCTGGCTCAAGCGCTACCGTCTTAGTGGTTATGACCTGCGGCCGGGCATTAATGAACCAATCTTGCCCATTTATTAATCAGCCCGTTCCATTATTAACTTAAACTTGCCAAGAACAAAGTTCTCTCGGGAACTTGGCCGCTTTGCGCACTTTTCGGCCCAAAGAAGAGCGGTGACGAAGCGGTGACAAGCGGTGACGAGTTTGGAGCCTGCTTTCGACCGAAAACGAGCGAAACTTAAAGACTCAGGCATCCCGCTTGCCGTCTGACACGAAAAAACAAACTTTTGGGAGTTGGCCGTTTTAAGCGCTTTTTGCACCAAAAAACGGAGCCAGACGGAGCGGTGACAAAGGCGGTGACAAGTTCAACGGGCTGACGTGTCACAAGTCAAAACCTTGGCGGGCTGCCGCGTTCCGAGCAAGAACCTCGGCTGGCTGTCGTGCCGCCCAGGATCTGCTCTCCTATGGCGGCCACCACCTTGTCGGCCCCTCCGTCGTCCGGAGAGCGCACGGCTATTTGCAGGGCAGAGGCTGCCTCCGTGACGCCGAGCTTGTCGGCAAGGAGACCGTCCACTTGTGCGATGGTGTAGTGGCTGAGCAGCGCGGCTGCGATGCTCGAGGCCGTTGCCGTGTCCTGGTCTGCGGCCGAGCGGTACGCCACCAGCGCCGAGGTGATTTGGTTGGTTGTGAACACGTCCTGGTCCGGGCCCGTCCTGTAGGCCAGCAGCGCGCCCGCGATGGCCCCACGGACGTCTCGCTGTCAAACTGGACGGTTCGCCCCAGCAGCGGCCTGGCCACGCACACCGCGGGCGCAGTGAGCGTGGACGGCTACACCCTGACCCTGGCGGTGAACCCCTGGAACATCGTGCGCACCTACAACTTGACGCCAGGCCGAGAGCTCCTCTTTGCCTGCCGGTACCGGCTCGGCACGCCTCCAACTTCGTGGTGTACATGTCAGAGGCCGACAACGTCTACGACCCCCTGTACGGCAGCTTCGTGGGTGACCAGGGTGCCTGGAGCACGGCCAAGATGTACTTCACAGTGCCTCCAAACGGAGTTGCGAAGCTTCACTTCGGCGCCGGGCCCAACCAGACGGCTGGAACGGTGGACGTCTACGGCCTCCAGATCCTGGATGCAACCCTGGAGGCAGGCAACACGACGGAGGTCGAGGCAGACACGACGGCCTTAGCCCTGCTGCTGAAGCATGAGTTCCTCGACGGAGGGGCCGACGACGTCACGCTGGCCACCCTGGGCGAGGTGCTGCTGGAACCCACGCTCACCACATTAGGCAACTTCCTGGTGCGCTCCAACAGCCAGAGCTCCGTGGCCTCGGCCAGCTTCACAGTGGGCTTCCAGCTGGAGGGCTATGCCATGACTCTGAGCGCCTTCGCCTGGAACATTGCGCGCACCTACACCCTGACGTACTCCTTCGGCTGCCGGTACCGGCTGGGCACGGCCTCCAACTTGGTGATGCGCGTCAGCGCCAACGATCTCGCGGGCGTCACCGGCATCTTCCTCGGCACGGCCGCGCAGGGTGTCTGGAGCACGGCGCGCCTGGACTTCTCGGTGCCATTAGGAGAAGTCGCAAAGCTGCACTTCGGAGCCTTCGGAGGCTCGATCCCCGGGCTGGTGCAGCAGTCGGCGGGCACGCTGGACCTGTACAGCATGCAGATCAGGGCCTCAGCCTTCGAGGGAGAGTCGGTTTCCACCGCCAACCCGGCGCGCCTTTATTTCCTGGACGGTCCACCGCCAACCCGGTGAGCGCCTCTCCTTAAAAGACCTTTATTTTCTGGTCCAAGACGGATCATTGCCGAGAGACGGTTCTTTCCACCGCCAACCCGGTGAGCGCCTCTCCTGAGAAGAAAAAAAAAATATGTCCAGGTCCGAGACGGATCATCGCCGAGAGACGGATCTTTCCGCCAGGTCTCCGACCTTCACGCTGTAGGGTTTTTGGCCTTGGAACTGGAAACAGGCACCAACCAATTATTGGTTCTCTCTCTTGAGAGGGGGTTTCCCAAATGGCTTATATTCTACCTGAGAGGCTCCCAGCACTCGTCCGTCCAGCATTTGACCTCGTCCTGCGAAGGATTCGAAGTCTAAAACGCTGGAGGCGAGGCTGTGGTACAGGATTCCCTAGATATGCTTGCAATTTGGCTCCAGGTTGTATTTCAAGCGAGCCAACCTTTGCAGGGCTAAGAAAAAACAAAAAAAAAAGAAAACAAGGGGTCCAAAAAAAAGGGGTCCCCGAAAAAAAGGGAAAAGGGGTTTCCTTTGGCAAAGCTTGACATCGCTTGAAATGCAACCTGGAGCCAAATTGCGGCGCATATCCAGGGGTCATTATTTTGCAGCCACACGCCTGCACGCAGCGTTTTAGACTTTGAATCCTTTGCAGGACGAGGTCATTTCCTGGACGGACGGACGAGTGCTGGGAGCCTCTCAGGTAGAATATAAGCCATTTGGGAAACCCCCTCTAAAGAGAGAGATACCGGGAATGCAGGGATTCCCTGCAGTATCCCTGCATTGAAATTCCCCCAGGATTCCTTGCTATACGCTTAATTTCTTCAACACAAGTGCCAACACAATTGCCACTCGTGTTCACATTTCTGCCGCGCCAAGCCGCGAAACCTCCACTTTCCCCAGGTTCCTTGCTGCACGCTTAATTTCTTCAACATGTCGGAATACATGTCGGATGAACATGTTCTTGGATTCAATCCTGTTGTGGCCCCAGGATTGCTCCCTTCAATCCTGTTGTGGCCCCAGGATTGAGGGGAACTCCACGCGGAACTCCACGCGGGCAGCAACCAAAAAATGGTTGGTGCCTGTTTCCAGGCGCGCCTGACACGCCAGCCCGCCGAGTCATACGAATCATACGGATCATGCGGTCATACGCCTGCCGCGCCTGCCCGGCATTGAAGCCGCGCCAACCCGCTGAACCCCCACTCTCCCCCGGCTCCTTGCTATATGTGCTATATGTGCTATATCTTACACGCCAAGCCGCGGAACCTCCACTCTCCCCCGG